TTTGCCGGACTTGAGCAGATGGGGGCTCTACCCCAGCCTGAGCGTTCCCAAACGGCATTCCGCCACTGACTGGCGTGAATGATTGGGGCACTGCCGCAGCGATGCCGACCTGTCCAGCATCTGAGGTTCCAAACCCGGCGAGATTTCTCGAGCTATCGCTGGAGGGGAAAAGTTCTTCAAAGACCCCACGATTGGATCTCATGGGGCTGTCTGTGTCTCGGGTAGGTACGGTGAAGTTACCTCGACCGATAGCACCGAGTGGGTTGCTCTGCCGGAGGTCACCAAGAGAGTCGGAGAGACTGCTTTCGTGTTCATGCGCATGCATCTGGGCCTGCATAGCGGGGGGGAACAGAGATCCCAACTTGCTTTGGCGGCCGATGCTACCGGTATTGGATGGCCCAAACACGCCGCCGAGGTTGCCCAAGCCGGGAGATTGGATGTCACCAATAGGGCTGAAGAGAGAGCTACCAAATGCTCCTCCGAAATTGGACCGCTCACGGTCGGGGGTTCCAGTAGACGGGCCAGCTGGCGCGGGCCAACCAGACGACAGATAGGCTTTGGCGCCTACACTGGATGTCTGACTACGATCGCTCCCGTCAAAGGCGGCGGCAGCAAACCCTCGAGAGAGCGTACTATAGTTGGAGTGTGATGGTTCATGACCAGTGCTATGAACCCTGTCCCCAGTGCCTTGATCAGAAGGTCCGTCGTGATCGTGGCGTTCTGTCGGGGGGCTCCGGTAAGGGTTTGTCTCCGAGGGACTGGTAGGACCATTATCACCGGACGATGAGCCGCCCAAATTGAGGTTGGACATTCCAAAATCTCCGGTAGATCCCTTGATGGGAGTGCCAAAGGGCATCCCTCGGCTTGGTGGATGTTGACCGCCAGGAGCGATATCCTGCTCGCCTTGGAGAGCAGCACTACCAGACATACCAGACATACCGGGCACCTCCTCACTGCCGCCGAAAGGATCAGTATCAGTTCGTGGCCTAGTCCTCCAAGACTGCTGGGGGTTCTGGGCTTCGTACGATTTGCCAGCCGCGCTTTCCGTATTGTCTTTGGGGATCAGATGAGCGAGTCGACTGCCACCCGGAGCGCCGCCCGGCCGCTTGTCACCAACCGCCGGCGAAGTGGGCAAGGCAAAGCTACCAAACGCGCCAGCACTAGACGCGGTAGAGGATGGCCACATTGACGTCATGCTCACACCGGTCGACGTGTTGGCTCGCATTAAACCAGGAATCGGCGGCTTAGGGACATCACGCGGTGCCTGTTCGGTGTTGTCGGGATCATCAAGTTCTGACTCTCTCAATTCACCGGGCTTTCGCGAAAACCACAGGGGGTCATCTCGCGCAAACCGGCTCGCAGTCGGCGACGCAATGTTGGTAGGGCTGAACGGATTGGAATCGACAGTTTCTCGTCGGCGGGTGGCAGGTCGGACAGCGGATGATGGAGAGCTCACGCCAAATGTGCTTCCTGGGGCATGCGAAAGAGATGGTTTGCGACCGTTGACCGCGGCTTGGTGACCTTCTTTAGCTTGCGTAGGAGGCTTGAGTGGCGAGTTGATATCGGTAGAAAAGGCCTGGTCAAGGTTAGTCATTGAGCGCCCATAGAGCAACTTGGAGCAGAAAACTTGGGGCGTCTCGAACCTCTTTTTCATCTTGAGAGAATCCCGACAATCCTATGGGTGCCGTATCGCCGTTGAAATCCCAGCAGGTGCCGGGATCCTGCGGCACGTGGTTCTCGTTGCTTTTTCCCCAGCCCCTTACGCCACTACCGCTAGCATTGCTTGGATCCCAACCTGAGATGAAAAGATGAGAGGGATTGCCCACAGGCCGCTGGGACTGATACATCTCAAGCAGATCATCCCTGGTATAACGTGAGGGACCGACTTCGTATGTTGTGGGCTGTGAGATGGGGGCCTCGACGGTGGGTAGCTGGACGGCATTGTCGTTCGCAGGGGGAGGGTTTGAGCTCTGGCTCAGGGGCGTGGTAGAGGAACGACGGAAAGTCAGGGTACCGTTGGCTGAGCGGCCGTCTCTCCTAGACCTAAGCATCCAAGTCAGCTTCGACGAAGAGGAAAAAAAAAGAGGCCGTGACCGTTTTCGGAAAACAACAGAGGGGCACTGCGTCGTGAGCGCATCCCCCGCCAAAAAAATAAAAATAATAAAAAATAATAAAAAATGAAAAATTCGTAACGGCACACACTAGTGCACGGAAGCAGGACAAATTGCATGCATGACAGAAAATCTCCGTCGTCTGCAGATCTCGCGTCCAACGCAGGTTTCTGGCGAAGGGGGCAAAGACTCACCATTCGCCTCCAGCGGATCCCCTTCCATCACTTCTGCCACCTCTCGCATCGCGGTTAGCATTCTGGCCGGCAGCGGCAGAGGCAAAGCTTGACGGGAGATTGGACGGCATGGTTGGACTTGTCCCACGGATCGGAATCGTGTATCGAGTCGCGGAGGTGTTGGTCGAGTTCGGGACAGTCGTGGGTCGACGACTGAAGAGTGAGAAATGCAGACACGGGTGGGTTGTGTCTGGCGAGGAGGAAAAATTCCAGAGTCTGCTCGGAGTAGCAATATGGCGGGTGATACAATGGCGCACGTAAAAGGTGGTCTGGTTCGTATGGATAGCAGGAGGCTAGGTCGCGAGAGGACAGAATGCTTGAAGGAGAAACTAATGCTACCAAGGCTTTGCTGGCGTTAAAAACCTGAGGTTTGGGAAAGATAAAATTGGTTCCAATCTGTCCCAGGCTGTATGTACAGCGAGGCTGGGCGCCGCTAGGCCGCAATGGGGCAGGACCGAACCTTAACCGAGCCTACTGTGCGAGGGCTAAATCCTAATCGAGAAATCTGGCAGGGCGACCAGCGCCGTATTACGACATGCTTGCGATAAGTGCGGCAGGGCGGGGGGGCTTGGAGGAGCGCCAAATAATTAACACAGAGGCATTGAATAAAATAAAACATGGGGAATAAAATAGGGCTCAAGTACTGTACAATCACGGCTCGAGTTGGAGTCGCATCTGGACATGTGAGCCCTGAGGCAGAACTGCGTGATATTTGCCCTAATACGGGTCATGCGGCAGCTGAAGGGACTTGGAAGGGTGGCATCTCCGGAGCAATCCATGGCATGGCACTGCGCTATGCTGCTCGTATGCAGCCGCAGCCGGATTTGTTTGGGGTAACGGCCCAACTGGGCAGTCGGTATTACGCAGGTCATTACTCATTCCAGGCCTGGTTCTTATTCGCTGTTGCGACTGTGGTAGTACCTAATACGACCCAAACCGCCACCGACAGCAGGTACTGACTGTTGGTGAATATTGACTTTGAATTGTTCGTTCTCCCACGTTTTGCTTATCTATGGGTACTATACCCTACCCACTACGAGGAGGTGGTGTTTATATTTATAGAAAAAAGTAAATCATTCTTAACTTTGAGCTGCTTATCGCGAACCGAGGCATAGGCATGGCGAATAGTAACTTGGCAAGCCATTGCAGAATGGCCCGACTTTTTGGATCACAGGGCGATCAACCTTTGACCACATGCGGAGCCCAACTCCATACTAAGGTACCCATGTTCAGCATCAAACTCAATGAGGGAGGTATCAATGGAGAGCACGCAAAGGCACGCGCAAAAGGATCGACAAGAGCTTTACATACTCGTACAGTTCATAGTTTAAGCAGTGCAAGTATCTGTAGAATTATGAATGTCGCTATCATACCTTGGTAAGTAGGTAAACATTACCATTACTCCCCAATCCAAAATACGCCGTTTACTTGGGCAATTTCTCAACATAGTAGGTGCCTACCCAGTACTAGGTAGGTAGCTAGTAGCATATTCCATAAATATACCTCATAACCATGTATCGCTCTGCCGGCTCTGCGCTGCTTCTTCCTCCTCATTCACAGTCTCTCACCTACCTAGTAGGAGGTACATAAGGCCAATCATTCAGATGGATATGTGGCGGCCTCCGGTTGAATAAAATGACCCGCCGTACTTCCCTAACCCAATTTAACCAGTTGAGCCTGGGAGATCACAAGTCAACACGCTGCTCGTTGGGGATCATTTCAAGGGGAATATGACGCACATCTGCCAAAATGCCATTACCAGAGCCGAGATCACGCTGGCCCAGTAGTACAAGGGCCAGCCCTTTCCCACATACCCATGAGCTCTAGCCAGAGGTACATTGCCAAAGAAGTGACAATATCTCAACTCGTCATCGGTTCCGTGGTGACGAGAATGGCATTTTACAAAGGCGACGATCACGATGGCTATGTTAAAACAAGCGGTAATGGTCCAAAGAAAGGTGACTGTAATCGTAGCCGTGAGAGTTTCACGATCAATGGCAAAATCGTTCTGCTTCAGGGCTGCGAATATACACAGGGCTAAGAATATTGCGCCAATCTAAACAACCGTCATGGCAATGATTAGCTGTGTTCTCTAGAGACGACTCACAGCCTTTGCTGGTGGTCTTACCAGGCCAAGATTGGTGACATAAATGGGTAGGCATGTTTTGACGCCAAAGATGACCATCTTGTCGTAGAGCGCATTCACGTTGGCCAGCAAGATGAGAGCCGCCATCGTCCTCAGCGCGGGGCCAACAAAGGGCACAGGGATCCTCCATGGGATCGGTTCGCAAAAAAACATTGTCATTGCTGCTTCTCTCCCGGCTGTAGAGAAATCAATCGTTTTTGGCTGATAATTCCAGGAATCTGGTTTTCTGTGCAACTTTGTCTTTGCTCGATAGTCGTGAGTTAGTTCGATGGGTGAAAGGCTTGCCGTATGTTGCAAGAGTATTGGGGATACGCTCGGATATTTATCAATACCAGTCCAACAATGCGTAGGATACGAGTGAAGGATGACGACGTATATCCCAGAATACAAAACTTAAAAAATGGGCGAACCAGTCTCGATCGTGCAGCTCGTAATGATTAGACACGCCCAGAACTCATGACGGCTAGGGGCGAGAACATCAGAGGTCGAGATAGTCGTAACATCCAACCTTTAGACATGTTTTAGGAAATGCGCTTTGAATTTCCTGTTGGCTCGGTCGGCAGAGCGCAGCATCATCTGGTCTCCAAGCACTTCAAAGGCGAATCTCTTCTCCGTGGCATCGTTGGCTTGTTGAGGCTCGGAGACTTCCACACGAAACGTGGTCCCCTCCTTGGGAACAACCTTGAGCCCCCTCTTTCTTGTAATCAGCTCAACAACAAACTTGCGGTCCCTCACAATGATGCCCTTGATACCCACTCGTCCTGGGCACCGACTCCTCACCACCTCGGCTTCAGCCCCGTGGAACTCGGCGCTTGCCAGCTTCGCAGCAGCCAGTGGGCCGCCGGTGTATATGTCGTTGCCCAAGATTTCCAAGGCGTAGCCCATCCAAAGCTTGTTCAACCCTTCGTAATTTTCATACTTCTGCCCCTCCTTGGGAATGTCGTATAGACCCAGCTGGCGGCGCTCACGGGCAGAGAGCGGCTTCGGCCTCTGTTTCCCGCGGAGTTTGCCCTGCAGACGAGCTCTTTGGCGTGCTGCCCTGGCATTGAGGGTAGCGGCAGGAGGAGATGTTGGCTTGAGCTGAAGAGTTCGATACTGGATCTTATCACTGTAGATGCGGTTTGCGCTGTCGGGAGAGTGCGCCCTTGCGAGCAAATCCTGAGTCACCTTGATCTGCTCGGAAGATGCCATGATGGGGATGTGAAATCTTGAACTTCAGAAGCCTTAGAATATAGCAAGCCCTTGAATATATCGACTTTGAAGTGGGTGAAGAAGCCGGAAGATAGACGTGACTGAGAGAGAGATTGAATGTTGATGAAAATTCCATCCCAATCGGCAATTTTTGTGATGTTAAAGCTTGGCGGTAGCCTTGCAGGTGGAGCAGAAGTCGTCGGTACACAGCAATGGGCAAGCTGTTGGTGGCATGAACCCCCTAGCCGTGTGTACTCGGTACAGGCTTGGCCACTAGCGTTTTCAGCTCTGCAGTGCTTCACATGTCCTCGGGCCAAGGAACCGCTGAAAGGCCAACTGTTTAGCACTCTCGCTGCCGCCCCACAGCACCATTGCGGTACCCCGGATAATCGTCAGACTCCTCATGTCTGGCCATTTGTTATTGCTTTTTTCCTCTTCACCAGCCTTGATTCTGCATACTCTATGCTTCGACCGCGGCATCAGCTGAAGCGCCTTTCTTTATAGCATGGCATTGCTGTTGTTCGTGTCAACGTCCCTCTGCAGCCTCTGAAATCAATTCCACACCGCGACAATCCTGTCCCTCGGCTCCGCGAACCTCCAGCCATGTCCCACGATGGCGATGCCGTTGACGACGCCAATAGCTCGGCCCCCGACCTCCAAATCCTAGGCGATGAAATCACCCTGCAGCCCAGCGGCTTCGTCGAGCCCAGGGCAATCGTCCACGATGAGAAAGAGGAGGCTTTGATGAATCAATCGCCCAGGTTTCGCAGCGAGCCGCTCCAGTGCGTATTTGTATTTGCCGAGGCTTGCCGGCTCCTCTCGCTCCTACAGTACTAATTCCGCTGGCAACAGGTTTCTTCGCGAGGTCTCCCTCTATGTGTCTGGCCAGGGATGGCGAGCCTACGACCGCGTCATCGGCCAGCCGGTGTTTTACTCCGGCTTCTCGGAGAACATGACCTCCATGGTCCTGTCGGCGCCGCTGCTGCAGAAGCGGATTTCGCAGCTTGCCGACGATCGCCTGGCTGTGGAGGAGAAGGAAGGATTGTTGAACAAAAACGATAAAGACTACATCACGAAGCGTGCGCAGCGACGCAATGTCCTAGAAAACTCTCTCCTAGAGGTCGCGGAGAAGCTTACAGACAACATGATTTGCAAGATGGAGAGCAACACCTTTATCCGCGGCGCATACTATCTTTGCATGCAGCTGGTGACGCGCGCCTACCATCAGGGAATCCATGTGTCCAGTGAAGAGGTCCTGCGAATACGAAAAGTGGCAGAGCTGGCCGCCAAGAATAAGCAGAGCATTGTATTCCTGCCGAGTCACCGGTCACACGTGGATTACGTCTCTCTGCAGCTGATATGCTATCGACTTGGTCTGACATTGCCGGTAGTCGTAGCCGGAGATAACCTCAACTTTCCTGTTGTCGGAGCTTTCCTGCAGCATGCTGGTGCCATGTGGATTAGACGATCATTCGGAGATGATGCCTTGTACACCACACTCGTCCAGTCATATATCGATACCCTGCTACAGAAAGGTTACAACTTCGAGTGCTTTATCGAGGGAGGCAGATCGCGTACCGGCAAGCTGCTACCCCCAAAGTTTGGCATCCTGAGTTTCGTCCTCGACAGTATCCTATCCGGCCGAGTGAAGGATTGCATTGTGTGCCCTGTCAGCACGCAATACGACAAGGTCATTGAGACAGAGGGCTATGTCACCGAGCTGCTTGGTATGCCAAAGAAGAAGGAAAACTTGGCCGATTTTCTCTCCAACGGACCCTCTATTCTCTCTCTCAAGCTGGGTCGAGTCGATGTTCGGTTTAATGAGCCGTGGAGTTTGAGGAAATTTGTCGACAACCATCTCTCAAAGCTAAATAGCATTCCTGCAAGCCTAGACACGGAGCACAACAACTCTGAAGTAAGAGCTGTCCGGGAAAAGCTTCTTCGTGCCCTAGGCTACAAAGTCCTCGGCGACATCAACGCGGTTTCGGTCGTGATGCCCACGGCCCTCATCGGCACTGTTCTCCTCACTCTGCGTGGTCGCGGCGTCGGCAAAGAGGAACTGGTTCGTCGTGTGGAGTGGCTGACTTGCCGCGTCCGAGCCAAGGGTGGACGAGTGGCACATTTTGGAAACGCGCCCCTTTCAGAGATTGTCGACCGAGGTCTGGAGGTCTTGGGCAAGGACTTGGTAGGGGTGGTTGAAGGACTGGCCGAACCTACGTATTACGCTGTCGACCGCTTCCAGCTCTCCTTTTACCGCAACATGACGATTCATCTCTTCATTTACGAGGCTCTTGTCAGCGCAGCCATGTACACGCGTGTTAAGCGTGGAGGCGGCCCGTCGAACCAGGACATCACTTACGAGGAACTCAAAGATCAAGTAGGATTCTTGTCTTCGCTCTTCCGCGGAGAGTTCATCTTCTCGGGCGCTGGTCTTGTCGCAAACTTGGATGTCACACTGCGCGGCTTGGAAGCCGACCATGTGGTTCGCTTGGATAGAGACGAGAATGGCAACATTGCAACCATTGGATTGTCGGATGAGGAGCGCAAGGCAGGAAGAGAAAACTACGACTTTTACTGCTTTCTCATCTGGCCTTTTATCGAGGCCAGTTGGCTCGCTGCCGTGTCATTGATGGGTCTTACACCTCCTGCGGGTAAAAACGGCCACGTATGGATCGAGGAGGCAAAGGCTCAGAATAGTGCACAACTGGTAAGGAACAATTCTACTTGTGGATTTCTTCTTCTTTTGTAAGACCCCTGCTCACTCTTTGGTATCATAGCTCGGCAAGACTCTCTATCACCAAGGCGACCTCTCCTACTTCGAGGCCGTCAACAAAGAAACCCTCAAAAACTCATACATGCGCTTCCAGCAAGAGCAAATCATCAACGTCGTCAAGTCCAAAGACGCCAAGATCCCTCCCCGCCTCCAGCTCGATCCTTCCTGGCGGCCTAGTCGCGATCCTGAGACCGGCGCCTTGTTGGCTGAGGGCAAGCTATGGGACTTTACGGAGAAGATTGCAAGCTCTCGTCGTGAGGGTAAGAATCGACGTGATGGCGCCACGGTTAGCAGCCGTGTGCTTCGCTTGACGGATGAGCTTGGCAGCAGGCTCTTTGCTGAAGCTGAAGAGGCGGAGAGGAAAGGTGGAAAGGTGCCCAGCAGGCTGAGCAAAGAGGACCAGGAGGCGCTGGATCACAACATGGAGAGTGCACGGAGGAAGAGGAAGCTGGAGGGCAGAGCGCATTTGTAAGACTTTTCGGGTGTGTTGTTTTCTCTTCTTTTCTTCTCCCCCTATTTTCGACCAGTTTTGTATTATACCCATATAATGATGCCATGTAAATTAAGAAAAAAAGATCCAACAAAGAGCGCGCTTATCAGCGCTAGATAGGGAGCGAAGTATTCCAATTCTACCCGCCATAGATATCCCCGTCTCTCTATACTTCTTTTTCTTCCTCTTCTTCTTGTAAAACTCCCGTTCAATCGTACTTCTTGTTCGTCAATCGTAAAACCCATGCCGTCTCAACTATTTCCTTCTCATTGAGCCCTGGGTGGCAAGATGATGTTGTCAATCAGTCTTACCGCCGGGCCTCCAGAGTGTCCCAGATCCTCTCCATTCTGCGGCTCCTCCACAGGCAGCATCTTGATGGCGCCGCTGAGGACGGCTCCCTTGGCCGGGTCCACGCTATCAACTTCTTGCAGCGTGTCAGGGTCGGCCAGGGAGATGTAGTCGACCTCGTACGTAACCCGCTGGCTGGGCGGGAGCTCCCTCTGAGCCAGCAGCACGGAGCTGGCGACATTGTTTGCGGCGCCGAGGACGTCGCCGCGGCTCAGCTTGCCATGGTCGTAGGCTTCCTGGGCGGCACGCAACGCCTTGCTCAGCACGACGGCGGCGCGGCGGCGGCGTGTGCCGAGGTAGACATTCCGAGAGCTCAGGGCGAGGCCATCGGCTTCGCGCGTGGTCGGGCAGACGACGACCTCAGTGGGCAGCATAAAGTCCTTGACCATGCGCTTGATGACGACGGTCTGCTGGACGTCCTTTTGGCCAAAGTAGACGCGGTCGGGCTGGACAATGTTGAAGAGCTTCATGCAGACGGTGGCGACGCCGCGGAAGAAGGTCGGCCGGCTGGCGCCCTCGAGGACCTCGCCGACGGGGGTGATGGTGACGAAGCTGCCCTTGCTGTCGACCTCCTGGCCGGGGAAGCCGGACGGGTAGATGTCGGCGGTGGAGGGCGCGAAGACGGCCGAGATGCGGCCCAGGTTGGCGCCGTCGTCGGCGAACTCGCGGTCGAGGCGGGCCAGGGCGGCGACGTCAGAGTCCCAGGTGACGGGGTACGAGGCGAGATCCTCCCGGATGCCGAACTGGGCCGGGTTGACGTAGATGCTGACGACGACGTGGTGGTTCTCGCGGGCGGCGGCGCGGATGAGCGAGAAGTGGCCCTCGTGCAGGGCGCCCATGGTGGGCACGAGGCCGACGGAGCGGAAGTTGGTCGCGTGAGGCCTTCGCCATTGGCGCACGGCGTCGACGAGCCGGAGGACCTTGATGGACGTGGACGGGACGGTTTCGGCGGCGGTGCGCAGCGTGCGGATGGCGGCGCGGGAGACGAGGCGCGAGAGGGAGGAAGATTGTGGCAGCATTGCGAAGAGGGTGTGCTGTGGTTGTTTGCGATTATGATTGTTGTGTGTGAGGGGTGGAACTGGAGATGGTGTTGGTTTGCTTGGAGTGAGGTTTGTTATCGGTATCTGTGTCGTATCTGTGGAACGCAAGCCCGAGGGTTTCACAAAGAGCCCGGGGATCCCAAGGCAATTAAATACATGTATAAATATACGTCGAGGCGAAAGCTCTCCGCTCAGCCGAAGCAATCAGGCGGGAATCGAAGCCTCGGCCGCCATCGCCGACGCGCAATGGCTGAGTCAAGTCCAAGGATTTTCTTCTTCCTTCTTTTTCGTGATGGTTTCTGCGGCGGAGTTTTGGGGACGAGTGAGAGTGAGTGGGCTAACAGTTGAGTTAGTACAGTGCTGCCCGTATTTTTTAGTGTACCATGGATGTCATTTGATTGATGACTTGGAACCAGGCTGCCGGGAATTGGGGGATTGAAGGTGAGAGATGAGAGAGGGTGTGTTGCATGGAGATCGGAGTTGGCCATTGAAGGAGCTGGATTACAGGCTCAGGCTGTAGGGCTGATATCCCACGTGAGATGAATGCTTGGGGGCTGCATCGCGTAAGACGTCATTTGCAGTTTACAGCTGTTCAAGCCCTGGTAATTACTCCGTAATTCATTACGAGAAATCCAGCCTTGATCAACATAAATCATAGTGATTAATAGCCGGGGATGACCGTATATCCAGCTCCATATCAAACTCTTGTCTTATTTGGTTGCTCTTTTCTCAACACAACATATAATATAAGACAAAGGTTGGCTGCAGCCTCGTCTTCTCGCTGCCGTCAACCTTACATGCACTGCCAACTCGTGATTGCACCTTGCATCTTGCCATCATCTTTTCTCATTACAGTAAGCTGACTATCTGTCCACTTTATGCATCACGGTCCAAACGCTCTCTCGTAAAAGCAATGCCCAAAAGCGCAAATTATACGTAAGTTGTGATTCTCTTTGCGAAGGATTATCTATATGGTATACACAAAAAAAAAGATGCTAGTCAAGAGCGTCATAATCCCACTCCGCCTATTATTATCCGACCCATCCACGGAGCATAATCGGCTCCGTTTCATCAAACACGTAAAGAACAAACGCCTGCGATGCAAATCTTCTAGAACATGCCATCTCTACAGGCCTAAAGAAAAATCAGGCTGTCGCATGTATCACAAGTCATGACACTTGGGGAAAAAAATGAGGTTTATGCCGCTCCTCCAGCGTTCTTGAGGGCGTCCTGGTTGAGCCTCTGCCATCTCATTCCGAGGCCGATGAGGGTCGCAATGCCCGTGCAAGCAACACACATGGCAAACACAACCTTGATGCCGGCCATGTAGCCGTCAATGACAAACGGCTGCTGGTCTACGGGGAATGTGTTGCGGATCTCCGTGGCGCCGGTCAAGACGAGCATCGCCTCGCTGACCTGAGGGGCGTGCTGGAGAACGTTTCGGATCATGGTGTTGACAAAGGCAGACTGAGCGCCAGATACGAGGAAAGCTCCGCCAAGGCCCTGGAAGAAGAGAAGCATGCCGGTAGAGGCGGCGAGGTCCTGGGGGTCGGCCAATGCCTGAACCGCAATCATGGGGATCTGAAAGGCGCAGCCCCAGCCAGCTCCGGCGATGATCTGGTAACCAATCCACTTGCCAGTCGACGTGTTTACACCCATCGTGTACAAGAGGCCAGCGCCGATGGTGGCGACGGATGTGCCTCCGAGGAGCAGAGGCTGGTACCAGCCAGTGGCGGTGACCAGGACACCGCTTGTGACGGTGGAAAAGGAGACGGCAATGATGAAGGGCAGGTTACGGACACCGCTCATGGTTGGGTTGGTGCCGTGAACGGACTGGAAGTAGATGGGGATGTAGTAGATGGCGGCGAAGAAGCCACCAGCCTGGATAAAGGCGACCAGCGACATGACAAGGTTGGTGCGCTTGGTAAACAGCTTGGGCGGCACCATGGAGTAATCGCCCTGGAACCACTGGACAAGCGCCCAAGCAGCGATGATGAGGGCGAATCCAACGAGGAGGCCAATGACGACGGAGGAGTTCCAGGGGTGGGCGATGCCGCCGTACTGGACAGCCAGGATGAAGGTGACGGTGGCCCCCATCATCAGGATCACACCGAGGGGGTCCATCTGGCGGATCTTCTCAACCAGAGGCGCCTTGACGGGAACCGCATTTCGGGGAGTCTGGAAGAAGATGAAGATGATGGCGGCAGAGACACCGCCGATGGGCAGGTTGATGTAGAAGCACCATCTCCAGGAGACGTGGTCGGTAAAGGCCCCTCCCAGCAGCGGTCCGATGACACTGGCGAAACCATACGAAGCACCAATGATGCCCGTAAACGCAGGGCGCTTCTTAGGCGGCGCGGAAAAGGCAATGATGGTGTACGCGCCGGCACCGAGGCCCGCGGCGCCGAGGCCCGCGATGGCTCGGCCGGTGATGAGGGCCTCGGCGTTGGGGGCGGCGCCGCAGACGACGGAGCCGAGTTCGAAGATGAAGATGGCGATGAGGAAGCTCGCCTTGAGCGGAAAGTACTTGTAGACCTTTCCCCCTGCGATGAAGTTAGTATGATGGGAAATGTTTTTACGGAGAATGGTGGTGACGACGATGGAGAGCTTACATGTAGATTGAAAAGCGCCGACAGTCATGAAGAAGGCAGCGCCATACCAGCCAGCCTTGTCGAGACCTTTGAACTCGTCGGTGATTTTGGGAATGGCGGTGGCGACGATTGTCTGAAAGAAGAATTAGCATTCAAAACTGTCATATATAGATAAAGACACAAGCTCACCATGTCGAGACTCAGGAGAAAGACACTCAGCACCAGGGCGAGCACGATGAAGAACATCTTGACACCCGAAGGGTATTCATCCTCTGATAGCTCGTCATTCTGGACCGAAGCAATCTCTTCCTGCTTTTCATCTGTCCCGTCTCTCTTTTCATCTCGCTTCCCACCATCGAGGCCGAGGTCAAGAGCCTCATCCTCGTCTCCTACGCTAGGCACAGGAGTCTTGCTGTCAAAGTCCTCGCCATTGAGAGTCGTGGTAGTCGAAGCTACTGCTGCATGCAGCCGCTCAGGGGTCTGCGATTTCGAGTGTAAGTCTGCCATTGCGACAAGGGAAGCCTGTCTCTCGGATGTGAGTAGTGCGAGATCAGGGTGGTATCGAGCAGCCGTGTTGACAAGGAGTCGAAGCAAGCTCCGTCACCACATCCCGGCCCTCGTCCATCCTATATATGCTGGGGATACGAGTAGATGGATCAAACCCAACATCAAGATAGAGAAAAATCTCCATCAGGCGGATTCCCAAGTCCGCTAGGGCCTCGTCACTCGTGCTTGTTTTCTTCTTCTTTATCCACACGCCCCCTTGAGCCGTTATGCGAACACGACGTGAATGCTAGCATGGCCCTCCTCGACCCGCTCTGGGCGTATAAGTGCACCTACCTACTCTCTCGACCCTCGGACACTTAATCTCCAAAGTCCGCAGGGGTGACATTGATCTCCCATGCTGACTCAATTAAGCTCATCATCAGATTGTCGAGCCTGGTTGGCCGCCTTATGCATGTTTAGCTTTTTCTTCCCAAGACATGAATGTTTTGCTTTGTGTTACAAAGAGACGGAGCGACGGGGTGGAACTGCGTGCCGCAAGCGGTCCAGGACAGTGATGGATGTTAGCGGCCCAAAGCGGCTCGCATGAGATTTTAGATGTTTACAATGAATGGGCTCGGGTACTCGTACGGACCCAGTCCAAAGACCGAAGCATCAATCAATCGATGTAATCTGAAAACAGGCCATGTGTGCAGCTATTCACAGCAATGTCCAGGTGTCGTCTGAGTCCCTTGCATCAGAGACAATGTGCTCATACCCAACCCAAACTCAACTCAACACAACCATCCGAGATGCAAATTCGGGAAAATGTTGTTGCATTTTTCTTTTACACTGAATTGTTGCCACCAGAGATTAAAAACAAAGGGCGTGCGAGTCAGAATCTAAAGTTGAAAGGAACGGGCAGCATAACGCTTAAACGCGAGATCCCAGACTAACACGGCATAAGCAAGCACAACGCCCAACCACGAGCAAGACTACCGACCGCTAAGCTTCTAGCAGGATCCAAGGTTTGACTCGATCCGGGATCGCCTCAAGGCCCCGGTGACTCACTAGCCTCAAAGAAATCTCTGCTCAACATCAGCTTGATCCAGTCAAGGTTTGCCTAACCACCACGGCGTGACCCCCCCTGTCAACTATGTCTCTACCGTACTGTACCGTAACTCAGTCAGATTCACCAGCAATAGGTATGGACAGTAATGCTTTCGCACACAACTCGCACACATGAACGGAGTAACCCCCTATCCACCCTAAACGCCTAGAGACGTCCTCCAAGAGCCTCTAAACAGCCGAGCCCCATCCTGATCTCTCCGACAGCCATCGGTTACGGAATTAGGACTCCGGACAATTCACCACCTCTTGCTGCCCAGCTCTTTGCTCTCGACCAAACGGAAGCAAGCGGATGAAATATTGAGCCGGACTGCGACAAGCCACTACCGCGTCCAGCAGCTAATTCCAGCAATCCCATTGGGGGGGGTACCGGGAATTGCAGCGAATCTCTGCTTGAGGGGGAGCCAGAATACATGTATTTCTGCACGCTATGGCCTCTAGCACGCCGTAGCATGTTTCCATGTTTGTAAGCCTTCCAAGCTGGGCTGGCGGAGTTTTGTAATGTCCGCCGAACAAGATAGGGCCATTGGTGACGACGGCATGGAAATAGGCTCGAGATGGTGGTTTTGCGGCCAGCAACTCCGACGCCTTTGAGGGATTGCGGTTCGAGAACCTGCGCCATCCCAGCCTCTTTTCTCCCTTGCCTAGAGGCATGAGATGAGATCCGCGCCGCAAGGGAAGGGATATTTCCGCCAGGCATCAACACATTACAAATGAAGTCCGAAGTTTTTTTTCTCTTTCTTTTGAAAGGCATCGACCCTCCGGAAGGATTCGTCTAGATGATGTTGATGATGCAGCTTGCGGGTGTGTGTGCGTTGGCATTGATATCGGGCGAGGCAAACGACAGTGATGTACACAATGACGACTTGGTGTGTTTCAATTTCGGGAGACGGCACTTTTGTGAATACAGCCGGGATGCATGACATCCTTTTTAGAGCAGTAGATTATGAGATCCTTATTTGTTTGCTGTCAATCAGTGGCGGCAGAGCGGCCAACAGATGTACTCGACCCAACAAACTACACGCCCCCTCCTCTCCTCTCCATGTTTGACGTTTCAGTGATTTCGTAGTACAATGCAAATTTGCTGTTTAAAGGATGATTCAGTTTGTAATTTCTTGCAGTGCATCACCTGTTCGCAATGACATGTCTGTAGATGATGTCTTGAGCGTAGACCGATCTTATATCACAGCTCTTGTCCAACACATGTACATGCAGATATCACATAGTAAGAGGCTACAGAGTAGACGCTGAGGCCATCACACATAATAATGACACTTGTCCTCTTAACATCATCATATTTCGTGGGAGTATACTTGGAAGTACTTTATCTAGACGAATCGCGCTGAGACGCAGGATTTCAAGTAGCAACTATAATAATAGAGTTATACATTCATTAGGAACAGACATGCTTTTTTACATCAACGCAATATGGACTATCCTCTTGGCATATGTAACAATGAGCAGTTGACCAAGGGCGTCGAAGGATCATTAGTCGTCGTCGTCTTATATCATACGGAGCAGCCGTGATATGCCAGTGTCCACCCTTGCGGGCGCGCCAGATCCTTCCATTCAATTCAACCAAATCCTGTCAGGCAAATTGACCATGATAAACTTTCTCTTTCTTTTTCTTTCTCTTCAGTGTCGCATACAAATTCTTTGTTCTCATGCGATGCACGCCCATCAGCCAAGCTACGCCGTCTTGAAAGGGCTCCAGCTGTATATGCAAGGTTTCGGAGACCCATTTAGTTCCTTTGGTGGAGATATGGGACAAACAAAGAGTATCTTCTTGCCCAAAGAACATGATATCAGTGGTGCTGACGCCATATTGTGAAAAGCTCAACTATTTCCATCGTCATTGACTCTCGAACTGAAGGATTCCTGCCCTCTAGTATTACGCAGACTGTCCACTCCGAAGTAGCGCAACTCGCGCTTGAACGATGGCGACGACCCCTTGAAATGGCTCACGAAGCGATAGTATGGAAATATCTTTTCAAGTCAGCATGCACGTGAAACTCTTCCTGTTGCGTGCGAAAGTCAATGTCGCTATGGCCAATGTGATGATATCTTGCATCGGTGGAGGGTTTGCGTTCCAATGGAGGACAAGCAATTAAGTGAAGAGCCAGGGCTATCAATGCCTTTTGATATAACAGTTACTCCACGATATTTGAGTCTGAGCATATGTACTCAACAGCCCAAAACCTCGCTGGTTTTCCATCGCGAATTGGTCTATGAAGCCATCATGACATCTAAGCCTCTGAGTCACAATGCCTACAGCGTCGGATGGATCTGCGCCCTATCAGAGGAGCGAACAGCTGCAACAGCGATGCTAGACGAGAGGCACGACCCTCTTCCAATGTCCAATCCACACGATGCCAATTCTTACACCTTAGGGGCCGTCGGTAAGCACAATGTCGTTTTGGTGTGTCTTCCCGAAGGCGAGATAGGAACCAACTCGGCTGCAAGCGTAATTATGCAGCTGGTGAATTCGTTCCCGTCCATCAAGTTCGGTCTCTTGGTAGGAATAGGCGGCGGTATCCCTCCACACGTCTGACTGGGAGATGTCGTTGTTAGTAGTCCTGTAGGAGAGTACCCTGGAGTGATTCAGTGGGATCTGGGCAAGGCGACGGAGACAGGTTTCGTGAGAACCGGATCGTTGGACCGCCCTCTAAAGGTGCTACTCTCAGCCTTGACGACGATGAAGACTAACTATGAAATGGAAGGACACAAAGTATCTTAATTTCTAGAGGAGCTCGCCAAGAAATGGCCAAGGCTTGCTTCTAAATATACTTGGAATGATGTGCTTACAGACACTCTGTTTGTACCAGAGAACGCGAAGCCCACAAACAACGCATGGCAGACAATAGCAACCCTCATGGGCTATCTGCCAGGATATAAAGAACCCAAGCTCATCAGAAGGACCAATAATGCTGATGCAGAGGTCATGGATGACGAAAGAACGCCCGGTGATCCGGAAATCCACTACGGATTGATTGCGTCGGGAAACCAGGTCATCAAAGATGGTTCCATGAGGGACGAAATCAATGCAAGATCGGGCGGCAAAGTCCTCTGTGTGGAGATGGAGGCAGCGGGAATGATGAACAACTTCCCACGCCTTGTCATTCGAGGAATATGCGACTATGCAGACTCGAAAAAGAATGATCACTGGCATGGATATGCTGCAGGTATAGCAGCGGCGTTTACAAAGGAACTTTTGCAGATAGTGCGACCTGCAGAAATTGATGGGGAGCCTTCGGCGAGAGATGTTTTGAATCAGGGTGAGTAATTGACATCTTCTCACTTCAGCTACAAATGAAATTGATCGGAAATGCAGTCTACCAAAGTGTGGGCCACATCCAGTTGAAGATGGATCAAGTAGAAGAGAAACAGATACTCGACTGGCTTACACCTACAGACTATGGGTCATTGCACAGCGACTACAGCAAGCGGTTCAACCTGGAACTGGGCAGTGGTTCCTCGAACGAAGACGATTCCAAAATTGGATTACGGGTAGCCACAATACATTGTTTTGTCATGGCATTCCCGGAGCAGGCAAAACTACAATAGCCTCACTAGCCATCAATCATCTCTCATCAAAGTTTCGAGGCAACTCTGACATTGGCATAGCTTATGTCTATCTCAACTACAACAGGCAGGAAGATCAAGATGTCCAGAAGTTGCTTGCGAGTCTGTTGAAGCAACTTGCTGGGGGCTGCCATCCTCTACCAGAAAGCACCAAGGAACTGTATAATGAACACTTGAGGGGAAGGACACGAGAATCGCTTGAAGAATTGAAAACGGATCTTAGGCGTGTTATCACGAAATACTCCGAAGTCTTTATCATTCTCGATGCCCTTGACGAATGCCAATATTTCGAATTGAACCTCTTCCTTTCTACACTGTTCGAGCTCCAAAAGGAGCATGTGATGAGAATTTTGACAACCTCGAGACCTATTCCAGAGATCATGGATTGGTTCGATACTCTCAACAGCATCAAGCTACAGATACGCGCCAAGGCCAGGGATGTGACCAAGTACATAGACGCCCATATAGACAGATCACCTAAAGTCGCTCGTGAAAGTCCGACTCTAAGGAATGAGATCAAGTCGGATATATCTGAAGCCACCGATGGAATGTACGTGATGAAATATTAGAGAAACAAAACACTATTAACATGTGATAGGTTCCTTTTGGCTCAAATATATCTTGTTTTGCTTCAAGACAAGACGACGGTGAGCGACATACGCAAGCAATTAGTAATCTTCAAATCCCGGAATACAGAGAACAAGGGTGATCGAAAGGGGAAAATACTTGCCTATGCGTACGAACAAGCTATCGATAGAATTAGAAATCAGAAGGAAGGCATTAGAAACCTAGCAATGCGAGCGCTGGCATGGGTCACACTCGCAAGGAGACAAATCACCACATCAGAGCTTCGGCATGCTCTTGCAACGCAACAAGGGATGACTACACTCAGCCACGACGACTTGCCTGATCTCGCAGACATAGTCTCAGCTTGTGTGGGATTACTTACTGTCGATGAAGAAAGTCGCATAATTCGGCCGGTGCACTATACAACGCATGAATATCTGGAGCAAACTCACAGTTGTTGGTTTCCCAGCGCTGAGGAGTCGATCTTGAGAAGCTGTCTTACATGTCTTTTATTTGACGTCTTCGAGTCCGGATCTTGTCAATCAGATGAGGCATTTGAACACAGAATACGATCCTTTCCGTTATTTCATTATGCCGCGAATCACTGGGAATGTCACCTTTCTCACAACACGGGAGCCATGGAAGACGTGATACATTTTCTCGAGAGCCAACCTAACGTTGAGGCATCGATGCAAGCACGATTCTTTGAGAAGCAGCACCCTCTACACCACAATTATAGCCAGAATTTTCCCTCGGGAATGACAGGACTGCACGCGTCTGCAGTCTTGGGGCTCACGGAAGCTCCAAAATTGCTCCTTGGACGTGGTCACGGTCCAGACGCAATAGACGATTACAAGTTTACTCCCTTATCATGTGCCTCTTTCTACGGCCACGAAGCTGTAGCTGAGCTATTGGTATGTGCGGGAGCAAATCTTGAAGTAAAAGACTTGAGAGTTGGACGCACGCCGCTCATACAAGCTGCCGCAGAAGGGCATGAGGCCGTAGTCAAGTTGCTTATAGAGAAAGGAGGTGATGTTAATGCACAAGATGGGGTTGGCCGAACACCGCTATCTGTTGCTGCGTTTTACAAACACAAGACGGTGATCGAGCTACTCTCACAGAGCGACGGCACCATTGACGCCAAAGATTCCTTCGGTAAAGCAAGTTTGTTTTACTCTACCGGTCTACGTGCTATGAACATGTTCCCCTGGGTTGGCGCAAAGGAGAAACCAAATGTGACTCAAAATAATACGCCGTCAAAACCCAATGATGTCGATATTCATCAGTTAATGGAGAGCGGCGCGGATTTGAGTGCGAAAGACGACGGTGGCCGTACACCGCTTTCGCATGCTGCCGAATTTGGAGAACTCGACATCGTCCAGTCACTTATTGAGACGAACAAGGTCGATGTAAACGAGGCAGATGGTGAAACTGGCATGACACCACTGCACTGGGCTGTGGTAAACGGTCACCTCTCTGTCGTGGAGCTTTTGGTCAGTGCTGGAGCGCAGCTCGAGATGAAAGAGATGCAATATCAAATGACGGCTTTGGTATTAGTTATTCACCATAAGCAGAAGCCTATCTTTGACTTGTTGCTTCAAAAAGACGCCAACGTACACGTATCGGATGTAACCAGCGAAACGACTCTGTATCACGCCGCCCGTTGGGGAGAATTGGCCGTGATTCAACAATTGATAGACAGAGGCGTCGATGTAAATGCCAGAATTGCTGATAGCTACACCGCCATATTTCAAAGTATCCGACAAGGCAATCTCGGTGCCGTAAAGCTGTTGGTCGAAAAAGGTGCTGATGTTGATGCTTCAACACAAGATGGATACACGCCCCTTCACTGCGCTGCCATTGGAAACATCGACATAACAAGGATGTTGGTGGAAAGAGGTGCCGATGTCAATGCGAAACACGATGGCCATACAGCACTACCTCTAGCTGTCGTGACTGGAAATATCGACATCGTAAGGCTGTTAGTCCAGGCGGGTGCCGATGTCGATGTCAGAGTACACCACAGCGCAACACCATTGATGATGTCTCCATGGTACAATCTCTACGACATCATCCAACCGTTGGTAGATTTGGGCGCCGATGTCAACGCGACGGATAAACTTGGTAATTCACCGTTATTGTATGCTATTTTCGCCGATAACGTACGTATGGTCGAGTTACTGGTAGGGATGGAGGACATTGATGTCAACAGCCCAGATCCCGAAGGAAAGACACCGATTTATTTCGCCAAGTGTTTGAAGAGGCATAGAATCATCAAAACTCTACTTGAATCGGGTAAGCTTACAAACTATTATAGCGGATAAGGAGAACAAAATTAGATGGGAATCGGAGCCAAACTAAGGTAGTAAGTGATGCACTCCAAGGTACATATATGATATAGTACCTTTTATTACTGTGGTAGTACAGAGTATGTGCGCTCAACCTCAATGTGAAGACTACCTACCTAGGTATACACGTTTAGGAATGCATCATTATAGGCAAATCGGTGCGCAAAGAGTTTTTGCGAATTCTCATTGCGGTGAGATGTTTGTCACGAAATCACCCCCAAAGACGGTACATTATATATTTCAACTTTACACCATCAATTCCATGCCCTAGTAGCTTTCTCGTTTAAAAAGAAAGAAAATATGTAAGTATTCTATATATCCAGCCAATAGAGATAAGCTTGAACAGTGACTTAGTGTACACCCGAAGGATGGCGAGATGATGATGGTCGTTCAACGTTATTTCATGCCATTGCAGAGATGCGACGGTGAAGCCATCGTGGAGTTGATGATGGATGCAGTTGACGTCCGCAGCCCAGATGCGACGGGCATGACGCCGACTGCCTTTGCTTCAAACGTGTAGGGTTATAGACAAGGATTGAACGACATACATGATTAAACGGTGCTTTAGTAAATAAAACAAGAATAAAGAGTTGCTTGAGATATGTATGTGCAATTGCTCTAGTGCAACGTATAGACTGTTCATGGAAGTGATCAACCGTTCCATGCTCATGCTCGGAATAGTCTCACTGGCAGCCAGCCATTCTTTGTAATCCAAATCCAGGTACGTCACCTAGTCTATGCAACGCAGCATTGATCGCAGATGGCCAAATGCACGTCCCGTTTCAAATCTCACCACCGGTTGTCAAATGCCGAGCCCAAGCCAAGATCGACACGCGTTGAAAAGCAGGTCAAGCCCCGATCCAGCAACGATCTTTGCATCGTCCCGCTGCTCTGTCAATCTGTGACAGCAGCATCTTTTAGCGTCTTTGTCCGTCAAATAGTCCGAACGCTGCCACGACTAAGCCTGAACGAGTATCCAGCTATAACGTGATGTCATCCATAGCTCAAGAGCAGATTCGCTATCGTCAGAAATGGCGACGTAGATTCGTATCTCTCGTCCCGCCTATTGGACGGCCAAATTCAAGCTCGGCGCCGCGAATCGAAACATCGTGACAGCGCCCTGGCATCACGTCACCTGCTGTCATGCGCAACCCTCGCCAAAGTATATTCACACGGTCTGAGCTGAATGAATCCTTGGCACGGGCACAGCCACCGATAGCATCGACTTCACGAATATTACCACAAGCAAGTTTCGCCTTCGCCTTCGACTTCGACTTCGCCTTCTCCTCAACAACAACCCGCTGAAAACTCGGGATTTCCAGTCAGCATATACATAAATCCATGGACGATCCGCCGCCGTATCAAGACTCCAGCGAAACCTACGGCCTCGGCCCGGGTGCGCAAGACGATATCCTCTCACCGACAACGCTCTACGTCGCCGGGCGCTTCATCCACTCCGTTGATCCCTGGGCGCCGCCGCTGTACGAGCTCTCGCATTCGGTCGGCTTCCTCAAGGACACGGATCGCAATGTGCGCATCGAGAGGCTCGACTACTCGATGAAGCGGCGAGACGGTGTGGCCCAGCTGGCGGCGCGGAAGCGGCATATCTATGACTTGAAGCACCCCCTGCGGGTTACCGGCCCGACATTTGCGTATCATGCCGAGCCTACCTCACGACAAAGCCTCTGCGCCTTTGGCTTGGAGAGCTTCCGGCCAAGGAAACTGTCGACAACAAAAGGCTATCGCATTCGGCGCGCAACCGCAACAAAGTCTCTCGACCATCAACTTGTGCGTCGGGACATTCTCTTTTCGGCCATCCCCACCAAAGACAAAGCCGTTCGATACGAGTGGAGCGACGCAGACGGTCAGCTAGTCGCGCGAGAAGTGACTGAAGGCAACTTCATGACATTGGTTGTCAGCGCCATGATGGGTGCTTGCGAGAGAGACGCGCTGGTGTCTGCGTGGATGTCGAGAGTTTGGTCGGAGCTTGCGAAGAAGACGGACCCGTTTGGTTAGGAGGACTGTACCAAAGCATCAAAGGTATACTGAACCAGAATGGAATTTGACGACTAGCTAGCATATTTTGGGTAAGCTTTCTCCCAGCGAGTTCAAAGCGGTGGTATTGATTGACACGATTAGATGGGTCAACGCGATCATGATGTTATGAATTTGGTGTATGATAGTCAATTTCAGTATATATCCCATAAGCTCACTTTTCCATCTTTTGCCCCGGCTGCGATCCAGTGCGCCGTCTTTGCAAGCTGAAGCCTGCGGTCTTTGACGCTCATTCCGGGTCCTTTGATCAGGCTCGATGTTACTTGCGTGTCGTTGGATGGCGCTTGCGGCGACGCACTGGTGGCCTCTTTCACGTTGTTCTCGGTTGGTTGCTCGGAGGGCTTGGATTTGGCGTTTTCGGGGGGATTTGACAAAGGGCTTGGCTCATCTACAGTGGCAAAAGCGACAGCATACGCCCCGACTTTGTGCCAGCCAAGTACGGCCAGTTCCTTGAGAGTCTTGGCCGAATATATACGTATCTTGGAATCCCACCCGGCTGTGGCAAACAACTTTCCGTCGGATCTGACCTTGAGGTTTTGTTGACCAGAGTGCTTCGTGTTAATCACTTTGAGCGGATGCTCCCATTCCTTAAGTTTCTTGCGCCTCGATCTGGTTTCTGAAGCGGCAGCGTCTCTTAATGCTGCCGAGAGCAGGGAATTTCCCGTGTTGCTTTGGTGAGGCTCGACGACTTCCGTAACCCTTTGGTCAGGCTCAAAGTCAGCATCCACCTCTTGTTGGGAGATTGGAATTGGATGCTTCGCTATTAGCGCGTCTGCTGCTGATGTGAAGAAGTATTCTCGACTAGGGTGAACATCTATAGATAGAATCGGCTGCGTGTGTGCCTGTGACCGGTATGTCATTGTCCAAGACCCATCGGGGCCCAGACGGTGTACAGAGACAAACCCGTTCTCAAAGGCCGCCGCTAGTGTTAGGCACCCTTGGTGATGAAAAAGAGATAGACTCATGGCCATGCCACTTTTTGGACTGGATTTGATAGTGTGCAACCTATTTTGGCTTGGGAGGGTGTAGATGTCAATCTTCAAAATCTGTTAGTTACTCGTAGAGCTCTGTCGAGTACCACGGCTGCTTACGGCTTCCGACGCCAGTGTGTTTGGTACGGCGATGATGACTTCTGCTGTGGGTGAGGCCTCTTCGAGCGAGCCCTGCTCAGCGTCACTGAGACAGGCGCCAAATGAGCAAAAGTTCATTGTGTTCACCTCCAACAGATGAAGCACCCAAGGCTGGGGGCGCGGCGTGGGGGTGTCTTCCAGGGGCAGAGAAACGCTGAGCCGACCCTCGTCCTCCTCTGTGAGCTTCCACACGATGAGCTTGTGGTCGCGGCCATGGCTTTAAGCTCGAGTCAGTAACAAAATTGATTCCACGGCATGAAGAACAGGACATACGTGATGATCCTGTCGCGACCCCACCCCTTTATGCCGAGAATTGCATTCTCATGGGCCCTCCAAACGGCCCTGGGCCGCATGATGGTGAGGTCCCAGAGCACCACCCAGCCCTCCGCATCGCCAGTCGCAAGGCGCTCGTTCTGTCTCACGAATGTGGCGGCATGGATCTGGGCCTTGTGGCCTCGTAATATCGCTTTTGGCGACGGCGTTGATTCAGCCATGTTTTTTCCCCGCCTTTGCAGCCAACTAACTGATGAATGCCTATCAGCTGAAACATTGCTACCCTAGCAAAGCGGGACACTCCATGAGCAGGAAGAGAGCATCTGTCTGAGAGTCGATTCTGACGCGTTGGGTTGTGCCAGAGGGCGAGTATCGCAAGTCCAAGAGGCGTCGAGTGATACAGAGCAAGTTTATCAGTCACGTGCATGGCCGTCGTATACATCACACAAGCTCCTCTCAACAACATTTCACATCTACAACCCGTACAAACTCCTCCACTCAAATCTTTGTCCATTCCAGGAACTCAAATCAACCTGAAAGATGCGACCAAATTATCTTGATGCGTGGGGGGAGACGGCCAGAGCTTGAATTTGAACGTCATCCAGGGCGGGTGACCGGCGACCTACAGGCAACTCTCATGCTGCGTTACTCTCAAGGTCTCAGACTTCTGCAACCTCGATGAGCCATCCTTCATCTCTTTGGTTACAGCAAGCGATGATCCCTATCCCGGGAGGTGCCACCATCACAAGGCATCTCATGAAAGTACTTCACTTCTGTTCACCTCCCTCTGAGACATGCATGTGAACCTTGTGGGCTGAGCACTGGCCTTGGCTCCGGATTGGTCTCTGCCACGATCCATCTTTGTCAGACTCTACCTAGGCCTTTTCTTTTCACCTCGAGGCCTCCGCACGAACAGAAGGAGGGGGTCCCGGTACCTCTGATAGGGTAATTTTGTTTGCACTGGTCACCTACCTCCATGTTTAATTGACATGGTTCTTCCTGATCCAAAGGACCAGGCAGGCTAAGGAGCTCACATGTCTTTCCAGCAAGCCACCGCCACGAGTTTTCAGCAAGTCAGGCTACTGGACATTTCAAGACTGATGCCTGGAAGCCTTGGGCAGGCTCGGCAAACGCCGTATCTTTTGCACCATCCAGCGAGCTCACTGTCCCAAGCTCTGGAATCTCACTGACATCAACTCAGAAGAAATCGGGTCGCAACTAGAGATGTATTGGATGATGGTAGATCAGTCGAACGCGCTGTGTTGTGGCCTTGAACACCTCAGGGCAGATTTCGGAGGCGGTACTTGAGAGTAGCATCTCTGGTACTCCCTGCAGCGAAAGCTGAGGTGATAGTCCTTCGGGCAGTCCGATTCAAGGAAAGGGCTTTCGTCAGCTGAATTTATGCGGCATGCTTCAAAAAATACCGTCTACCTCTCTGAAATGGTGTTTTTCGCTGCCCGGTGCTGCAAGTTGACACGGCGGTCTGCATTCGCATCGGTCGGTTGGGAGAAACCTCACATATGCGGATGGCCTTGGATACGCACAGAGAGGCACTACTTGAACATTTCATTGTGTACGACTATGATGATTTCGCCTATATCAGCGACTTTTCCCCACTGAACATGTTTTACTGCAATATAAGTGCATTAGGTGGTTCCGACCAGAAGAGGGACGAGGCTGTCCACTTGTCGAGCGCGTCGCGTGTTTTGCCGGTCTCCCTCACAACCCCGGACACACTTTTGTGTCCTGTGTGAGTCCAAGGCAGATGCTACTGCTGCAACGATGCCGGTGGGCTCATGCCCATCCCATACCAACTTGCCACTTCCCTCGGCCTTTAGCAATACAGGGCCCGGTGTCCCCTGACGCCACTTTATGCTTAATATCGGCCGTGCTATAAACGGCATTTTCGAGGGATTGTCGTCACCAGAGTGGCCATATTCCGGGTTCAGGCGCTCGAGGCCGGTGTGATTCAAAAAGCTTATCACAAGTGTCATGGTTGGTGTTACAGAGATGCCAGTGGTGAAAATCTCTGGAGCACTGGAATACACCCTTGGCCCATGGTTCCATCTGCACATTCTCCTCAATTTTGTAGTCTTGGTTGGGCAATACAAACACCAAACATCTCGTATCACCGTCACAAATGCTGATGCAATCTGACTGGGGTTCAACAGAGGAATCTCATAACCTCCAAACTCTTTTGCTCTGCATCCATCGACACTTCACCGGTTGTTGATGGAGACATTCTGATTCTAACGGCTACCTGCGCCAATCGATCATTATAGGAGTAGTGATTATACTCGCAGTGATCTCCATCAAAGTATGATACAGACCGGGCTCTTCACCGCAAGACGCAAATCAACACTCCACTCGGATGAACTTGATCATCTTGGAGCTCTTCACTACCTAATACTTTCTGTTGCATTCAGGGTCTATTAATCACACCAATACACTGTACCAGGCACGGTTTCGAAGCTGAAACTACAGATAATAACGTTAGGCGTATACAGGTAATCTTACTTTCTTGGGGGCAACAACAAACCTTCTTTGTCCCTTGACCTCGGACTGCCCAAACTGGGGACAGTTGACAGGTATGCTCACTAATCCTTTGGAGTGCAATCTGAAGGTTACTTGTTGCCAGTCCTCTGGGAACTAAACTGCGAGGAGATTCTGCTAGGAGGGAGTTTACGAGTCATTCTGATCTTTGGAGCATCGCCAATAGCTTCGAGTCGAGTCATTTCCACAAAATCAACTATGCATGTTGAATATTCCAGCAGGTATCCATACCATATACCAACCCCAACCGAAAAGGCTGCAATGAAAAGTCTCTATTCAGGAGATTTGCCCATATCCAGGCCTACGCCCAAGTCGAAGCGAGTGCGCACTGGCTGCCTGACATGTCGAGATCGACACCTCAAATGCGACGAGTCAGTCCCAGCTTGCCGAAACTGCGAAAAAGGCGGTCGAAAGTGTATACGTGGAATTCGACTCAATTTTCAGAATATTACGATCCATGATTCATCTTATTTGGTTCCATTTGGTCCTCGTAAATGTATGGTTGGGTGCTCCCAAAATATCTTGGATTCTAGGCTGATATGCATACATCTAGTCCTATTCCAAGATGATTCTCGGCGTATTGCCTCAGAGTATGAAGGGGGGTCGAGCAGATATGAAGATACTACGCATAGCCAACATGTCAACTACAACACGACAATCCAGGCGCAGCTCCCAAGCCCAGACTCAGCACCACCCGACCATGTTCTTCAAGGGCATATATGGCACGTTTATATATCGCCAGAAGGCTCAAACACAACGAGGAGCATATATAGCGACAGTTTGATACTGCAAGCAACTGAATGGCGTAAAGATGGGGAGGTCGAATCAGGGCCCATGGGCTTGTCTGAAGTTGAAGATCGATCGAATGTTAGCGAACCCATTGAGGACGACAGCGTTACTTGTCCAACTACTACGCTTGCCACTTCAGAGCGCGAATTCCTCGACATGCCCGAACATGTGCGATATATGCAAATCTATGTAGAAGAGGTCGCAACATGGATGGACTCGTTCAACAAGGAAAAATACTTTGGCGAATTCCTACCATACAGAGCGCTCGACTCTCCGTTACTGCTCTATTCTCTCTTAGCCTGCGGGATTCGACGCCTGTCCCAGCGCCATCCCGACATGAGCGATACAGCTGCAGCATATTACAGTACGGCGAATATGCAGCTGTTTCGCTATCACGAGAACCCAGAGCGTGACATTGAAGAGTGTTCAACCGTAGCAGTCATTCTCAAGCTTTACAATCTCATATTCAGAGAAGGCCCGCAGAGTGGCGGCCATAGTCCTGCCGTGCTCAACTCCATCATCAGCGAGAGCCAATGGAGTGCAGAGAGCGACGGCATTGGGTCAGCCTGTTTCTGGCTAAACGCCTATCTGGATATTGTCGGCAGCTTGGAAGCAGGATACTGCTTGTATGTTGACTCTTGGAGCGTCGATATGGCCATGCCCAGCGACGGCAGCGAGTTCATGACCCACGGGGACGAAGAGCTGTGGGTGCAACGGATGCTCTTTATACTCGGCAGGGTGATAAGCTATAGGCTATGCGTGCTATCGTTTACGGATGTAGATTTGCGGGAGAATAGGACGCTGGAGAATCTTCTTCCGGAATGGAGGCGATTGAAGCAGCTTTGCGATCAATGGAACGATGCTTGCCCGAGGAACATGCGTCCGTTGGGATACATGTACCCCGATCAGACGGAGCACAATTCTACTTTTCCGAAAACATGGTATGTCTGACGCTCTCTTCTATGATGATTACAACATGAGATCTGACCTCTTTTGACTAGGCTTCCTAAACGAGAGGCTGTTTTCTGTCGCCTTTTATACCATACTGCACAGTCTATACTTACGCAGACACATCCCATGGAGCAGACCATGCTTTCGGAGGAAATGATTGCGCTTCAGCTGCACCATGCTCGTGAGGTATGTGGGATTGTGGCCCACACGGAGGATAGCTGCCTGGGACCAATATCCGTACAGGCGCTTTTGGTTGCCTTGGGTGCCCTGGTGGAAGACGAAGAACGCATGGAAGTCCTGAACATTCTACAGAGGATGAAGGCTCAAATCGAATATCCACAGTGAGATGCTCAAGGCCGCTTGAGGTTGGATATAGACTAGTTGCGCTGCGATGATGGCAAATGAGCTCAGATCAACTATGAATCCAGAGAGTTGCAAGCGTAAGATCATGTATACGACCGCTCTATCATCTACATCGCTATAATCATGACCATATATCATCCAAGCAGTATCCCACCAATCATCCACGTAGCCTTCTGCCAATGGAGAGTATCTTCTCGCCCCGTCATGACGATGAACCTCCCTGTGAGAAATTCATGCTATACCCTCCCGTCTTTTCATCCTTGACCATCTGGAAATTATTGGTGCTCAGCCCAAACGGCTTAAGAATACCATCGCCGAGACTCTTCAACTTCCCCCACATCTCCGACATCTCAGCCTCCTGAGCGGCCTTTGTTCGCGACGGCAAGGCCTTGAGCTGTGCACGAACGGTGCGCTGATCGGCCGGCGTCAGCCCAGGCATCTGAGAGAGCGCGCGGTAGTCCTCTTCCGCGCCGGCGAGGTTCGACCAGCCGCCGGCCTCGGAGCGGGCGCGCGCGCGCCGAAGCAGGGCTTTGGTGCGGATTCGGAGGATGTCTGCTTTGCGATTCTCCAGGGCTACTTGCTCTGGGGTTGGTTGAGCGGATGCGGAGCGAGCGGCGCCAGAGCTGACGATTTCTTCTTCCACATCGTCTTCTTCTTCAGCGGGTGTGGTATCTTGGTTGTTTGGCGTGTCCTCTTTGGGGTCGGCTGGACTTGACTCGCTTTCTAGCTTTGCCAAGCCGTCGATGGCATCTGATGCGGCTTTGATGGCTTCTTTCCATTGCTCAGCTTTCAGGTGGCATGCGGCAATGTTGCTTTGGATGACGGCGCGCTCATAGTGGAGGTAGTTGGGACATGATGCGATGGCATCGTCGTATCTGGAGAGGGCATTGTGGTAGTCTTTGGAGGCGAAGAGGGAGTTGGCGTCGGCTTTGATGGCGTGAGATTCTTTGAGGAGGGCCTAGTATGAGAAGGTGAGTGAGTATGCCAGATAGTGAGAAGATGTGAGATGTATTGATATAGGAGAGATGGCTCGTGTTAAGGACTGCCCGGGTAGTGAGTGATATGAGGCAAGCTGTAAGATTTAAGGCAACAAGACGATGGGGTGAATTGCATATGTGTATGCATGCAGAGTGAGAATGTTTTAAATACTCCGTGAAGATATAAAAGATGAATGTTGCAACACTTGGTATAGAGAGAGGTGAGGTGAGATATCCCAGAGCCTAACCCATGACATAAACGACACTAGTTTGGACTTACTGCTTCCTCCTCGGGAGAGAATTTCACCACTTCCGGCTCATCATCGGGTTTCTCCTTTTGAGATACGTCCTTTGTACTTGTTGAGCCTTTGTCTTTGTCACTCATTTTGGGGCGGTGTATGTCTCTAATGTGCTGAATGGCAGCGAGTCATGGATGGATTTGAGATTGTGAATATTGAACATGGCTAGGAGGCGTGGCTGGTGGAGAAGTGGCACGAATGCGATTATGTCAGCGGACTGAGGGGACAATTTCAGGTACCAAAGTGACATCCAATGTGCAGCCAGCACAAGACAGATCTGGTGTCATTGTAAACCAAAGCCTGCGTTGTCAATTGACAGAGCCTGGTTTTGTTACAAAATAACAATCCCACGAATAGTAAAACCAAAAAGCAATTCTCCAGCGATTCTCCGGGCGGCCCCTCCACTGACACTGGGAGTCATTCGGCGAGTCCCGTTACTGAACTCGAGTCGCCCCGCCCCCACTTGGGCCGCTGTAGATCAGAGGCCCTTGATCGATGCATAAAACCGCTGCCGGCCGCCAACGCGCGGGAGAAGAAGAAAAAAAAGTTGGCGAGGATAAGGAGCATCCCTCGATCCCTCAACTCTCGCTCAGCAGCACCTTTACATTTACACCTAAACACCATCTCTCATCAACCTCATCCTCAACCTCCTGCAACCCCCTACAAACAACCACAAGAAGTCCATCTCCTGCCACTCTCTCTAAAAATGGCTCCCCGAACTGAGTATGTTCCTCATCGCTCATTCTCATCCATCACCTGAGTGCTAAACCACAAAACCCCAGCTTCCCTCCCGTCAGAGCTTGTCTCTTCGACATGGACGGCCTCCTCCTCGACACCGAGGACATCTACACGCTCTGCATCAACCTCATCCTGGACAAGTACTCTCGCCCCTCTCTGCCCTGGTCCATCAAGGCCCAGCTCCAGGGCCGTCCTGGCCCCGCCGCCAACAAGATCTTCTTGGAATGGGCTCAGCTCCCCATCACGGCGGAAGAATTCGCAGCCGAGAACGCAGCCCTGCACCAGAAGCTCTTCCCCGGCACCAAGCCTCTGCCAGGCGTCCCCGAGCTGCTCACCAGCCTGGTCCGAACTCGGGAGCCTGGTGCCGAGACACCCCCCGTGCACATCGCCTTGGCCACGAGCTCGCACATGGGCAACTTCAGGCTCAAGACGAACCATCTCGCCGATCTCTTCTCTGTCTTCCCCGACAACCGACGTGTTGTGGGCGATGACACTCGCCTCACTCCTGGTCGTGGAAAGCCCCTCCCGGACATTTTCCTCCTCGCCCTCAAGACCATCAACGATTCGCTGCCCGAGGGAGAAGCCCCCATCAAGCCTGAGGAATGCCTCGTCTTTGAAGATTCCGTGCCCGGCGTCGAGGCTGGCCGCCGCGCCGGCATGCGTGTCATCTGGTGCCCTCACCCTATGCTCAAGAAGGAGTACGCCGGCCGCGAGGAGGAAGTCCTGGCTGGCCGAACTGGTGAGGCCGGACAAGTCGACCTGCACCAGGTCGGTGAGCTGGGCGACGGCTGGTCCGAGTACCTTGTCAGCCTGGAGAACTTTCCGTATGCGAAGTACGGCATGGTGATTCCTCCCGTCAAGGCTTGAATAGGGAACACGGGTCGATGATCTATTTCGCGATGGATATGATACGACCATTTTCGGTTTTTTTTTCCACGAGTTTTATAAAATGGAGAACGAGCCGTCTTGGTTCTAGAGATGAAGATAAAATGCTTTTCGAATTTTGGCAATTGCCAAGATACATACGTCAGAGAGACTACGGGAAACTGCTGGGGTGGGAAAATAAAGAAACCAGAGATGCCGATGGAATAGACTAGACTGGAAGAAACTGTTTTTTTCGGTATTCAGATTGCGAATATAGAAAAGTTCTTCTCATTAAATGCCGAGCACTTTAGCATAGAACTCAAAATACCATAGGGTAGCACAATAAGAGGATATTCAACTCTTTAACCGTGCTGGTCTTTTTCTCTAACAAATATCTATTAATCAAGGGGTGCCATACACAAATGCAAAACTTCACATGAACCGTGGTCAGTGATCTGAACGAGACATTGGCTGAGAATGTCGCTTCTTGGGTGTCTAAAAAGTCACCCGCGTGACGTAATATACCAAGACATGATCTGCTCATGCGCAGTATTTGGCCTTCACATTTACATCTCAAACTTCTCATAAAAGCCTCTTGTCAATACATTTGGATATGCATCACTGACATCAACATCGTATCCAACTAAGAATCACCCCCAGGAAATCAATCACGAGATAATCATCAATAAAATGTCTACACCCCTTTCTCTCACACAAACCATTCTCATCTCCGACCCTCTCGGCTACAAATCGGCCACTCAATCCCCCTTCCTCGCCAACGCTTCCCAAGGCCGCGTCTCCAAAACCCTTCTCGGCCAATGGCTCGCCAATGACCGGCTGTATATTCACGCCTACATCCGCGGCGTAGGCCGTCTGCTGAGCTTCTTGCAACTACCCGAGGTCGCGACGCCTCCTCGCGATGACACAGCTGAGCGGGAGCATCCGCCAAACGCAAAGCTCCTTCACTGGATGATTGATGCCCTTGTCAACATCCGCCGAGAAGAGGATTTCTTCGTCCGGACCGCAACCAAATACGGCATCGACGTCAATCTCCCTGCCGATGCCAACGGCCGGGTTGCCGACGACGCCAAACTCGAGGGTCTGCGCCGCTTCGAAGCTCTCTTCGACGGCATATCCCCCCGCGGCGACGACGGCGTCATCCTCCCCTGGCTCGAGGCCGCCGTCGTCTTCTGGGCGACGGAGAAGTGCTACCTCGACGCCTGGTCCGGCGCCGCAGCCCGGCTCTCCACTCCGTCGGCCAGCGAAGACGATGCCGACGGCGGGGCTCTCCGACGTGAGTTTATTCCGAACTGGAGCTCCGAGGAGTTTGCGCAGTTTGTCGACCAGCTGGGCGAGATTATTGACTCCGCGGCGCGGCGGGAGATGGAGCTGCGTAAGGACGCGGACGAGCTTGTCAGGGTGCAGTTGTTGGATCGGGCGCTGGCAAAGTGGCACGAGGTGGTGGCTGCGGAGAATGCATTTTGGCCCGCGATGGAGGAGTGAGTGAGCTGCCTCTACTCCATCGCAAGACGGGTACCTAGTCACTGTATGGCAACAAAGATGCTACGCTGGATGGAGAATGAAGACGAGCCAAGAGTTCTTGGCCGTGTCTCGACCAGCCAAGACAAACAAGTGCTCCAGAGCTGAGCCTCTGCACGGAGCAGACGGCTCTCATCACTTGTGAATATTCATCACAAAACGAGATGGAAAATAAACACAAGTGATATTTATTTAGAGATGCTGTGAATATCGACTATCAACATGAAAATGCTCGTAACCGATAGCGACCGGCGATTCAATGGCCCCCAAAAGCAGAGCCTCACCCCATCGAAACAGGACAAAAGACGCGAAGACGCAATGCGACCCCTCCCCATGATCCATCAATCCCACCAGGGTACCTACCTAGGTTAATTAATTAGTCAAATATGGGGGAATCCCAAAGGACCCTGCACAGAGTAACCTGTAACCGCCCGGCCCCTCACGGAATCGAGACACACAGACATGAGGAAAATCAGCCTCGGCGTCTAAGAGGCAAAAAGATGCGCGTCGGCTGATGGTTTGGTTGTGGCTTGCCCTTTTGGCTGCTTCAAACAACGTGGTTGCCCCTGAGAAAACAAAGAAGCACGAAAGATAGAAGTGGCTGAGCGGATGGCTGAATTGCTAATGTACCGTCCGTGTTACGGGCATGTGTAGCTCGCCGCCGCCACTTTTTTTTTTTTTTTTGGTTGTTTCGGGCTTTTTGGGAGAAGCTTTCTTCCCATCTTCCCCCTCTTTTTGGGGTCAAACTTGCGCTGAACATTTTGCGGGATGAGAGATTTGGTGGTTTGCGATTTGGGTTCTTGGAGTAAGATGCACTTTGTTGTTTTATATGAAAGTCAAACTTGTCGTGAATCCAGGTAGTCAGTCATATCTAGTACTACCTACTAAAGTACATGGAGTCCGTGTTCATGCCAACACGCTGCATGTGCCCCCTCGTATCATCCTTCTGTACCGTAATCCCATCCAGCAGACTCTCTAGCCCAATGGGCACAAAGCCAAAAGTCTGTCGACAGCTCCAGAATGTGCCGGGAAAGCCGTGGCCTGGCCTGGGTGTCCCTGTCTGATCTGACTGGCCTCTACTGCATGTACTCGACCAGTCCGGTCTGTGATATTAGCCGCTCACCTACATTTCATCAGCCCTCAGCAACCAGCATCTGCAAAACTCAATACAGACGACATGAAAAGCAATCGTACTGTAATCTTCACCATGTTTCCATAACCATATCAAGGGGTCAGCATCGCCCACCTGTCATCAGTCGTCATTTGTTCTGCTGGATTCCACCACGAGCAAGCGCCGCCTCCCAAGAGCCGCAGTGACTGCGCCACTCCCCAGTGCACACATGTATGTACTGTACATGTACCTTGCATGCCAAAGGCACGAACCGCAGCGCAAAAGTAATCCGAGGCCCTGCTGTTCATATCCACACCACGCGCTCCACCAGCCATTTGATGCTGATTCGTAGCCGCTAAGGCTAACAACCTGAAGCCGTTCCGTCCAGCTGAGAGATCAAGTGTCCATGTTCTTACTCCCCCCCACCAAAACAGAGAGAGCAGGTCCCTTGCCCGCATGCTTATAAAAAGACGGAATAAATAAGCTTGCCCGTAACCTCGACTTTATCTAGTTCTCTTATCCCTTTTCCCATCTCGCCTTTTTCCCCCCTCTCATTCCATCTGCGCCTCTTCTTCCCAGTCGCTTTCGCCATATAAAACCTCGCAAACTCAGATCAACCCCGCCATCATGTCCGCCAACGACTACTACAGCAACGCCGGCGGCAGCGGCGGCTACCCTCAGCAGCAATACGGCCAGCAGCAGCAATACGGAGGCGGCTATCCCCAGCAGCAAGGCTATCCTCAGCAGGTTCGTCTCTCCCAAACAAACCTCTCCCGATCCCGTCTCGACTAACATATCCAAAAAACAGCAGCAGTACGGCCAGCAGCAGCAATACAACCAACAATCCTACCCCCCTCAGCAGCAACAGCAACAACACTACGGCCAGCCCCAGTACGACAACAACCGCAGCGCCTCTCCCTACGGCCAGCCCCAGTACGACCAGCAGCAGCAGCAGCAGCACCAGTACCAGCAGCAGCAGTACGGCCAGCAGCAGCCCGGCTACGGCCAGTACGACCAGCACCAGCAGTACCCCGGCGCCGGCGGCGTCCCCGGCGCTGAAGACGGCGACCGCGGCCTCGGCGCGACCCTCATCGGAGGCGGTGCCGCTGCCTTTGCCGCCAAGAAGGCCGGCGGTGGCCTCGTTGGCAGTGGTCTGGCCGCTGTGGGCGGTGCCATTGCCGCAAACTTGATCGAGAACGTGTTTGAGTACGTTTTTTTACTATATCCCCAACCCCAATAACTGGATAAAAAGAGACGATGCTAACGGAATGTCATCGCAGGAAACGCAAGGAGAAGAAGGAGGCTGAGAACATGGCCTACGGCGGCCAGAGCGGCCACCACCACCACCACCACCGTGACTAAACGGGGTCTGCGTCGAGTCGAAATGCGGCGAGGGGCGACTTGTGCCTTTTTTATACCTCTTGTTAGAATATCATGATATTATGAGGGGCGTTGTTTTTTTCAAATGTTTTTCTTCTTCTTTGTTTTATATGAAATGAGAAATTATAACGACTACACATACATGTCTCGTTTGTTGCGTGCAAGGCTTTTGGGTTTCCGATGAAGCTGGCGTCTGCTGCAAAGTCCATACATAGATCGATTACAATACGGACGCTTGACACAGATACAAACCACATTCGCATGTACACGGATCACACATATCAAGATGCGTGCAGAATCGACGACTTCTATGCTCTTCACTTGATGCAAGGCTTTGTTGCTTCAATTACTTCGTACGTCTTCTCATAATCTTGGCTTCAAATTCTTCTACATCATTCGACATCATTAACGCGTCCGACAATTCATTCCCCAAATGGCGGGCTTCATATATATTTGGTATTTGTTCGTCATGTATAAACCGCATATTGCGTCACGTCATAATCGACAGCTTCAGATTTCCACTGCCCAGAGCTCCAAGAGCATCCCGTCAAAACCCTCGGGGGCCAATCAAAAGTGTTCATAGCCTTGGCCTCCAATTTCCCAAATTCCCAAACAAATCGAAACATGACATTCAAAAAACTACGGGTATCCGGAATTACACCTCTTCAGCAGCTCGCTTCTCCGCGGTGGAGTCCCGCGCCTTGGTATCAAACTCCTCGTCGTGCACAGCCTTGGGCTTGTCGTCCCAGCCAGCAACCTCGGCGGCGTCGTGGTCGTAAGCCACGTCGAAGCTCTTGCGAAGCTGCTCGGGACCCAAGAACGTCAGGATGAGGACGTAGGCGTAGACGCAGCCCATGAAGATGCAAATGACCTTGCCGTAGTCGTAGCGCGGCTTGCCAGCGGCTGTGGGTGGCAGAGGGAAGCGCGTGCCAATGCGCGCCTCGATGGTGGAAGAGGCCGAAGACACCAAGTTACCGAGCTGGTAAGCTGTACCGACGACAAAGGTTCGGAAGGCACCGGGAGACAGCTCCATCAGGTGGATGGGAATGACTCCCCAGGCTCCCTGCACGCAGAACTGCTGGAAGAAAGCAGCGGCCATGACGGACGTGTCGTGCACAAAGGTGTAGGGGTAGAGCAGAGCACCGCCGACAATGCAGCAGATGATGATGCTGAAGCGACGGCCCACCGACTGGCTCACGAAGCCAACAATGGTACCACCAGTCATGGCGCCCAGGTTAGCAACGACTTGTGTCACGGTGACCTTGTCGGGACTGAAACCCAGCTGGTTCGTCAGCATGGTAGGGTACAGATCCTGGCTGCCGTGGCTCATGAAGTTGAAGCCGGCCATGAGCAATACAAGGTAGGTCAACAGGATCCAGTGACGCTTGACGGCCACCTTGCCCTCCTTGATGAAGACCTTGCCGACAGATTCGTCGCCGACTCTGTTCTGGCCGGCCTCGATACGCATGCGCTCACGTTCACGGTATGTCTGAGTCTCGGGCATCATCAGACGGAAGGCGATGAAGAGGACGGGCGGGCAGGCGCCGAACCAGAACAGAGGGCGCCATCCGTGAGAGGTGGTGTTGACAAGACCACGAGCAAAGGCGGCGGCGAGGAGATATCCAAAGGCATACTGTTCGAACCAGGATGATTAGCACATTGGGTCTTTTTCCGCGTTTCGCGCTTCAAGAACAGGGGGATATCGGAGCTGACTTACACCTTGCTGGAGCATACCGCTGATGATACCGCGAGCCTCGGCCGGGCAATCTTCCAATGCGGTGGCGGCGGCATTTCCGTACAAACCACCCATGGCAACGCCAAACAGGGCGCGACAGGCGAGGAATTCCTTGTATGTGTTGCAGAAGCCAGTTCCCTACAAATGACAGCCATCGTTAGCGGTTTTTTTCCTTAATCACGTTTATTCTCCGAGGGTTTTAATGAGCCACGATGGATTGAGATGGAAGCAAAATCAATAGCTCCGGCAGTTACAGTGCGTGCAGTGCCGCTGGCTGTTGGCGGGGATTTTGGGGCCTGTGGCCAAGGCGGGTGGCACCGCCGGCTCACTCTTGGCAGTTCGCCAAGTCCACGATTGCGGAAATAACACAATTCGAGAGGATTGCTTACCAGTTCCAGGGCGATAAACAACAGATTGTTGACGATAAAGGGCCACTTGCGACCGTAGCGATCGGCGGCAACACCAAAGAGGACAGCGCCGACGGATCGGAACATGAGCACGAGCGTGATGCCCCAGGTGATGTCTGTGGTTTGCTTGTCGAACTGCTCGGCGAGCTCCGCAACGGTCAGGGACACGGTAAAGAAGTCAAAGGCGTCCCACGTCCAGGCCCAGAAGGCAATGGCGAAAAAGGCCCATTGCTGGCGGTTGAGCATGCGCAGAAGCTTCCATGGGTTGGGCAAGTTGAGCATGGGCGGCTTGAGCGACGAGAACCGCGTGGCCAGGTAGCGGCCAGCCGACATGTTGTCGTAGTTCTCGGGAACCCAGTATTCCTCCTGATTCCCTACCATGATGGCGGTGTTTGCAGAGACGACGATGCTATGAGACGGGGCCAAGGGGAAGAGTAGAGGAGAGGAAGAAGAAGAGGGAGGCCGTGGAGAGGAATGGACTCCCAAATCTGGAGGAGGGGGGAGGAGGAGATATATAGAAAATGCGGAGCAAGGGAAGCAGGGCGAGGGGCGATGGCTAAACGCAGAGCAAGTTGGGGAACCCCAGAATGATCATGTATGAAAGCGGGAATTCTCCAGGGTTGAGGCTTACATGGTGCCTTGTGCTTCCTAGCCCTTCTCCACGTTTCCTGGAGCCGGCCCACGAGCCGGTCTGGAACGGCGAATTCGCAACAATACCAGCTCCAGTACGAGTACATGCCAGTGCGTGATGCTGGCACTGGCTCGGAGACGGAGACGGAGATGGAGATGGAGCCAGGATGGGGCTAAAAGTCAAAGCCTAATTATTCTCTAGCCTTGCCTCCACAGACGTCGCTGCAACACAAGCTTATTCTCTGTTGCTCCTGGGGTTGGGGCTGAGACAAACGTCATGTCTAGTGCGAGGGCTATTATACAGCAGGATCTGCCAGCCGTAGCCCGGTAATCTGTACTCCGTATCCGCGAAGTGAATGGGAATACGAATGTAACGACCAGGGTCGGGGTCAAGAGACAGAAAGAAAAAAAAAACAAAAGCGTGATCCACCCGGCTTGGAACCACCATGACAGCGTCTGCCGGCCAGTCACACACCACGAGATGGAGCCCCGTCGCAAGTGACTTACATGGATGTCGCAAACCAACGGAGCAGCATGCCCCAAACGATGGTTTGCCGTGCGATCGCTTCTTCCAACTCGCTCGTCGTCGGTTAACACGCAGTATGTACATATGGCTGATCCTTGCTTGGCCATGGTTTTGACATTCGGGACCGGCCAAATTCTGTATCCTCAGTCTATTTAGCGGGCACCCATCAGATGACGGCGAAGAAGGCTCCGAGTATGGAAAGGCACGGCGGCCATGCCGAAGAAGGATGATGTGCGATGTAATTGTAGGATGCCTGTAATTCAATTGCAATGTCTCACAAGCAACAGCCGTGTGTGGATGCTCGAGTGCTGTTGCTTGATGACTCGCACCAGAGGCCATTGCGAGTTGGGCATGGAGCTAGACATCCAGCTCGACACAACGCCAAAGATGGCCGGATTATCGCCTCCATGGCTTGCCGGAGACGTGATTCGAGTCGCCTAACCGAGAGATTCAGCCATGATGCAAGCCACGATCAGATCCATCCTCCGTCATTCAAAACGTACCGTGATTCGGGAATCTCCAAAGCAGCAAAACCCTTCCACTCTGACTCGTTTGAACAATATGCCGTTTTATCAAAAGCTGCCCGCCAGTCGACTGCAACTATTCTACTGTACTGGACAAGCACAAAAAGAAGCTTCTCCAGGTTCATTCAATGGCAGTCATTTAACAACTGATTTACACGCATCGTCACAACTTACTCCTCGCTCCACGATGTACTTGGACGCATCGGGCTTTCCCTCCATGTGCCTTCCCCGCCATGATGAAGTCGCGAATAGTTTGTCTTTGGACAAGGATCTGCAGCGCTAGATGCCAAGCCTAGCCCCGTCTTGGCAGCAAATGGCAGCCTTCTCGGCACAGGATTGCCGGTCGACGGGCTTGGCATGCTCTCTCCAGCTGGCACGGGCCAATCAGGCGTTTGGACCTGCTTCCCCGCCCGCATGGGAGTCAACCTTTTGGGTAAGTAAGAACTTACATGGATTGAATCCTGGAGAAGGCAAAGTAAGCAATACAGCTGAATTGGTAGAATACGCGTTTGCTTGGTGATGGGTAATTATTGTTTTACACATGGCAAAGTGTATGTGTTGACGAGTATAAGGGCGAGTAAAAGAGAAGCGATGGCAGCAAGTGTCTCACTTTTCTTCTACGGCACGGCTAGCAAAACAAGGCCAGAGCAGGGCAACTCTTTCCGACCACTTTGCCTCACCACCAGGCACCAGCATTACTATTTTTTATTATTTATCCATTTATTGCTTCCCAATTCATTTTTTGCAAGCCACGAGTCAATCTAGCGGTATTACATAACTCACACCAAGCAGTTTGGTGTCGTTCCATTGGCTGGCAAACTCGGTAGATTCGGCTATTACTTTTGATTGCCGCCGCCGGATCGCCTCTCTCGCTTGAAAGGAATGAAAAAAAGCTACGAAATACAAGCCTCGCCCGCACCCAGAACAAGGAAAAAGCCACCAATCCAGACAGGAGAAGGCTTGGAGAAGCAGAAAAGAAGGCGCTAGTTGTTTTTTCTGGGCTTGCTCGTACGAGTACCGTTTGGGTGAGTTGACGCCGAAAGCCACGGTCCACGCAGATTCTTCCGGAAGAAGTCCGAACATTCCTACGGCAATTAAATAGTCTTGCTTTTTTGACTCAGCTCACAGATCCTTAGGCCCTGCAGTTTTTGCCGCTGCTTTCTGGATGCTGGATGGCTCACTTCCCAAAGAGGTCAACGGAAGCGCTTTCGGAGCTCGACTCAGCTTAGGACAGGGCGAATACGCACGAGATGAAATATAACGTAAATCTGACAACGCCCCAGAGAGGAAAAAAAAAAAGCACAGACTGAATACTAGTACACGTGACTGTTTCTTTTTTTCTTTCTTTCTTTTCCTTGACAATAGGGATCCAACTCACGAGCAACAATAGGATCTTGGTCCATCCGCCCCATTTCGACAAAATAGCCCCCCCCACAAGCTAAAACAATCCAGAACCACACGGCGTTAGAGTTGGAGCACTGGATGCCGTTTTCCCACGCGAACGGCATTTTCCGTGTCACAAGAATCTAAGCACTAGGCGCACCAGATTGCAACCCACAGGTAGCATCTTTTCGATAGACTTAAAAAAAGAATTGAATGCTACGGTCCGGTTTTCTTTTACCACGCGAGAAATTCCCTCTAGCGTAGCCAGGAATAGTAATTCCTTCTTTTTCAGCTCGTGCAAAGGTTGCAGTGACACGACGTCACGCCAAATAACTACAGGCAGTAGTCTCAACAGATTCCTCCATTCCGCGGCCTTTGGGGGGAAAAAAGGAAAAAGATCATCCACCAAAAAGTCAAAACACCCTTGTAACCAACAAGCCAAAGCCCCGGATTCACCCACAACGCCCTCTCCTCCGCAAAATCTCATCAACCTTTTTTTACTCAAGAATCGTAGATCCGGTTTTTTATCGTCCTAATGTAACACTACATCTCCGTAGCACCGTCAATCAATTTTACCCCAACTTTTTGTCCCATCTTCTCCACGAAAACCCTCTCGCTCACATCCCCATAACATGTCGCTGGAAAAAAATTCATATAAATTGAACAACTCCAACAGACCCTTAGAAAAAACTCCACTAAACTTCCTGCTCGGTGCATTTCCGTGCCCGCTAAAAAGCCCATCCTCCAACTGCCGCCCCAAACAAAACCATTGCATTGCAATTTGACGCTTCCTTCCCCCGGGCTTCCCCACGTCTCCGTCCCATTCTTTTTTTCTCTCTCTTCCCCACATCTCGACCCCAAAAAACTCTCATCTCATCACGGCCCTTTCTCCAAACGCCGTTTTTGAAAATTCCCATCGATGCGGAGAAAAAGGGGGCATTCGGAATGATACGGGAAGAGAGGCCGCGTCAATCATGCTGTAATCATCAAGCAATTAATCATTCTCGCAAGTCATCGCTTCAAAATGTGCCCAGAAACTCAACTTGATTCCTGATCAAAGCCTTATCAAGCGTTTCCTCTCCCACTTTATTCCCGCTTCCCGGACCGCTTCCGTTTCCTTCCCTATCCGCCACTCCGAGTCATGTTCACAACAGATTGAAAGCTTTCAAGATCCAAAAAAAAAGACTTAGTTTCCGAATGGTATAATCTTAATTCAGTCCGGCTTGAACCAAAACTATCAAAAACTACTCAAAGTCGACCATTCCCTATCACTATTTGCCTCAACGCCTCTCCTACCGCCCTCCCCCCCGGGGTATCGGAAAACCAAAAACCAATTTAAAAAAAAAAGGAGACTTGCCCGGTTAATAGTCCTACATGTACAAACCACCCATATTAATTCAATCCATAACGATTTCACTCTCCGTGTCGTGTCATTATATGCGTCTTGGCGATACCGTAATTTTGTATAACCGCTCTTTGTCCTGCAAATCCCATCTTGTACGCTCTTGAAAAAGAAAAGAAAGAGAGAGAGAGAGAGAGGAGAGAGAGAGAGGAGCCAGCAAGCTAGCTAGCTAGCCCAGCGAGGGTCATTAACATCATGGCCCCGTCTGTAACTGCCATTGGTGACGCCTCGCCTGCTGTCTCCAGTCAAACCCCGCCGCCCATAAAGGCAGCAAGGTCGTCGAGGTCCAGAAGCTGGCGCTCAAAAGCCTCGCACAGCTCTGGGGCAGTCATGTCTTGACTCGTAGTCTGACCGTCATGGACAGAGACCATGCCATTTTGAACCATCTCGGGGCTTTGCCGCTTAATCTCATGCACCTGCATATTCGCTTGCGGCGCACCGGCTGGTGGCGGGGATACGGCGTCTGGGGTGGATACGTGGTTGGACCCTCCGTTGATGGTTGTGACTCCGGGCCGCCGTGGGAGGGAGATGGGCGGCTCGCTCTCCCCTCGGGCAGAGCCGGACACCGAGCGTGGTTCGCCGGGGTGCTGGCCAGGCGCGGTGCCAGAGTTCTGCTGGTCATACTCCATGGCATCCGGGTTGGTATCGGCATTCGACGACATCTCATCCTTGATGTTAGCCGAAGGCATGTGAGGGTGAGACGCGTGGCCAGCAGGACCGCCCATCATGGCCGCGGCATCGTTGTGGAGGACGCGTTGCATAACGGTCAGGTGCCTAAGCCAACTAGTCATGAGAGGCCAATTGTCGTTGCCATCGTGCATAAAGCGCAGCCCGTCCTTGACAATGTGCGCCGCCGTCTCGACGGCATTGGGAGGTGTCAACCCCTTGAGTGAGAGGTAGGCAATGGTGGCACCGGCGGTGAATGCGGAGAAGAGCATGAAGATGGGGAAGCAGGTGACATGATCCTTCTCAGCGCCGGACTCGACCGCCGTCAGGAGAGACAGGGTGCCGTGGCAGGAAGTAAAGAGCCGATCGACGATGTCGTGGCATCGGGGGCTCATGCGGTATGACTCCAGGTTGAACGACGGAGATGTCACATCCTCCAAGAGCCGTCGACGGTGGACGAAGATGGTGGCGCAGTGAATCAGGCAGTGCAGCATGGCAAAAGTATAGCCAGATCCCATCGTCATATGAAGGTTGATTTGGCCAGGCTTGTCGACGAACTGCATCGGCAGGGTGGCTCGGAGCCTCTCGATTTTGATTATGAGGTCTGTGCAATCATCCTCGCGAAAGCTAGACACGGCGAGCATGCCAACAACGTCGCGCCAGATGGTGGCAGCCAAGACGATGTATCCGTACTCGCCAATCTCGCCGGTTGGCACATGGCCAGGCGATGCGTGTGCGTTGTGTTGGGCGAGCTGCTGCGGAAGCGTCTTCACATATACGGTATTACCAAATGCGAAGTTGATGTCCGAGCAGGGCAGGGCCACGTCGGTGGTATCCTGAAGAGCCAAGGCAGGATAGCGGCCAGGCGTACAGGTGAGAAGGCAGTCGAGGATGTAAGTCAACCACAAGGTGCGGCGAAAGGACTCGTCACGCAGGAACTGGTCAGCATTGTCAGATGTGTGATGGCTGTTAAGAATCCGGTACATCTGCAACAGCCGCGTGGCCTGGCCGAGATAGACGTAGGCGCGGACGGCATTACGGCTGCCCCATTCGTGGATGATGACGAGGCAGAGAGCCTGGATATCAGCGAGATTAGGCTGGTCCAGGTTGGCATTGATGAGGGAAACCGTCTTTCCGGCAAAGGTTTCGGCAGCCGCCGTGGGGGAGCCACCATAGCGGCGGATGAGGTTTGGAGAGCTCCTGAGGACGTATCAGCTCATGTTGCATTATTTCAGAAATAAAAATGATATTGATAGAAATGGCGAAAGCCAATGCGCGTTCCTAGATGCCAAGCCACAGCGGACAAGGCTTGCAGCCTGACATGCGGCGTCTGATCGGACCAATTGATCCACAGAGGCCGGCCGCGGCTGAAACATGTGTCGTCGCTGCCTTGAAGAAGAAGAAAAAGAGACGAAAAAGGAGAAGAGAAAGGCTTACCGCGCGGCGCATGTCAAAAGGCCATAGACGAGGCTTGATTCCAGCGTGCCGTTCTTGAGCTGCTGCACAAACGTCGGCTTGTGAAAGGCCACGCAGGCCGGAAACGTCTTTGAGACGACACGCTCGCACTCGGCGATGAGCTCTGGTGTAAGCCTGAGGCAGCGTTAGCAAACATTCTGCTCGGGTTCCGGCGGCCATCCGCGGCCAGCCAGCTAGACTGGAGGGGGATTGGAGAATTTGACAGCTCGCGCATAGGGCGGCGGTAAAGGAAAAATCGGGCCGTTCTGCCATCCGAACGGAAATGGGCGAGTGGGGACAGGAAACAAGCAGCATAGCTCAAACGTGTGCACGAGGCTAGAAGGGCGGCCGGGCCACTCGGGGGAAATAGTCGGGGGGGGCAGAGGCTGTACCGAGGGCCAAGGGCTAGGGCCAGGGGACGAGGCGGGATTGACACCGTCCCAACAGAGGCAGGCAACGACGACGTCGATGCGAGGCGAGGGAATGGAAAAAAGAGGAAAAGGAAGAAGTGATTCCTCTTTTGATCTTTTCTCTTTTTTTCCTGTGTCGGGCGGCGATAAAAGGCAAAAGAGGGGGCGCGCAAGGAAAACAAAGCACTCACTTTTCGGAGGTGGTCTGAACGTGTCTGGCTCCGCCTGAGCCCACAACGGGCTGCCTGGCGTCAGAGGCACCGGGCCCGGAGGCCGGCAAAGCGTCGCGAGAAGGGCGATGGGCAGCGGTATGGCGAGCTGGGCTTTGGCCGTGGTGATGGGCCATGCTCTCCGAGGGCAGATAGCACTCGTGCATGCCCTTTGCGCAGTTTTTGCAAGGCGCGCGCCCGTTCTCGTAGACACACTTAGTTTTGCCCTTGCGGCAGCGCACACAAGCGCCGCCGGCTCTGAGGGCAGTGGAGCGCACCACGCCGGAGGACATTGTGGGCGAAGACTCGGGTCAGAGGAGAGGGGATTGACGAGGGAATAAGTGCGCGATGCGATGCGAGGCGCGTGGCCGTCCCAGAGACGACTCGGTCGGCACCGGGCTTTTGCTGCGTCGCGATGGTGACGGCAAAGTTGGGCAGAGGGCCGGAGATGGCGACACCGCAGGTCCGGGACGAAGACGGTGGACGCGCTGACGACTGGCTCGTCTCGGCAGAGATTGCGCGAGCAGAGGTGCAAATAAGAAAAATGACCGCCGCGGGAGGGGGATAACAGATGGGATGGCAGGTCTGCACAGCGCAGGTGAGCGAAGGGATAGAAGGAGAAGGGGAAGAGAAGAAAAATCTGGCGATGGGTGAAGGAGGAAGAGATGGAACAAGGAGACGGGCGCGAGGGTCTTTGGGGGACGAAAGGCGGGGGGCGTGTCGAGAGAGAGTGTGTCCCAGCGGACAGCGGGCAGCGGCCACAGCTTCAGAAGCCCCACGGGCGGATCGGCTTCAGGCCTTGTCCTGCCGGCCCCACCCACAGGGTTCTGGACAGCCGTTTTTTTCAGAGCGTCCAGCGAGCGTCCAGCGGTACCTACAGCGCTGTCGGGGTTCGCATCTCGACAGCCAGACCTGATCCCGTTTGCTACCTACATGTATCTTCCAAACTCTCTTCCATGGATCTATCAACAATGTTGATAAAATAAGATATCATGAGCGCTCCACTATCCGAAGTTTACTCGCCGCCACCCACAACCCGAGCCACCCAAAATGCACTCTACTTCAACACAACGAGGCACTGGCTTTCGCAAGCCCTCGGAATGTGGCCTCCCGTCCTCTTTACCACCCAGCGTTGGCCCAAGTCACAGACGCCTGGGCTGGGCTGCGTTCTTTTCCGGGGGGTGCGAAAGCGAGCACACCCAAGCCAAGTTGTCGCGCTCTTCCGGCCGGGGCTAGTGCCACTGCCCTTGGTACTTGTACAGGCAGTATCCCACTATGACGCAGCCAGGGCCAGATCGGAGTTTTGCCGCCTGCCGTGCTTCTGCCCGATACAGCCGCAGTACTCGGCGTCTGCGCCAGCGGTTGTCGCCGCTGCTGGTACTCGCCTTGTACTGATCCAGAGGTATCCAGGCACGATTTGCTCTCGCGAGTCAAACATCAATGTCTGGCCTCTGTCTCTTGTCTCTGCTCTGGCAACAAACGACATGGCAGCAGCAGAACCAGAATCAGAACCAGAGTCAGAGGGCCCGCAGGTTCCCGACAACGTGTACCGTATGCACCTCAGCTAAGTAGGTGCATTAACCCGCCCAAAAGGCAATGGAACCTGAATCCAAACTCTTCCAATCCATTCTCGTTGTTGCGCGTGGGCAGCCCAGGCTGCGGCGTCCGCGCCTCCAACCAGCCGTGCCGGACAAGTGAGAGCTGCGGCCTTCGCCCCCTTTCCCCCATTTCTCATCTGCCCCCCCGACCTTGATTCTCATTTCACCAGCCAAGCGCCGATTGCCTCCTCCCAAAGCCGGGCTCGCCCACTTTGATCCGGGGGGACCAATGACGACGAGACGTGCTGGGGATGCGGCCAATCAGCCAATGCCTTTCCGCCGTGCCCCAGCAGATGGGCTGACTGACGCGGCGCGTGGTGCACCTGGGAACGCTCTCCGTCTGCCGCGCCGGAACCGAAAAAGCTCCATCGTCCGATTCCTCCCAGGCGCTCGTCGAGGGAGAGAGAAAAAAAAAGACGCTTCGGCTGGCTGCTGACACTGCAACACCCGATCTGGTGATTTTGCGACTTTGCACGTCCGATCATGTACGCACACGACGCCGGTGCAACAGCGACAGCGACAGGTTTCCATGTACGTGTCCATGCCTTGCTAATTGAGAATGTACGAGTACTCCGTGCACCGCGGCTCTCCGACGGCGGCACAGCTTCGGCGGGCACGCACGTCTAAGGCGTCCTGACTTTCCATTGGAGGGGTGGAGGGTGTGGCCACGAGAATCAAGGGAACAAGGCATGGCAAAAAAAAAAAAAAAAAAAAAGAGAGGACTTTGTGGGGCCGGCGCTGGTCTCCAAAGTCTCTGGGAGCCTCATCCTGTCGTACAGTACTCGTACAAAGCTGCACGGGTATTCGTTGATCCATGTACCTACTCGTACGCGCTTATCCATCAACAATGGAAGCCATCTTCCCACTAGCAACGTATTCGTATGGATGCAAGCACCTGAGCGAGCCTGGCGCCGTGGGAAATGGGAATCCAGACTTTGACCTTTCACAAGCAACAGCGCCAATCCGAGGGCCACTTGCGGAGGTTCGATGTACTCTCGGAGCACGGTCTGCGCCGGCTAGTACGGAATATGCAGGTGGGTGGCTGTAGCGCCGTCCCGGTTTCACAGAGCAGCCCAGATTGGCTCTCCGGCACCGACGCCAGCAGATCGCCTTTTTTGCTCTGCTCTTGTGCTTTGCAGGCGGCAGATGGATGGGAAAGGCAACATAAATTAGTGGAAGCCCTGGTGGCCAAAACTCTCCGCTGCCAGTTTTTGACGACGGCTGTGGGCCTGTGTGCCGAAGCATCACGACGATATAAAGAAGTCAAGGTGAAGGTGAAAGCGAAAGAGAGCGAGAAAGGGGGGGGAAAGGAGGCGGCCAGTGACAAGACGAGACGCGCGCGCGAGCAGAGTCGCAGTCGGTGGGGTGGGACCCCAATTACATGTATCCACGGAACAGTTTGATCATGTCCGCAGCCGGACGGATGCTGCCAGCGAGGGCACTGAGGACGCGCCTTGCCTTGGCCCTTGCTTCTCGTTCTCGTCGCCAGCAGAGTCCGAGTAGTACCGCCTCAACTGTCTCGTCGCCTTGTCGTCGCCTTGTCGTCGCCTTGTCGTCGCCTTACAGGCACAGCACTACTGCGTCATATGGCCAGCTGTCAAAAGCGCAACGGCGCAAAAGCGCAAAGCCACCGCGAGGCTCCGTGAAAGTGGAGGGAAATGCGAGACAGACGCATGGGGAGGAGAGGCCCAAACCCAAAGCCACCATCGCCTGGGCGTCAGCCGCTGATCTCGACCGCAGCAGCAACGCATCACAGCCGGTCGGTTGGCCATGCCCTCTGGCTACCTCTGGCTACCTCTGGCTAACAGCGTCGGCCTCACCATGGGGTGCTATCTCCGGGGCATCAGCCATCCAAATGGAACGTGTTCCGGCTTTTCTGGGGTGGCCAAGGCAAACAAGTGGTGCAAGTAAATCCGAGAAATACCACCTCGCGACGCACTCGGTGGGCCCTCCGTGTGCTCCGATATTTGGCCAATTTCTGGTCCACCTTGGGCCCGCCTTTGATCAACGCCATCGCGGATGTCAACTCACGGCGCCTCGAGTTGAGGACCCCCAGAATCGTGAGCAAGGCGCCGTTCCTGTGTTGGATTTTGCATTGATGCGAGTGCGTCTAATCCTTGAGCTCCATGTCGGAGCGATTGTCCGTGGCGACGACGTGTACAGTACCTACTGAGCAATAGAATGGCTTAGCAGCGCCAGGTATTCCTATTACCTACTGCCTGTCTTCCTCACCGATAGACAGCCCATGGATCTCATTCGGTTTCGCGTGGCCCCCCAAAGAGCTTCTCCTCTATTGGTGCGAGTTATTAAAAATTACCTTATCTCGTGTTGTTATGCTTTCTCCCGCAACCACTTGCAGCCCTAGCCGGATCGGAGCGAGCATCAGTTTGTATCCTCTGTCTGTGCGGCGACGCTTCCGTTGATCCCCCGCTGCAGTTTGTGGCTAGCATGATGCAAGTTCCGACAGTTTTAATTTCAATCGCCCTTTGATTCAGAGGTCCTAGCTTTTCGAGTCCAGTCGATCCTCGCACCACGTCCCTTTTGCGTCAGATCATTCTCGCCGGGCTGGGCAAGCAAGGATCATACCACGCGGGCGACTAACACGCCGTTGACATGTGTTTCCAGACGAGGGCCGTCTGATTAGAAAGAGATCAATGCTCTTTGGTCGCGCTTGGTGTCCCATTGCTACGCCCTCCGGTATTCGCAAGCTTACTACGCTACGGAGTACACAATGAACGAAGAAGCCCGACGCTAGAAATACAAAAACAAGAGAGAAACAAAACAAAGCACTGCGGCAAAGACAAGACATGGCAGCGCGATTCGGGCCGTGACGTGTCGAGGGCCGCGAGCAGCGGCTGCCAGATCTGAGATCCAAGCTGCTCGCAAGCGCGTCTCCCACGCTCCGCATCTTCCGGTCCCAGCCGGTACGGTGTGTGCTACCTACATGAGATAATCCAACCCCTTTTTTCCTCCCCTTCTTCTTTCTTTCCTTTGGGCCCTAGTGCAGGTAAGCATTATACCGAGATGGGCATGCCACCACTCCGCACTACGTCCTGAACCGTCCAAAGGCTATCCCACGTACCCCGTGCCGACGGCAGTACCAACAGCAAAGCAGAAAAAGGCACCGGCGGTTGGATGAGCCATTTAACCGCAGTGCCGCAACGGACGAGTCGTGGGTGTCTTGCCCCCGGACCACAAGCACGAGCTGCGCCGTTTCCCACGATGCTTCTTTGTCTTGTGCCCCGGTGAGCTTCCCGCCTGCTGTAACACGGCGGCACCGTAGGCAGCAGTTGAAAGAATGAATTCCGTTTCTCTGCCTCCAGTATTTCCTCGCGGTACTCGGAACAGCCGATGGCTTCTCATTCAACGGCTAGCGGCATCTGCTGTCCCGGGGTGGAGCAAAGCCCTTCGTGCTACGGGGAGTAAGGGATTTGCACTAACAAAGATGGAAGAGAAGTGCAAGCAGGCAAAATCGCATGGACGAGTTTGACGAGCTACGAGCTACAAAAAATGGGGCAACCGCCGCGAAACGTTACCCGGGACCCAGATCCCGGCTTATTCTCGGCACAGGATGGAGACGAGATTGTGGGCGGCCGGCTCCGGGAAAAGGGAAATCACGTGATGGTCCTTTTCGTTGTTTCTGGGCCGGCGTTGGAGGGGCTCCACTTTGGGAGGGCCGAAAAGAAGGGGATCGCAACGGGATTGTCGTTTTGGTAGACGAGGCCGAGACATGTCCGAGTTTGGGGAGGGTTGGACGAGGACATTTTGTCTTTTTTTTTTCTGCGGAGGGAGAGTCAGGGCCTGGGAGTGCGGTGCGGTGCTAAGGGAAGCTGGTAGTGCGGAGTACCTATTACGATTTGCATTGTTGTGCTACTTTTAGACGGAGCAGCGTCTTGGCGCTTCGCGAGCGGCAAAGATGAATCCGCCTCCGAACGGCCACTGCAAGCCTCGGCTATCTTCAGTTCCAGCCGGGGTCGGCCTTGAGGTGAACAGTTCAGCGCTTCGGTATGAGCATTCTACAGTTCTACAGTACAGTAACCGGCAGTTTTCTTTCCATGTTAAAACAGTCCCTGGCTTTTAAGCTTAAACACCCGGAAATTAATCCGAGACCGGCCCGGGTTCTGGACACTTTTATTTTACTTTGCGGTGCTGCACCCGCGGCGTTGCACAAGGCGAATCTGGATGGAGCAGCCATTCTTTTTTCAGACGAGTACTATCGAGTGAATACCATGGACTTTGTGGAATTTGTGTTAGGCATTTGAGTGGTTGTTGGTAAATGTGTTGCTTGGGAATGTTACGTGAAAGCCGGGGGTGTGTAGATGTAAGATTTGAGATTTTCTCGCATTGTCTATACATGACTTGAGCTGTAATAGGAATAGGATGCCGTTGCTAATATGTCATGTATAACATCTGATGCTAGGTTCTACTACTGCCCCTCCACTATGTACCTGTCAAATGAAATAGCTACCTATTGATATGCATATAAGCTCATGCATGGGGCAGATCGTCTCAGATAGGGCCTCACTTATACCAGAACCACAGGAACCCAGCCAATATAAAGCCCGTTACATGAACAAAACCCACCGCCAACCACGCCTTCACTACCCGTCAAACTTGGTAAGCTGTTTCTCCACTCGGCATGGACACGGCATACTCGAGCGAAAGCTTGACCGTCTTGCCCGCGTTCAGGCTCACGTCCCACGTCACCTGGCCGTCCTTCTTCAGCTTCGCCGAAGCTTTACCCCAGTTCTCGTCCTTGCTCATCTTGCCCGGCTCGCCCACAGCAACCCCGTTTGCGCCGTCGATCGCCAGGCCCCGCGGATACGCGAGTTCCACGCGCAGCCGCTCGTCCTCGGAAACAGGCACCTGGTCCAGCACGAGCAAGTTGACAGCTCTGCCTCCCACGGCGCGCGTGTTGCGCAGCTCAACGGTGCGGACGTAGACGGCGCTGTCCTCCTTGGTGAAGAGCCCGACGGAGGCGCGGCGCACGTCGGGCTTCGGGTACGTCACCTTGATGGCCGGGTCGACGCCCAGGCTGAGGCTGAAGGACTCGCCGGAGCTGCACCGCGGCAGCGACGTCTTGCCCATGAAGGTGCCGTCGAGGGTGAGGCTGGCGCTGCCCTTGAGCAGGGCCATCTTGCTGCTGTTCTTGAGCTTGGCCTTGAGGTACGCCATGGGCTTGTACTTTGCGACGACGGTGTGGCTGAAGACGACGTTGGAGAAGGGGATGCGGGCCACGCGCTGCTTGGAGCCGTTGAACTTGGGCACGAGCGTCTTGAGGCCGGGCAGGTCGTAGGTCGTCGTCAGGCCCGTCTCTTCCACGAGGGAGGCTTCGAAGCTGTCGAAGCCGAGGGGTTCCTGGCCGTCTGTGTTGAGGAAAGAGTCAAAGTCGAAGTCGTTGAGGACGCCTTCTGACTGCAGCGCCGCCATCCCGTTTCGCTGCTGCATCTGTTGTTGCTGCGCCTGCATCTGCTGTTGCGCGTATGGGTTTACGGACCCTCCAAAGGCCGCTGATGCCACCATTGGTGCCGGCGGAGGCGGAGGCAGAGACGGAGCACCACCCGGAGCGCTGCCAAAGAAAGCTCGCGGCGCTGCTGCTGGCTGTACCATGCTGCTTGGCACGGCCACCTTTTTCACCATCATCTTCCGGTTGCGGTTTTGTTGATGGAGCACCATCGGACCATGCATGTGATTGTTGTTGCGGTTGTTCGAATGTGTCGTCTCTTCATTGCTGCGAGTGATGTCGGGTTGATTTCCCAAGAACTGTGACGACTTGGCGAGCTTGATGCGCCAGGGGACGAGCGTCGGGATCGTGTCGTAGAGGCCGGAGAAGGTTGCCTGCGACGTCGAGAGGGTGACCTTGCAGCTCTTCCAGGACTCGCTGGTCTGGTTGGTGAGCATGGCGTCAAAGTAGAGCGTAGCCGAGGCGTTTGTCGTCGACAGCTGTAGGTCGTAGGCCGGCGTCCAGTAAGCCGCCGACGTGACGTACGAGAAAGCTAGGTCGACCTCGATAGGACCAGCATCCTCGTCGTCTTCGGCTTCGGCCACCGAGACCTTGACGGCATCGACATCGCTGGACGTGGAGCCTCGACGGGAAGTCATGGGCGTAAAGGCCGCAACTTCGAGGGTGATGCGCACGCTGTATACCTCGAGTGGCCAGAATTGCTGCTGCTCGTCGCGCAGGCGCTGCCTCTCTCTCTTGGCCTCGCCCTTGAGCCGGTCCTTGAGAGCTTTTTTCTTTTCCCTCTCCTTCTTCGCTTGTGCCTTGGCCTTGTTCTCCTTTGCATTCTTTTTGTCTTCCTCCCGCTGCAGCTTGTTGTACTTCTTTTCGGCTTTTTCTACATCCTTGCTGAGTGACCTCTGGAGGTTGTTGCTGTCCGTCAGGTCTTGAAAGGCCTTTTTGCGCTCATCCTTGTACTGCTCGAGGGTTGCCTGGATAGAGTCGCCGTTCTTTTGATTGTTGTTAATGCCAATAGCCTCCAAGAGATTCAGCCGTTTTTGTGCGTTGCCTGCGCTGTCGCGGGCGGCGGCCAACGCATCTCGAGACTCTTGAAGCGAGTCCTTGGCCGACTTCAGTTCGTGGCTTTCTGCCTTTGCCTCATCTTCTGAGAATTCTTCCTCATCTGAATCCGATTCGGACTCGGAGTCGGACTCCGGGTACACCTCGTGGAAGAGCTGGCGGTTAGTCACAGCCTCAACTTCCAGGTTGGTAATGGTAGCGCTGCCAATGCTCTCGACCTTGATGGAATCTGAGTCGACGGTTTGGCTGAGTCCAACAATGGTGACTTCATTTGTGCCTCGCTGGAGTGAAGTGTTAGTTGATGGGAGCTAAAGACAGGTTGCTTGAACTAGCGGGATAGCTTACCTTGAGCTGAAGGCCTTTAATCTCTCGATATACTTGTGCCCTGGAGGGAAAGAGGGTTACCGAGGGTGTGTTGAGATCGCTGGCCAGATATTCAATCTTGTGGACTGATTCCAATTCACTGATGGCAGCTGAGGCACCCATTGTGTATTGTTCTTCACTCAGACGGATTGACACGATAGCCTGGTTGAACTGAGCTACAAATTGAATGACTATAGTGGATGCCTTGTAATACGAAGGAGATGATGCTTGAGCAAAAAATGGGTGAAAGTGAAGGAGGGATGTCTGAGTCTTTTTATAACTCGGGTGAAGACATGTAGCTGCCAAGAAACAGTACGACTTAAACATCGAATGTAAGGCGTATTCACCATCTACTTAGACGAAACAAGTTGGCTTCCACTCCAGTAGCTTCCTAGATCAGTAGGCTGCAGCGTACATGTAGGCAGACGCGGGGCAAGAAGCGTGTAATTGCATATCATAGTCACGCTGGCCTCATTGCTTCGACGTTTGTCCGCCGCCTGATTCGCCCGAGATTGCATATGCCACGTCGTCTGGGTTTCCAACTAACAAACATGACGCGATACTGGCATCTGGCCGGTTTCGAGGTTGCCAATTATTGGCTCCCTCCTGGTCACGGATGCGTCATGGCCGTGACTTTTAAAGTGGCTACCTGACACTAAGATGGCTCGAGGAATAGTCTTAATTTGTTGACTGCCAATGAGACGACGGCTACGGTTCCGCTTTGGTCTGGCCCGGCAACTGATTGAGCTGAAGTGGCTGAGCTCGAGTTGGAGATACTTGAGATGGATATTGGCCGTCCCTGTTGATGAAACTGCCGTAGATGGTTTGTGTTATAGTTACGTGGTTTTAGGGCATGTTGGAGTCGGGCTACACGTGTACCCGCCTATAATTGAAGCCAGCTACCGGGAAATGGCGTTCTAGGCAACCAGAATTGTTCCAGAGTAGGTACATGCATTGTTCTTGATCCAAGGTATCTAGAGCAAGCTAGTATAGTAGTGGGTATGCATATGGTAGGGATAAGAGAATCTTCATGTTGAGCTCAAATGTGATATTACACTTTTCAGTAAGAGTTTAAGATCTAGGAAAAAACAAAAAGGAAATATTAGGTATCAAGATGAGGTGGGAAATTTAGAAGCTATTCGTGGCGTTTTAGTAAATTAGTATCGGGTTGCTCCGGCAGAGGATTCAGAGTTCTCATGAGCGCGCAACGGCACGTCTTTGTCATTGGAAGAAGAGAAGATGAAGACGGCGAAAGCAGTGGATAATTGGGAAAAGATTCTTGAAAAATTAACAAAGGGGTTTAGGGGTAACAGAAGAGGCCCTTAATAAGCTGCACAGACTGTGGAAGAACCTTGGCAAGGAGATGTGGGATTCATTTACACCAACTTGTCGGTGAGGCCTTGTGCTCAGTCAGGGTCATGGCGAGGCTGTGGATGTGTGTATAGTGGATATCGTGGGACGGATAATCCGTGGTAATTGAATGATGTGGTGAGCATTGGAAGAGATTCTGTTATTGAATATAAAGGACATCGTGAAGATGAGAATTGCACGAAGCAGCATTTGCCCCCAATCAATTCCTCCTCGTGCTGCTGCGCTACTGTGCAATCCCCAGCAAGGCCATGCATGGATGGAGCCCTTTATGCACAATTCAGGCCCCCCACCTGGTGTCAATCCTCCCGGATATACGCATACACTCATCACCACCCCGACACATTGCATACTGGCGGTACGGGATGATGCCAAACCCCCACTTTTAACCGTCCTCAGCTTCGTAGGGGTCATGGCCGTGTACGAGTAATAAAATGCAATAGTGCTATCATAGCCATAGCCTTACCAGCCACCTCCAATTTACGCTCACCAGGTTCCATCCAGGGAAGCCTTTCGCTCATGTCCAAAGCCGTGACTTGACTCTTGACGTCTTTTCTCTTTTCTCCCCTCTGCTTTGCGTGACCAACCAACCATAGACTGCCCGCCATGGACTCCCGCTCGCCCTTGAAGACGCTCGACCCCGAGCCCATTGAGTCGCCCGTGTCCAGTAGAGCTTTCGGCATCACATCATCAGGACCTCTGCCTATGCGACCGGCCATGGACCAGCATCCCGATCACCACAACGGCATGGACCTGCCCAGGGCGACGCCGGTTACGCGCGCGGCCGAGTTCAAGGCCAGCGACTTCCCGCCAAGGCCCAACGAGTATCCCAAGGCCAACGACTACCCCAAGGACAACGGCTATCCCAAGCCTCACGAGTTCCCCCCGAGGCCGTATGAGTACCCGGTCAGGCCGATGCAACAGCTCCAGTCCCCCTACAAGCCCACGATGCCCCAGCTCGAGCTGGCCGACGTCAAGTCCAACTGCCAGCGCAATCTCTCCCACCTCATCTACCTCCAGAACCAGCGGCGCGCATTTGGCTACTCATCACAGGTGGATCTGGAGTGGCAGATCCGTAGCCAGACCGGCCTCTTGATCGGCGAGCTGCGGACGCTTCAGGACGAGGTCCGCAGGCTGGTCAAGAACGCCAAGAACCACCGATGGCGACGATGGTTGTTTGGAGGATTCATGTAAGATCCGCGCCTCTCCTCCTCCTTTTTGCGACCCCCTTACTGAGTTGAAACCTCCAGCGCGTCGTTTATTCCTCTTGTGCGCAAGCTGTTCCGCCGAGGCACAGACGTAGAGTCGCGAGCTTCTTCTAACAACACCGAGTACGCATTCCGCAAATCAAAGGGCCTCCTCGCGCGAATCAAGGACTCGGTTCTCGGCCATCATCGCCTTGCCAGCGTCGCATTCTTTGTCTTTTCCGTCATGTATGTGTTCCAGAACGAGGTGACTTTACGCGTGGCCAAGACGATGCAGAAGCGCCTAAAGAAGCTCTCCCAGCGACTCGAGTACGGCAACCAGGAAATCGACGAAAAGGACCTGAAGCTTCTGGACGGATGGAGGTGGAGAGTAATTCTGTGGTGAAGCAAGCTTGCATAGAGTTTGGCCGCTTTTCTACTAATGGGGGCTTTGGAATGGTGAATTGGCTGCGAGAATGATGATGACGATACATATCCTACTAAAGGTGCATGATTGTAACGAAGCTTGTGCACAAATCGCAACCCGGCTTTGGGTTGCTCTTTCATATATTTCCTTAGTTTTCACATACCACGTCGATAGCTTGAGCATTATTTTAATTTCATCATAATTTCTTCTGAAAGCTCCCGCTACACTGCAGATCAAGAATCGCGTCTGGTTGAACTTGGGCTTCCACGCCAATAGCAGTCATGGAAGATGCTCTGGGCCGCATCCAGCCCGCCAAAGCTGGGATCAGATCCCATAGACCGCTGGCCAAGGAGTCCAAAGATGCATATTTTCGCAATTTGTACACAAGGGCGCCCGATTTCAAGGCCATCGCTCTCCTAGATCCAGACTTTGCTGCCGTGTTTGTCTTTTCCCCCTTCCCTAGACTTGTCTCATATTCCGGGACGGTTCAGCTAATGTGAGAAACAGCATCAAGGGACGCGACCTAAACTTTAACGACCCCAAAGCCGTGATGCAGCTGACCAAGACCTTGCTCAAGGTAGACTTCGATCTCAGTATTGAGCTACCAGAAGATCGATTATGTCCTCCAGTGAGTTAAGCTGTGTTTTTACTTTCCGTTGCAGGTAAGGCCAGACCCTAACATATGAGGCTAGGTCGCGAATAGACACAATTACATACTGTGGTTGAAGGATTTATTAGACACGACATCATATGATGAGCCTGGCAGGAAAGCCGTAGGTCTGGATATCGGCACTGGGGCAAGCTGCATATACCCGTTGCTTGGATGTGCCCAGCGCGCGTGGTCATTTATTGCAACTGGTACGTTCTCCTGCTTCTGTTTGCATGGTCCAAGCTAGAATCACTACAGAACATACTAACACATCGGTTTATAAAAAGACATCGATGAGAAGAGCTTGGAGTGGGCAAAGAAGAATGTCACGCTCAACGACTTTGACAGCCGGATTCAGGTTATTGGCCGCCAACCCGACGATGCCCTCATTCCGCTGGACCATCTCAAGAAGGGTTCCATCGACTTCACCATGACGAACCCACCCTTTTACGAATCCGAGGAAGCAATGGTAAAGAGCGCACAGGAGAAGTCTCGGCCTCCATTTACAGCTTGCACCGGCGCGAAAGTAGAGATGGTGACGCAAGGCGGCGAGGTCGGCTTCATTAACCGTATCTTTGAGGAATCTCTCGTTTTGCGCGACCGGGTCCAGTGGTACACCGCCATGGTGGGCTTCCTATCAAGTCTCACGCACATCGTGGACAAGCTACGGGAGCACAAGATAGACAACTACGCCATCACCGAGTTTCAACAGGGCAACAAAACGAGACGTTGGGCGATTGCGTGGAGCTTCCGGCCTTTGCGACCTGCGCAGAGCGTTGCGAGAGGAACCAAAGCGGCCTTATCGAGGGGTATCTTGCCAGCCATTACGGAGGTGGTTGCCTACAAGATGCCGTTAAAAGGGAGCGTGGGCGGCTTTGCTGAGAATTTGAGCGGTGCCATTGAAGCACTAGATCTCATATCCTGGAACTGGGATAGGGAGAAACTCGAAGGGATTGGAAGGGCTGTTGATAAGGTATGGGGACGGCCATGGCGACGGCGGAAGAAGCGAGAGATGGAGATGGAGGCGAATGGGGAAGAGAAAGCAGTAAAGCCGACGGTTGAGGAGCAGATTTGCGCGTTTGGCTTCAGAGTCGCCGTGAAAGTTGGGAGAGTGGATATCTCTGTTGAAGCGCGGTGGTTGGAAGGGCATGATGAAACGGCCTTGGAGAGCTTTCGAGGGTTCTTGAAGTCGGCGTCGGAAAAGGCCGTGGAGGATGCGAAGAAGGGGGCTTAGGAGATGGCTGACGCTTTACTCTCTCAGAGGTGCTCTCTATTCAACCAAGTTTACTGATGCTGTCTCGTCTAATAATGTCGATTCTAATTGACAGCTTCTTTCTAAATCTTCACATCACACAAGCTCTCACGGCAAATGCTTGTCATAACCCGCCTTGACAAGCCTCTGCCCAGCCTCCCACACATCATCCGGAATCTCCTGCTCAATCTGAAACCCGCGCGCCGGATACTCCTTGATGCGAACCAAATCCCCCACCATGATGCTCGTGACAAGATCCCTCGGATTGTTCGCATCAGGGTACTCGTCAAAGCTCAGCGGCGGCGACGACACAGCAAAGAGCGTCCCCTCCTCAGGCCACTGCTTCCGAAACGTCGCATACGTCCTCCTCTCCATGTACGGCTTCTGCACCAACACTAGGCTCTTGAAGGCGAACCCCCTTTCCCGCAGCAGGGCGTGCGTGAAGCGGACGTTTTCGCCCGTGTTGCGGGCCTTGGGCTCGACGATGATGCGGTCGTCGGGGACGCCCATGTCGCGGGCGATGGCGGCGAAGACGAGGGCCTCGGGCTCGGTGAAGAGGCCCTTTGTGAGGATGCCGGAGTCGCCGGAGAAGATGAGGTAGGGGGCGAAGCCGTCGAGGTAGAGCTGGGCGGCGTGGGCGGCGACGCGGGTGTCGAGGCTGCAGAGGCAGAAGATTGCGTCGGCGAGGAGGAGGGGCATGTCCATGCGGTGGTAGTTGTAGACGAGGGTGGCATCTTTGTGGGTTTGGTCGCTGTCGGCAGTCATTGTGGCTGATTTGTTTCTTTTTGTTGAGTGAGGATGAGTGAGTGTAAGTGGGAGACTGTGAGAGACTTGTATGTGAGATGAGAAGCGGGAAGTGAGGCTTCAGCCGCTATACGAGAGTGGGGGGGCTGAGTTGGCACGCCCTTTGATGGGTGAAGCAGTTGACGGAGTATCCTAAAAGGGAATTATATTCGAGATGTAGCAAGGCGGTCGAGCTGTTCTTGTAATGGCTTCGATTTTGTGTCTACGAAGCTGCTGGCCAATGTTTGAGGCCGAAGAGATGCTTGTGGCGGAGGCCTCAGTACACAAGTGACGATTCCCAGCTGTGGGTTGCTCCTAGCAGCCAGACAAGAGGGTATCTATTGCTAAAGCTATCGACATATTTTGAATGATTTACACGATTAAAATCATAGTTTGTATGTATATCTTGATCATAGCAATTGAGAAACGAATGCGCAGATGGGGCCAGAGAGCTGCATCTTTACATAACATGTCCTCGCCCATTTAGCCGATCGACATAACAAGCTTCCGCATCTCATCAACACCATCCACAACAACTCACATCACTCACATCACATCCATCAAATCGCAAAAAAAAACATGGCTGCCTCCCACGCCTCCGACCGCGACGCCCTCACCAAGCGCGTCCTCCCCGAAATGACCCTCGCCCAAGGCCGCTCCCCCGCCGCCGAAGCCCGCATCGACGCTCTCCACCCCGCCGCCCGCGCCTCCGCGGCCGGCCGCTTCAGCATCGCCGGCAACGCCGTCGTCACGGGCGGCACCGGCGCCATCGCCATGGTCGTGGCCAGGGCGGTGCTGCAGCACGGGGCGTCGGGCCTGATGCTGCTTGATCTCAACGTCGAAGCGTCGCGGGATGCGGTCCAGGCGCTGCGGGACGAGTTCCCCGACGTCAATATCGAGACTCGTGAAGTCGATGTCACTGACGAAGAAGCCGTCACAAAGGCCATTGATGAGGCGGTCACGACGCTGGGCTCGGTCGACATGCTAGTCTGTCTTGCCGGGATAGTGGGATGCGCACACGCCCTGGACATGCCCATCTCGCAATGGCGAAGAGTCCTCGACGTCAACACCACGGGGGCGTTCATCTGCGCCCGAGCAGCAGCGCGAGCAATGGTTTCGCAAGGCAACGGAGGCAGAATCATCCTAACGGCGTCGATATCCGCGCACAGAGTCAACTTTCCGCAGCCGCAGGTGGCCTACAACGTTAGCAAGGGGGCGCTACTCATGCTCAAGAGCTCGTTGGCGGCGGAGTGGGCGAGATACGGCATCACGGTGAACAGCATCAGCCCGGGATACATGGATACGGTGCTGAACGAGGGGGTGGGACTGGCTGCCGCACGGAAGATTTGGAATGAGAGGAATCCGTCTGGGAGGATGGGGTTGCCGGAGGAGCTGGCTGGGGTGGTGGTGATGATGTTGAGTAGGGCTGGGTCTTATATGAATGGGGCGGATGTTGTTGTTGATGGAGGAGGCCATGTGTTTTGAGCACTTGATGTCTTTTTTTAGACGGATTATTGCTTGTGATGTTCTGTATTTTTGACATGTTCAACGTTTATAATTTAGACGATACATCTATGGAGAAATACACCGTGTGTTAGTCACAACTGAGCACCACCCACGAATGCAAAACAACAACCACAAGCCGTTGAAAACAGTCTATCTGAAACCCCACGACCAGCCAAATCAATACAATCATGTCTCTCATCTTGAATCATCCAAATTCCTCCCAACTAGTAGTGTAATCCCACCAACGCCGATCTAGGCCATCACCACGTGGGCTCCCCTGTGGCGCCTAGGCCAAGGCCAAGCCCGCCTCTATTCTCTCTCTCCCACCACCTTTGTCTTCAACGACTCAACTAATTGCCCGTTTAAACGTTGAGGGCGTCTGATTCATGCATGCAGGGCCCTTGTTACGCGAGATGCAACTCACTTCCGGGCGGGCGCTTACATCGTGCGTTAGTTTGGAGTGTGCAAGTATGTATCTACTACTTCATCCGCGTACATAGGTAATCACCTCGATGAACACCTGCTGCTGATGCCTTCATCTATTGGAAAGCCATTCTTCACAAAATGCACATTATTCCATCAAACATGCATTTCATTTAATTATCAACAATAACCTTTGCCACCAGCATCTCTCCATCGCGCTCATCCATCTCACAAAGCCTCAACCCGCCCATCCACCCAACGAATCACCTCCCCCACGTGGGCTTCACGAACCTCACCGAGATGCTCCATCCATTGAGGGGTTTAATCGGCCGTTGCACCAACTCCACGCTTCCGTATTCATCTTTTCACTCGCATGCCTATCTCGTAGCGAGTAACGCGCCGGAAAGAGAAAATGTGCGGGCTAGGCGTGTCTCGCTTCGGCTGCCGTGCATTCTTGGTCGCGAGAAATCGGACCTGGGGGAACCGGCATCTGCTTCAGCGACGGGATGTGGTTGGTTCTCAAGGGCGGATCTGCGTTGGAGGGTCTCAGACCACCCTTGGACGCACCGGGAAGGCAATTTAATCGAATCCAGGTATCTTTCAACCAGGCTGCAAATAGAATAATGGTGGTGTCCCAAGCCGGCAATGCTGGGCTCTCGTAGTGGTGGTGGCCCCTTGATATAAACAACACCATCACCATCACCATCACCCCGGCGTCTCCCGTCCATCCACTACTCGGGCCATGGCACTGCAGCATCCAAATCCAAATCTCCCCCTTTTCTGCTCGTGAATCGCATCTCATCTCCATCTCCATCTCATCTCATCTCAGCATGGACATGGACAAAGTCACCCTGTTGACGGCATCTCGGCTCGAGCCCACCGTGGCCATCCGGCCCCACTCGACCGTCGTTGCCCGCCTTGGCAGAACCCTCGCGATTCCCCTTCAATTACATCATCGTTTCAAGCACATTTCCTCATTCATCTGCCTGCAAACCTACTTCATCTCCTCCACCCTCCTCATCAGCACGCGATATGCTCTCTTCTATGCATTTCTCGCCTCCGCATTTATCCTCAAGCACGCATTCGCCATGTCCAGCAAAGCAATTGTCGACGTCTGGGACTCCAAGAGCATCCAGAAAGTCCGCGCCCGCATCTTTTACGAATTTGCAGTCTTTATCCTCGGCTGCGGAAACGCCATCTTCCTCATCGTCTTCTGGCCGGGCTGGCTGATTCTCGCCCCTGCCTTGTTCGCCCTGTGGCAATTGACTGGCTGATTGCCTCGATTCATCGATTGGCCGTATTTCTGAAATACCCAATCAAGGAAACAACAACTCCCACCTGCACGATCCAGCTGCATGGATCGGCGACAAGCCCAACGGTTATTGGGCCGCTTCTTGGCTGCTCGATTCTTCCATTCGAGCTCCATACACGCGCTCAACCTCTTCATTTCGAAAAGAAAAACGTATTTCCACCAGTGTCTTTCCGAATCTGCGCCGAATAGTCCATCTCCGGATCAAACTCTTGCCAAGTGCTGGCTGGGTATATATGCTTATGCCTCTCGTACCACCTACGATCCACCACCTTGGTCAGAGTCGGGTCCTCACCGAACCCTTCCAGCGTTGAGACATCTGGCTGTCGCGCTTTAGCCGCCGCCGCCTTGGCAGCCGCAGTCACCAAAACACCAGAGGAAAGGTCAGAGTCGGAGTCGGTCGAAGTTGTGCGGATCGGCGCTTCGGCACTGTAATCGAAGATGGGCTTGCCACCCGGGCCAAGGCTCTTGTTGACGACGAAATAATAGAAGTCGTAATGCTGCATAAGAATTAGCGTCTCTGCATAGAAAGCGATAGAAAGCGATAGAAAGCACATAGTGATAGATGGACGACTGCATGAATAGACAAGACTTACGTGAGGAATAATGACAGTCCCTCTTACCAACATCAAATCGTCCACGCCAACCCTAGCCCATGCTCTCTGTGCATTTGCCTGCTCTCCAACTCCAAGCTCCGCGCCCACCTTGCGGCTCTTGTCCAAAAAGACCCATATGAAGTCGCCCTTCTTCATGCGGACTGTCCCGCCGGGGATGTTGGCGCCATCGTAAAACACAAACGGGATCGCAATCTCGGTTGCCTTGATGGATTCTTGTAGGGCGACAAACTCGCGTCGCAGAGCCTCTCTCTCGGCAGCTTCCTTGCGCAGCGCCGCCTTTGTCACCGCTTTGGGGGCCAAGCCAACCGCAGCATTCGCCTTGATCTTGGCTTTCTTCTCGCCTAGAGCACCATCTTTATCGCTTGAAGGTTCAGAAGCGGCGCTCGTGCCCACGTTTTCGGAATCGCCAGCGTCGTCGTCGTCGTCGTCGCCGCCAAAGGACAGAAGCTTCTTGCTTGGGTTCTTCGCCTTCTTCTTCAGCTTCTTCTTTAGCGGTCCCGGGCCAGCGCTGCCGGCGGAATCACTGCCAGCGTTGTCAGGAGTGCCTGTCAGCGAGCGGTCCGGTTTTGACGTGCCTGAGAGCGCAGCCTCGCGGGCTTCGCGCTCCTGCTGCTCGCGGACTTCTGCGCGCCGCTTGCGAAAGTCGGAGAGGGCGACGAGGCCGACGGTGTTTGTCGACAGTCGCTCGTTTGTTGATTTGTTTTGGGGCGTGAATCGCGAGGCCTGTTGGTTCGACATGGCGGCAATGCCGATGTTGGGATCGAGCAGTTTGTGATGAAAGAAGATGGATTTGGAGCTGTCTGCGATCTGCTATCTGCCTGCGATCCGATAGTGGATATAGTGAGTGTGGCACTGTAAACGCTTCCAGCTTATTGATACCCTAGACTCGACCAACGAAACTGTAATGGAAAAGGTTCAATCAAAAGTGTATTTTCAATTTTGCAGTTATTCAATGTTTAAATAATCTCATTCGTAGATCCTCTTTCAATCCATTAGGGAAGCCGGTTGCCCTTTCTCGTTGCCTGTCCCACCAGCGAATTTGTTGTGTCTTCTGCATATCTCTTATAAACATCAATGTACTGCTCACTCGCGCTCCAAGTATTCTTCACGCTTTCACGATTCTCCACGGCCATCATCCACGAGTTCAATCTTGTCCACTCGTTCTTTTCGCCTCCTCCCTGTGGTAGCTGGAGCCCCCCCGGCTTATAGTAATCAAGCAGCCATAGCCGTTTCGCCCAAGGGATCAAGCTAATGTCCACCAAGCTGATATTCTCCCCCAAAAACCAAGGACCTTTGGAATCCATCTGCGCCACAAGAGTCTTGATGTGGCCATGGAGCTCTTCTCGTGCCTCATCAATGCTGAAGTCTTTGTCCGGAGTGTGCTGCAGGAACTTGTAGAAGGCGGGAATGATTCTTGTGCTGATGTGGTCTATCCATAGTCGCGCCCTGGCTTTTTGATATGGATCCGACGGCAGCAGGCGAGGGCCGTACTTGGACTCGTCTGAATATGCATCTTCAAGATACTCGATGATGATGGAGCTCTCAAAGAGCGGCTTCTGCTCCGTTCCGGCCGCATCGACGGGCACCGCGAGAGTGGGCACCAGGCCACGGGGATTCAGCCTGAGAAACTCTGGTTCCTTCTTGTATGGATTGATCTCCACGTATTGATGGGGTATCTTTTTCTCTTCCAGCGTGATCCAGGCTCGTTGGACAAAGGGACAGAACCATCCTCCATATAGCTTGAGGGGTTGTTCGTCTGCATGGCGAGCTGCTAGCTGAGCAGCGGCACCGCTCGGTGCTGAGTGAATGGAAGTGTCGACACTGGGCATTTTTCTCACTTTTTCTTGGTTGATGCTGTAATAATCATGAGAGTGTCTGAGATATGAATTTTCGTTGACGTTGACAGAAGACAGAATGATTGAGTCAAAATACCATCTACGGATATTCTTCCAAGATCCAATGACGTTATTAGCTCGCACCCCGCGTGACGATCCAACCACCTCAGTGATGTATGCAACCAGATACTCGTGATAATCGAGGGGTAACTAATATTGATGCACATATTATGGCACCATCTATCCCAGAGAGTTAAATCTCTCGTGCAACCTTGGGATACAACTTGAACCTCTTCGCTGAGGTGTTAATTTAGGTGTAAGCTTAGTAGAACCGGAGGCGCCTATAGTAGAAGCGTCGTATTTCTCAACTTTTGTGAAACACAAAGTCCGTGTCCCTCGCATAAATAGACAAAGAGTCAATCTTACCAAACTCCAAAAATGGTCTCAGTTTACCTAAGACATCTCAAGATAAGGCTAGGCACCTGTTCTGCTAACACATGAGGTTGGTTACCTGCCAAGCAGAGGTCAGAAAAAGGGAGACCGCAAGATAAATAAGTGCATACTCATAACAATATAAGCACTTAATCAACTGAGTACGTAGGGCTTTCCTAAGGGAACGCCTATCCAGCCAGCACCCGAATGCAATCATATAACTATAGTAACAGTTACTGAAGAATAATAATATGGTGGCAGATACGAGAGAAATATAAATATAGTAGTAAGTATTAAAGAAATATAGATATAGTAGCAAATATCTAAAGAACAGGCGTATAATTTAACGCGTGGACGTTCGTAATCTTACAGTCTCGGGTTTTCTGTCCTCCACTTGCCTGCCACACGCAGCCTGCTAGATATCTATGGGTCAACCAAGCAAGGGGGATGCAGTCCTCGAGTTTGAGTAATGGAAACTATCGGCAACTTGCAGAATGCTTTCCAAGGTGTTTTCAATAGCTACCTAGGCCAGTAACTATTCAGTGAATCGAGCCATAGGTAGATGCGGGGCGACTACAGTGAATTGCATTTTCATATGGTGATACCTACCTAGTAGTTACATGTACAGTCAGAGAGAGAGAGAGAGAGGGTCGAGTGACTGTTATCACACTCACCGACTCTAGCTAATGAGACACTATATGCCGGTATGACATTAGAGTCGCGTGGTGTATGGAAGCCTGCCCGTCATGCACAACGCGGCGAATGAAAGTTGTTATCCGAAATTGAGTCGAGAGACATTGTCGGCCTCCCACAGAAAAGTCCAACAACTCATCCATTGAGTGAATGCTATCAAATGCTGGGGTATTTAAGTGATCTGCCGCCAACTTTCCCCTCTTTCCCCCTTCTTTCGATACCGTCTTAGAACATGACATTTTTGAGCCTGCCTCACCATCTTCTTACGTTGCGGCATTCATCATACAAGACACTTTCTAATTACGCCCCCAGAAGGCGTTGGATGGTGCTCTCGTCCTCCTCTTTGGGCAATACTTTTTCTTCTTCCTCAAACAGGACAGGCGCTATGGATTCGAGCTTGGTAGCTCACCTTTCTCTATTGTCTTTGGATGACAGTACAGAAGATGCGGAAGAGCTCGCCGCAACCCCCATCTTCACCCATGCTGTTCATGAATATGGATCGTCTTTAAAAACGGCAACCAAGAAGCCGTTTGCTCAATACGGCCTGCTTGCTGGCATCCTTGAAAATACATCTGCGGCTAGAAACAGTCCCGCATTTGCTCCCAAGGATCCCAGGCTCTTCTTTAACACTTCGACTCCATCAAGTGTCTTCATTTGTGGGAGCCAGGGCTCTGGGAAAAGTCACACTTTGAGCTGCATTTTAGAGAACTGTCTAATGAAGTCGAAAGCCAGTGTCTTGCATCGCCCATTAACGGGTATCGTATTTCATTACGATCCTTGGGTATCTGCTTCCAGAGGCTCGCCTTGTGAGGCTGCCTATCTGGCTTCAGTCCAAAAGATCTCGGTCAGAGTTCTCTGCCCGCCAACAAATGTGAAGCAAATTGAGGTGCGTCACGGCAGGCAACTTACGATCAAAAGGCTTATCTTACTAACAATTTGCTAGGGGATTTACTCGAGACTTCCAAATGTTCGGGTCGAGACTCTTCGGATAAACCAATCTGACCTGAACACCAAGAGGATGATGGACTTAATGGCCATCAGTTCCGTCCAAGGCGGCATGCCACTGTATATGCATGTGGTTCAGCGTATTCTGAAGGACTTGCGAATTGAGCAGCAAGAGAAAGAAACCACGTTCAATTACCGCGAGTTCAAGCAGCGCCTACTGGATGCCGCCTTGACGCCTGCCCAAATCCAACCTCTTCAGCAGCGCCTTGAAACTCTGGAGAGCTTCATGGTAAAGGAGCAAGTTGTTCATATTTCCAAAAAGAAGGCCATTCAGGCCCAAGGTAAAGCGAATAGTTGGGAGCCTAAAGTGAGTTATCCTACCCTCAAACAAATATTGGTCAACCAACGCTAAACAAATGGAAATCTTATGCAGAGCGGCCAGCTCACCATCATCGATCTGTCCTGCCCTTGCGTGACAGAGGAGACGGCATGTTCACTCTTCAATATCTGCCTCAGTCTCTTCCTGGAGCAGAGTCCTCAAGTCGGCCGTGTGGTTGCGTTGGACGAAGCGCACAAATTCATGACGGACACGGCTGAATGCCAAGTGCTGACAGAATCGCTTCTATCCAACATTCGTTTGCAACGCCATTTGGGACTTCGAGTCATCATATCGACTCAAGAGCCCACCATATCTCCAAAACTGTTGGACCTATGCTCTGTCACTATCGTGCATCGATTTACTTCGCCAGACTGGCTGCAGAGCCTGAGGAAACACTTGGCCGGCGCATCCCTTTCACTACTGTCCAAGGGTCAACACACCGCAAATGGGGTACCCAATGGTGATGAAAATGTTAACGGCATTAGAAGTTTCGGTGAAAATCCTCATGATGTTGCCGCAGAGCTCTTCGGCAAGATTGTTGCTTTGCGACGCGGAGAAGCTCTGCTGTTCTGCCCATCGGGTATAGTTGGCGTGCGAACGACGGCTATTAAAACAGAAAACGTGTCTTCTGCGAACAAAGATTGGGCTGATACTGATGGGACGCATGTTGCAAAGGAAGCAAGCCCGCAGCTCATCAAACTGTCTTATGGACACCTAAAGATTCGGGTCCGGGGGAGGATCACTCAGGATGGAGGGAGAAGTATTCTTGCAGTATAAGGTCAAGTGAGCCGAGTTTTGTTTGTAGAAGACTGTTAGTCATGGACTGCGTCTCTATAGAGATAGTAGAAGAAGGCAGACATGGATATTGCGATGTTCATGGAAGAGCCTCTACTGGATTGACACTGAGATGGAGTTTTAGTTTGGGGGTGGACTACATCCTAATTGATAAACTTTTGATTCATTCCACAGCAATAGGAAATCCTATGCCCCTAACTTCGATTCATCATGTAATAAGATAAATAAGAGCATATTCAAGGTATCGTTAAGCACATCCCGTACAGCCCACTCTCAACCATACTGAGAATCAGTCATCAGCGCCGTCATATCGAAATTCAACAAATTCTGCAACACCACATCATCCATGACCAGATTCATCTGGTACACCCCCATCGACTGCGTCCCATCCATATACTCTACCGGCGTCTCCACGGCAGACGCATTCGCCGTGCTATCATCAATTACCCCCCTGAACTGACCCTGGGAGAATGACGCGCTCTCCATCGAAGTCGGCGTCGGCTGCTGCTTCGTCGTCGACGCCTTGAGTCTCTTGTTTCGCGATGCTAGTCGCTGCATGTATGTCCGCGCGGCTTGCTCTCCACCAAAGATGAAGCCTATGCCTGACACCAAGCCATCAGTATCTTGATCTGATGCTGCAGCTCCATTATTCCCCATGTCCACCAAGTTCAACATCTTGAGCAGTATTTGTCTCCCGCGACTAGCAACAGGAGACACGCAGACCTGGTCTTCCATGATCAGAAGATCCTCCGCCATGTCCCTGATCTGCTGCCGCACATTCAATATCGGCAGCGAGCCCTCAACCAGAAGCAGCGCAGTGACCGTCACAGCAACGGAAAAAATCTGATACGCCTGAGGAAGAAACTTTTGCAGCGAAGTGGTCGATCTGTTGGTCCGGATAGTTCTATACACCGCCAAGGCGTCCTCCGCTGCCTCGATGCATTTCGCCCACGAGTCTCCGAGGCGGGGAGATAGAAATGGGCGATACATTCGGATGCGCTGCGTGCTGATGCATGTGCGGATGATGTGATTTTGCCAAGTGAGTATTTCTCCAAGGGGCTGCGGTAGCGGTGGTGGCCGACCATCTTGGTCGAGCTGAAAGAACCAGGGGTAAGTTCTGGTGATTTGGACAACTTCGTCGTCCAACTTGCAGATGGCATCGTAAGATTTGGCATCGTCGGCATTGCCATTGCAAAGATGGTGGTTCATTAACTTGAAGAACCGAGCTCTGAAGATGTTGAGCATCATAATAGTAGGTTCGTCGTGGGAACGTGGTTGTAAGAATGACTCGGTGATGTCACTGTCGTTGCAGTTGAGTGGAAAAGGAACTCCCGGGGACTCTAAGCGGATGAGTGGAGGGCGATCTAGGCAGATGGATTGGAATCTTTTTGGTTAAAGAAATTGGTCAGTTCAAGTTCTGCTTGAATGGTCAGATATGACGGCATTGGGTACTTACGTATCTGAATCAATGAGATCCCACCAGATGCGATGCCTCATCTCATCATGCAGTGTTTGAGAAGGGGTCAAGTCTTTGTCCAGTCCCAGATTCTGGGCAGTCCGCACAGCTTGCCCCAGCCGTCTATACAGTTTAATTAGCGGACAAAACATCTTGATATAGTATCATATCGATGACTTACGAATTCAACGCATCAATCCCATTAGTAGCATACCAGTAAAACTGCGTAATAGAAAACGTCTGAAGCTGCACAATACACGGCTTCGACTCATAGTCTCCAGCTACCAATGCCTGATGAGAGGCCCTATGCCACACATGCGCAAGGTCCCGTACCGACTCCTTAGGACAGCCGAATATTTCCACCGTTGCCGGCGGAATGTACAGGGCGCTGACGGAGATGATGGTGAAGACGAGGGCCGTAAAGATAAAGTCCAGCTCGTGGTCATCCCCGGCATCCCAAAACTCTTCATACTCGCGACGGAATGATGGAACATGTGTAATCTGGAAGATCCAGTTGATGTGATCAAGGTAATAGTTGAGAAGTAGGTCGCACATGGACCGTGAGGGCAGAGCAGACCGCAGCTGCGTCTCCCAATATCGTCTCCTGTTTGCCCCCTCCATCATGTGCCACAAGATGGAAGGCTGGCCAGCGGTCTGAATCTCAGCCAGAAGCTGTGAAAGTGAAGAAACAGGGATCGACGTGGTATTAGCATCCAAGCCGAGGGCCCGGAGAAAGAAAGCAGTGTCCTTGATATCAGCTCCGGGAGCTTTGAAGCTATTCCGAAGGCGAACCAAACCCACGTCCGTAGATCCGGCAACAATAGGATCTCGGGACGGGACCTCCAAAGGCTCACCAAAACCCTCCGACTCTACAAGATCAACATCCGCCAGCTCCGATCCAGCATCAATATCAATGTCCCGGACCGCTGCCTTGGCCCGGCCTCCCTTCGGAGGTGCCGGATTCTGGCGGCACAGAGCCTCCCGATGATAGCGGATGCAAGTGCCGCAGGGCACCTTGCGGTCGCATTTCAGCTTGTGCCGGCGACAGGCAAGGCAGCTCAGGGGCTTGCGGCCACCGCGCTGGGGTCTGTTGAGGCTGTCGATGCCGACCCGGAGGTTGACCGGAGATTCGGACATGGGGCTGTTCGGAGAAAGGAAAAGGATCCCCGGTCGGACAATGTTCAACGAGACACAGCCAAAGCGGCAGAGAAGAAAAAAAAAAAAGGAAAGAAAAAAAGCTTAAAAAGGAATTCAAAGGATTTAAAGAAGAAGACTAGAATTAAGAATTGAAGGCTAGAGAAACCAATTGAGGTTCTGGGTTAAGCTTTTGTTGGAAGGTTTTCAGCTGCTCGACCTAGTTTTGGCTGGTTTTGGACTCAAGAATCGACAGATCAGAGTCATTCGCCGAGTCCCCATTGGAAGCGAACCCCGAACAGACACACACAAACCGGGCGGCTATTCCTCTTTGATTGTTCTAATATGTACATGTATCTTTGGGGAAGCAATGAATTCATTAATCGTCGACAAATTAACTTGATGCGCTACTCGAAGCATTGGATCTAATTAAACGGCTGGCTCAGCAGCCCCTCAAACTTGGCGACAACAGCTTCGGCAGCGCCCTCATATGATTGCGCAACGGCCTCGTCTCGCTCTCTGCCCTTTTCGGGGCCCACGGCGACTCGCTTTTCACCGAGAGCGCGAGCGCCCTTGACGAGGATTGACGTCCGTGGTTGACGCTTCTCTGCAAAGGGGCGGAATATGGATTCCGAGAGGCTGCTTCCCAAAGCTTCGAGGTTCTTGTTGTAATCTTCGCCTTGGGTATCGGTGGAGAGGTTCGGCAGCGCGCTACTCAGGTGGTAGCAATCCTCCCTGAGTTGTGAAGCCAAATAATTAGAATACAAGTGGTAATGATGTGGTGATTGCGTTGTCACTTACATGGCCTGGTTCGCGCCCTGGCCGAGATGGGGGCTCGTGGGATGGGCAGCGTCTCCGACTAACACGCAGCGTCTCGAGTACCACTGCTCCGGCTTCAACTCGTCGCGGTCAAAGAGGCCGAATTTGATGATGCGCTCGGCCGATTTCACTCCCTGGGCAATATTGGCATCCCAACCGTCGAGGAGTTCCAACAGGGCATCTCGTTGAGCCTCCACTTCGTCCGCTGTGAAGGGGCGCCATGTCTCTTCTCTCTCCTGCGTCTCTCGTTGTGTGAGGGCCCATGACATGGTCTTGGGACCAACCGGATATGCAATGACGTGAACTCCATCGCCGTACCAATTGCGCATCGCTGCCATGTCTCGAAGGGCCTCTGGGGTTTCTGATAGGAAGGCCGTCTTTATATAGCTTTTGTTAGCCACTTTGCATTCCGACATCATATCAATCGATCAGCTTGTCATCGGACGAACCTGTGTGAGACCCGTGAATGAAGGAGCACCTTCTTCAACTCCCTTTTGTTTCTGTAGAACAGCTCTCGATGCAGACTTGATTCCGTCGCATCCGATGAGGAAAGATCCCGTCACGGATTCACCGTTGCTAAAAGTTGCTGTCACTGAGTCTTGGTGTTCCTGAATATCGACCAGCCCCCATCCTTCTCTGACCTCAATGCCCTCTTCCAGCACTTTATTCTTCAGGAGTAGATTGAGAACGGTTCGCCTGATGCCAGTGGCAGGTTGTTGGTATTTCTCGGCAAATGTGCTTGGCAGACTGGACTGGCCCAGGACATCTCCTGATGCTTTGGCATCCCAGAGGGCTGTGAGGGGAAGAGACTCGGCCTTGATAGCGTCTGCAACTCCAATCAAGTTGAAGACTTTGAGGCTGCAATTTCAGACGTCAGTACTTCTGCACCGTGTTCAATATCTTGCTGCTGTGTAACAAAGTACTAACCCGTTCGACATCACCATGAGCGATGCTCCGGCATTGCCCAGTTCCCGGACCTTTTCAAAGACAATGGGATGATAGCCTTTGCGCTTGAGAAGAATGGCGAGGACAGGCCCTGCCACGCCGCAGCCAATGATGAGAACGGTAGGGGGAGCCATGATAATTGAATCGGTGGTTATGAAGAGTTGTCAAATGATGCTGTTCAATGACAGGTGAGGATGCTCCCATCAACCTTGATACCTGATCTATATATACAGGGGATCAATCAACAACAATGTTCGAATGCCAAAATTTCTCGCTCTCGCCGACTGACTCAGTCGGCGAGCTACCGCATATGAGATGTCCGGTGTTGTTGTTGAGGCATATCCGAAGAATGTGGCCGGAGAATGGGCTTCAACTCCGGTCGCCGTAGACGTCATGCCACATTCGGGATGCCCGTGATGGATGGAAAAGTGACAATTGGACTGAGACCTTGGAATTTAGGGGTTTTTCTGCATGCTATTTTTCTTTTCGCCTTCTAAAAGAATCGCCGAAGTCATGTTTGAACCGGAAAAGTTGTGAGAAAAGAAATACACATCATTCTATACCTGGTAGCCAAAAAAAGCTCTGCGCTTGCTCCTTATAGTACATCAACACCAAAAACACATCATTAGGAGATCCCGTTTTTAACTGCCCAAACAAACAAAAACAAAACAACACCGAATCGCCGGCACTTTCATCTTCATCATCGTCATGATCCCACGCTGAAGCCAAAGGACCCGTCAAAGATGTCGAGCTTCTTCACGTCGTTATCCGGACCGCGCAGCGATTTCAAGATGTCGATGTCCGGCACCTTGTTCGCCGGGTAGAACAGCAAGAGGTTGTCCATGTCCTCCTCCGTGATTTCGCTCATCTCTTCCCACTTGTAGGTGTCGCTGACTTTTGACATCCTATACTTTTGTCAGCGTCTCCATTGCACAATTGCTGGTCCACCGCCATAAAGGCACGTCCGCACTCACCATCGCATTCGCTTCTGACTGTCTTCATGATTGGGGGCAACCTTGCGCAGCCGTGTCCGCAACTCTCCAATGGTCTCAATAGCATTTCCGACATTCTGCGGCAGTTGATTGGCAATGTGCCGCCGTAGTGATGCCGCCAGCCGAGGCCCCTTGCCGTTGGTGCTGACCATGACCTGTAGAGGCCCGTCACGATGGACGCTGCCAAAGTAAAAGTCGCACTCTGGGGGCACGTCGGCAATGTTGGCCGGGATTCTCTTTTCCTTGCACAGTTTCCATATCGCTGTAGAGGCTGCCGGGTCGTCGATGGCGACTAGAACCATGTCTGCTTTGTCGAGATCGGACGGCTCGAATAGGCGGTCGATGTGTGTCACCTGCTTCTCGGCAATTCGGAATGCGACCTCTTCGTTGAGGCCTGACGCCGGGCAGACGACGGTGACTTGGGCGTCGGCATTGAGGCAGTTGAGGATGCGGCCAGCCGCGACCTGCCGATGAGATCTCGTTAGACGGTTCACGGGCTCTTGGAGAGACACTCTGGACAGACAGAGATAGGTAAGATCTTACCTCACCACCGCCTACCACCAGCACGTTCTTGTCCTTGACACGGTAGGCCAGAATCAGGCTCCCTCCAGGCTGAACTTGCGGAAACGGCTTGCCCATTGTCGAAATATTGTACTCAAGCAAGGATATCGATCAATCGCAAGGGTCGGATATGAAATCTTCGGGTGCCCACGCGACACGGTTTTTTTTTATTTCGGAGGCAAAGACAAGGTTTCAATGCAGTCTGCCGGAATTGAATTGGGGACAGGACCTGTTCGGAGCCCGATAAGGCGAGCCGATAAGCTGCCCCGGGGGAGCTGACCCACTGCAAGTCCGTGCGGTGTCTGCTACAGGCTACCTGACAGGCTACAGGCTGCAGCACCTCGAATTCACAGCGCGCTTGACGCTTCCCGCCCGCTGTAATGGCGTCCGCGCGTGCCCGGTTTAGCGCCCTTGCACGTCAAAGCTGATCCCTGTAGCAAGCAGCCCAGTGCGCTAATCATCGAATCATTAGCGGCGGCGACGTAATTACAAGCCAGGCCGCATATGCTCGTACATGCGTCCACAGCCCCCCTCAGCCTCTTAGCCTTGCCTTGCACCAGCTATGCAGCTCCAGGCACGGATCGGCCTTGTCTGGTCGTCTCGTCGTTCCGGGTTGCCTCTGTGATTTCTGGCCTCTGTTTCTTCTCTTGTCCGTCGCCTTATTCGCCTCTCTTCTCTCAGCTCAGCACCACCAACCGCCATGTCTGGACGCAGGCTCGGCGGCGGCAGGATCCTGGGCAGCGGCAAAGGCCTTGGCCCGACCCCTCCGGCTGTGCCTCGATCATCCAGCCCGTTTGCCCCGTCCGAGAGCACCGTTTCCATCGCCTCTTCTTCAATATCGCCGCCTGCCAGTGGGAGCTTGGCCGACTTGACTCAGGATATTGGCTCTAGCATCAGCGTGGGAGCACAGCCAAAGGGCGGCGCAGCCGGTGCGTCGAGCCTTGTGTGTCCCATCTGCAGCGAGGAGATGGTATGAGGCGAGGAAACTCTTTATTGCGATACATTCTAATGTTGATGGTATAACAAGGTCACGCTGCTCCAGCTCAACCGCCACATCGACGACACCCACCAGGAACTCCCCGCCGAAGAACAAAATGAGGTCAAGACTTGGTTCGACAAACAGGTCCTCAAGGCGAAGCGCTTCCAGCCGCTGTCCATGATCAACATGAAGCTGCGCGGCCTTGAAGTTTTCGAATCCAACGAATCCAACCCGATCACGCCGCCGCTGCCGACGGGAACAAGCTCTTCCAGCAAGTTACCCATAGAGACGCCCATCGACCCAGAAGAATTCATAACCAGAAGTCATTGGCAACGCTCGACGGGGTACGATATGTGTACGGATCCTACTTGCGGAAAGGGGCTTGGCCCTATAAACGGAAATGTCAACTGTAGGAAATGCGGGCGACTCTTTTGCGAGCAGCACACCATGTATCAGATGAAGCTCAGTAGGAGCGCAAGCCATGAGCCCGTTCGAGGTTACTGGGCACGAGTCTGCGAGACATGCTACAAGTCTAGGGAAGGATACAACGACCACAACGGGACCTCGATCGATCATACCGACATGTTCAAGGCTGTCAGGCGGACCAAGGTCGAACGACACACCTTGGAGGTTTCACGATTGGAAAAGCGATTAACCAAGCTTACAAGACTACTTGCAAATTCGCCCGAGGCACTTGCCAACCCATCAAACGGCTCACTGTTAGGCCCTGTACAATCGTTGACTGGACAAAAGAACCCTCGGAAATTAATTGAACAGTCGGTTGTGACATGGGAGGAAGATGACAAGGTTCCAGAATGCCCCTTTTGCCGCCAGGAGTTCGGCTCCTGGACATTTAGGCGACATCACTGCCGAATATGTGGCCGCGTAGTGTGCGGAGACCCTCAAACTGGCTGCTCATCAGAAGTTAGTTTAAGCATCGCTGGACGTATGTACATCATGGCCCTTGTATGTGTTCTTTTTACTGTGCTCTAAACTAACCTCATATACAGCAACAGGCCCCGGCGCCGAGAAGCCGCCTTCTTCTGCCGGCAATGGCCATATGGCCGTGGATATTAGAATGTGCAAGGAATGTAATAGCACCATTTTCTCGAGTCGCGACTTTGCAGCGTCATTAGCGTACAGACCTCCGGATCAGCGAGCCTACGAAACGCTTCGCCAGTTTGAGCGTGGCATACGGCAGCTTCTACCAAGTTTCCATCGGGCGCTTCAGGCTCTACAACCAGAGGTCAAGGAAAATGGGGAAGTCGACCTCAATAGACCCCCGCCTACGCACGCGCAAATCCAAGAAGCCAGCAAGATACGGAAACGTCTAATAGACAGCTTCTCCAAGTATGGATCTGCCGCCAAGAGGCTTCGCGATTTGAAGACCGATAGCCCGACCCAAGAGAGATTGCAAGTCGCGGTTTATGCTTATGCAAGTTCATTTTTACACACCAACATGCTGCCGCTGAAGAACCTACCGCAGATGCTGCGCCACAGATCTACGCCTTCGACATCCTCATCACACTCACATTTCCTTCCTTCGACAAACCATTCGACGTCAAGCCTGCGGCATTCAGAACTTGCCGAGTCCGAAAACGCTTCTCAGGCGCCCAGCGAGACGAGCACGGTGGTCAGCCTGTTGGAGACGGAAGAAAAAGACTTGAAGGAACGCCTTGCCGTTCTAGAAGAGCAAAAATTCATGGTTGAGGAAATGGTCAGATCGGCCCATGGCGCGAGGAGATTCGAAGAAGTCAGTGCGCTGTCTAGAAATTTGGACGAGCTTACTGGTGAGATTCAGGGGCTGAGGAAGAAGATTGGGGATGTGGAGAAGAAGTGGGAGGTGGCATATCGGAACGGTGCCTAGGTGGAAACCCCTTCATTTTTTGGTCTTTATCAAGCTGTCAAGGCGAATGTTTTATTAAGCCGAAGACGGGGTTATTACTTGTTTTTTTTTTTGGAGTTTACTTGGCATTGTATGGCGTTTATGGCGGGTTGGAAGCTACTTGAGTGTTGTTTCAGGGAGAATCAAGGCGAGTTGGGTTTTGTCTTTTGCTTCGAAGCCATAGTTAGGGAGGGTGTTTTAAGGATCTTGATTAGAGCGATCATCTACGATATCTTTAGAGTACACGTTGAAGTAATATAGGTACCAGATATTAAACCAATCACTCATTTTTTGCAAGACCACTGTTAAGTTATACTGAACTGTGCCAAAATTCAAGCAAAAGGAAAGAGAACTGCTTCTGCTTCAAGACTCACGTAAAACATGCGTTCATTACATTACATGCAATAAAAATGAAAAAATAAGACTCCGTTATACAATGAACACAAGCTAAGGAATAAAAAACATCACCGTCGTAGGAACGCGAAAAACGTCCGAGAAGTGAATACACATCCAAACGATGCCAAACCAAACCAAACACCCGTCCCCCCGACCTCCTTTGATGTCCGAGTGTACAAAAAGAAAAGCAAGAATAGAAAAATGCCACACGCATATATGAATATATGTAGGTATGTGTATATGAAAAAAAAAAAGAATAATGTAATATACCGCCACAAAAAGGCCATGAAGCGAGAACCGTCCAGAAGAGGTGTCGAAAAAGAAAGGGCCAGAATGAATACCCCATGCCTGAGAATCGTCCCACATATGCAGTATACAATCAATATACATCGAATTTGACGGGAATGAATAAGAAAAAAAAAAACAGAAAGCGCTACTTTTCAAAGACCAAAGCAGAGTAAGTCAAAAGTAGAGGAATAGGGAAATCCAAGGAGGATCAAAGGAGGGAGCGCCATCACTAGTGCACCACGCCCTCGACCCCTCCAAGGAATCTCCTTACCCGTCCTATTTCCAGCTCGTCTTTCTCGCTTTCAACGGCCTTGAGAAGACCGTCAACGACGGCATCCACTTCCGTCTCCGGGACGCCCGTACACAGAGCAACGACACGCCGATACTTAACTTCGACGTCGCGGCTCCTTCCCTTGAGGGCCATGACCATTTTGCGGGTAACTTCTCTGCGGCTCTCGATGGCGCGGATTCGTGCTCGTAGAATCGTCGCAGAAGGCAGCATTCCCTCGCTAGCGAAGCCAGCTGATGTTGAGGCCTCCTCTGCAGCCTCCAGCATAGCGGCGAGCTCCGTTTCCCACGATGACGATGGGTTGGACTGAGCAGCGTTGGATTGCTCGTTCATGATTCTGAATTGGTCGTCCTCTCGTGCATGGGTAAGGTTGGCGACTTTTTGGCGGGCTAGCTGCTGCTTCTTGAGGGTGGCAGTGATCTGCTCGACGCTTCGGCGGGCCTCTCCTAGTTGGGTAGAGGTTGTTCGTAGGGTAGAATGTAGGTTGTCAAGAGAAGCTTGTTTGCTCTTCATTTCCTGTTGGAAAGTGGCACCAGTTTCGTTTAGGAGATGAGTAATGGCTATATGAAAAGGTTAGCATGTGCAAGGCAGAAGAAACATACTGATCGTGCAGGGGGATATAAGCAAGGAATGAAACTCACAATCAATAATCTCGTCGCTGCTCTCACGACTTCGCTGGCTGGACCCTGGAGCGCCATTCTTCTCGGCAACGGCATCGCCATTCAGTTTTCCTTCGGCATTTTCGCCACCAATACCAAAATCCAGGGGCCGCAGGCCAACGCGATTGGCAATCTCTGGATCGGCTCCGACCTCGAGAAGCTGGGATATTATACTCCTGTTTCCAATGCGAGCTGCGATGTTGAGTGCCGTGTCTCCTGAGCTGTCCTGGGCGTTGACAATCTCGGACATGAATCGAGCAATGCCCATTTTGGGAATGGAATGTGACCCGTTGATACCGTTGCCGTTCAACTGTGTTGCTTGGCTATTGGGGACGCTGCCCTGTCGTACTACCCACTCCAGTAAACTTTCAAGATAGTATCGGCTGGCAGCGTTGCGGCCTTTGACCGCACTCGTCACTGCGATGTGGTGCAAAACGGTTCGTCCCTTGTGATCGCGAAACTCAATAGTACCTCCCAGAACCTCAAGAAGGTCCGGAAACGAGCCCTGGTCCATGGAGTTTGTAACAAGGCATGCCCGCATAAGGGCAGTCTCTCCTGATGCATTCACCCGTCGCGGCGAGGCTCCAGCAGTGATGAGAGCCCGCAAAAGAGGCATCCGTGCTAGCGTAGCTGCCCAGTGAAGGGCGGTGTGGCTTTGAGGATCAATGGGCATATCAAGTTCGAGAGGCGTAAAAGTCTGAAGCATATCGTGTGATAGTTCCTCTGTAGCTGAGTCCATAAAGAGGCCCATCAGCATGCTTCGCTTCATCTCTACATCAGGAGACACCTCATAGGGCAGCGGAGGTGATGGGCCTTTTCCTTCGTCGACGGCATCGCGATCGTTGAGTGCGCTCTGCTGGGTATATACAAAGGACTCGTTTGGTTCCGTGGGCGACCCGGGAAAGGCGTTGGCATATACCTCCATGTTCTGCCCATAGGCCCCGAAACTGTCTGCGGGAGTCATGGTGACCCGTGCACGTTTTCTAGGCGGCTCGTTGTCGGGCATGCTCACACTGCCATTCGGTTGCTGCTGCTGATGCTGGGATTGCTGTTGATGCTGCTGTTGTTGCTGCTGTTGCTGCTGTTGTATGGAGTAGGCAGAGTCGACGCCTTGGTTAGTATAGTCGGAGGTGTAACTTTGCTGCGAGTTGCCGGGGAAATCATCGCCATTCTGCATCGAAGGTTGGCGGCTAAAGCTGGGGGCTCGCGATGGGCCATTTCGACTTCGGGGTCCAGGGGAGCCAAAACGAGCTTTGCTGATAGCAGCAACTGCGTGTGAGGCGGTGCTGGAAATGTTCTTGAAAAAGGTGCCCGACAGACCATTGGGTCTTCCATCCCCTCCAGCATTGTACATGCGTTTCCTCAGTGCTGCCATGGCCTGCTCCTTGGTCGGGGTGTTGAAATCGCCTCGGCCTGCAACACCACCGTCCTGACCCATGTCATAAGTTAACAATGGTCGCAGCAGCTCTTCCACACCGTACTGGCGGCAGACTTCGACTCCACGCTCGAATTTTATCCAGGTGCCCTGGTATTTGCCGTAGCCTCCCTGCACCTTTTCGTGCTCGCCAATCTGGATCTCCTTCTCGAGGATCTTGGTGCGCTTTCCCTTGTCGACGCCGGCGACTTTGAGAATCTGCGTGGCATTCAGCCAGGAATCGTGGCGACGGCGCATGACGGCCACATTGTTTACTTCCATCTCGTACACATCGACACCCGAATACGACGCCTGTTTCACACAATGTCAGTCAATGGCTCCCCGACAGCTCGAGATGGCGGGGGCAGGCCATCTCTCGCCCCGAAGCGCTGCGTCGGCATATGGCGGGAATGCATACCGAGTAGATTTGAGGCCCATCGACGCCGCCATTGTAGCCGCGGTTAAACGAGGCCGCACGCCCTGTTTGTGACTGCTGGCTCATTGTGAAGGACTGTTGCGACGATTGCGACGCGGATGGCATGGCGGAGGGTGAGTGTTGCCTTGCCCTGTCGAGGAAAGGTTGAGGTTGATGCCGGTCAGCGGTTGTCGCACGAGATTGGACACGATAAATGGCGGCACTAGCGAGCTCTCCCAACCCAAAGTCTAATCCATATACTTGGCTCAAGGGAAAAGTTGATGCGCGCCGGATCCAAAGTGTGTGTCGCTGCCGTTTCTTCCCAAGGTTCTTCTTCTTCTGTTCGACGTTTGCTTTTGTCGCAATGCGGTTGATCTGTCGGAGGGTTCGAGCGAGGCCTGTGCAGGAAGCGAGATGAGATTCGGTCCGCCGTGGGTTTGCTGGCAGGGGAACAAACTAAGCACCAGCACCAGCACCAGCACAAGCATAAGCAGCAAATCTGCAGCAAAAGATTGTGTGCAAGGTCAAGGTCAGTTCCGGTATGTAACTATTATTACTAGTACTTCTGCCGAGAGGGGGCCGGCAATGTCTCCGCTTTGCCGAATTGCAACGAATGAAACAGCGGGATCACGGCTGCAGATAACGATGCAACTCGTCTCGTGGTTGTGGAGGGAAAAGAAATCCCGAAGCGATCAGAACAAAGGCTACGGGTGGAAGGTTCCGAAACCTTACAGGGCCTCCGTAAAGGCTACTAAGGTTAGGCGCTTTGCACGGATCAATCACGCAGCAAGGAGCAGAACACAGAGCACGAGAAAAGAATCAGAAGCCGTGATGCAATGAAAATGATGTGTGGGGGCCTGAAAAGGAACGGAACAGACACAGACACAGAGGCATATGCATAAGGCTTTCCCCGTATGTACATCAGACCTGCACTGCAGGAAATATAGGTACGAGCACGAGCACGAGGTACTTGGAAGTGCCCATTTCGATGCGGTGCGCGTGTATTTGCTTTGCATTGCAACCTGAAGTCAATTAATTGAATCGCCGGCGACGTGTCTGTTTCGTGATTTCGTGTCGTGCGTGTCGCGCCACGCGCCAAAGCGACCCTTATTTTTGGACTTTAATTGCCAGTGAGATGAATCATGGTGGGGTTAAGTAACCCTGGGCTTGCTTCTGACTTGATGTGAGATTGTTTATTTCAATGTTGGTAAAGATGGTTCAAGTGGCGCCGTTTTGGAGGCCCATTCAACGGTTTTGTTTACTGTCAACACTCGGGCTCTCTGCCAATCACAGCAAGGAGTTTTGCATTTGCAGTGTGCAGATGCGTGTTGACAGCTGACCGAGCCACATGTACAGCCGATACGACGATGTTACAGTAGCCAAGAGCGGGATGTCATCATCGGCTCTTACAATTGGGGGCCTTGTTCTTTTGTGCTGAAGTTCTTCGTTATCTTCATCGTGCGTAAGATGTAGGTCCTCTTGATACGAGCACGGCATATTATACAAGAAGATGCAATGGTTGATTCAACAAGTGACTGCTTATATCAAGACCTTGAATAGTGCTGTATCAAGTGCCTTTATAGGACACGCCTATATGAGGCAAGTGCCTTGACAGTCTATCTCTGGTTTGTAAATATACACGAATGGAACAAAATTCTTCATGGCTCTACATGAAATGCCGCATCATTGTGCAACAGCCCAACGAACCAACGAGGCTCGTTGGTTGCCCAATCGCTGATGCTAAAAAGCGCATCTAAAGACGCTCCCACCAAATCGAGAGCAAACACTGAAGCGTTGTCGGAGCTGTCAAAGAGTCAATCGGTCGATGCACGTGATGATACGGCCTCTTTAGCCCCGCCATTTCACTTTTGCTACCCCACCATTGCTGCGATTGTGACTCAAGGCGGCCGATGATGTCGACTAGATATTAACCTCTTTTTGCCCTGTAAAACCTTGTTCTCGTTCAATTCATTTACCAATTCAATTGCGCCCAAGATGCCTACCGTCATCCACCTGAGAGCTGATACCAAGCCATTCGAGCGTCGCTCGTCTTGTACGTTGCGCTAACATCGCGTCGCATCACATGTCTAACAATTGCAATAGTGTCACCCAAGACGGCCAAGGCTCTCCTCGACGCTGGCTACATCGTTCGTGTCGAGCGATCGGCGGAACGCATCTACAACGATGAAGAATTCGCAGAAGTTGGTGCTGAATTAGTGCCTGCTGGATCGTGGGTCAAGGCCCCCAAGGAAGACATCATTCTTGGCCTCAAGGAGCTTCCTGAAGACGACATCGACCTACCCCATACATACATCCACTTCCAACACATCTTCAAGAAGCAGACTGGATGGGCTCCCTCCCTTTCTCGATTTGCACGAGCTGGTGGCACCCTCTACGACTTGGAATTTTTAGTTAACTCGGACAATCGAAGAATCGCCGCCTTTGGATACTGGGCAGGTTACGCAGGCACTGCCGTGGCGTTCATCTCTTGGGCTCACCAAATCCTTAATCCTGGTGTCACACAACCCCAAGTGCCTCTCTTCGAGAATGCTCCTGCTTTGATTTCACATGTCAAGTCTGTGCTTGAGCCGGCTATTCGTGCCAACAACGGCCAAGCTCCCCGTGTTATTGTTATCGGAGCTTTGGGACGCTGTGGCAGTGGAGCTGTTCAGTTTTGCCGTGAGGCCGGACTTGACGAAGAATCTATCCTAAGGTGGGATTTACAAGAAACAGCTGCCAAGCCAGGGCCGTACAAAGAGGTATACTTTTCTGTCTTTACACTTATTCAACATCGTCAGTATTAACTTTTGTAGATTGTGGAATCGGACATCTTCGTCAACTGCGTCTATCTCGGACCCAATCCCACTCCTCCTTTCGTCACTTTTGACTCTCTTGCGACCCCGGACAGGAAGCTACGAGTCATCTGTGATGTTTCATGTGATCCGAATAGGTCCGTTACCTCTATTATTGTTGACATCCTGGCTCTCATAACACTAACAACTGCGCAGTCCAAACAACCCGATCCCCATCTACTCAACCTGGTCCACTTTCGACAAGCCTACGGTTCCGACTTCCAAGCCTGTCAATGATCCAGAGCTGCGAATTATTTCCATTGATCACCTTCCGACCTTGATCCCACGTGAATCCTCTGATGAGTATTCTGGTCTGTTGCTGCCAGCCTTACTCACCTTGGATCGCCGTGATACCGAGGGTGTCTGGACGAGAGCAGAGCAAACTTACAAGGATAGAGTAAGTCAGTTGCCTTAGAGTAGTCAATTAGCTTCGCATAGCTCGCAACTTTTCATAGCATATATATAATGATAGGAGAGAAAAAAAGGGGGACAATCTCTAAGAGATGAGTTTTGGAGATATCGCTGTAGTTGATACAGCTTGGAAAATAGATGGCATAAGATGCTATCTATAACGATATAGTAAAGCAAGATATAAAAAGTAATTAATTACATAACGCCATCTCTTCTGTTGTAAATAACCGATTAGTGACCAAAAGAGAGTAATTGTTTGGTGTGCTCTGATTCAAGATCTGCCGGGGTTTAACCAATCACGATCGAATCTTTCTCAGATCTTGCGATAAGATACTGGTATATTAGAAGCTATATTCGTTCATGGTTCCGCCATCTACAAAGCACCTTGAATTCTTCGATTCCTACGGCATATTTATTTTTCTTCTTTAATTGGCTCATAAGAGCCTAGACCTCTGTTATTCAGTATGCCTGCCCCATCATATCCGCTCCCCACGTCACCATCACCAGTTCAGCTCTACCGTCATCTACTCCGAGAATGCTCTTACCTCCCTCCAGCCTTTCGAGCTGAGATTGCGTCCACAATTCAAGATCGCTTTCATCGTCATCGCAAATATGACACGCGTGCAAAGGCTCATCTTGCTCGAGCCTACACGGCTCTGCGAACGCTGCGAGCTGCCAACAGCGGCGAAAAAGCAGCAATGGAGAGTTTGATATCCAAAGGGTTTGGGAGATCAGGAAGCAGGCGACGAGAACTAATGGCGCAATTTGTGATTTCACAAGGCCCTAAAGATTCAAGTGCTCTCGAAGAAGCTCTTAAATCAGCAAGGAGAAGCAGCGAGGCTACAAACGGTTCCCCCTCAGCGACACATGCCACAACCGATGGCACCGCCAAAGTCAAAAAGGCATTTTTCGAGAAATGGGATCAACAGAAGCTCATGAAAATTTTGCAATCACAGCGACAACAGCAAAGAGACACAAAGGGTACAGCCAGCTGGCCTGGGACTCCGGTTAAGACGCTTGATCCGGATCAATTCATTCCTAAAGAAACCATTTGGGGGAAACCACCGGGAGAGAATCTGAAACAGACGAAAAGGGCCAACTGGTGGCGACGAAATGCTGAAAAGATTATGCCTCCTTTGGGCAGGGGTGAATGGGAGATGCTCAAAGAGCTAAGCAATGGAGGCCAGGAGAGGGGCGAGTGGGAGATACCAGAAAGACGCCCGCTTGCGGTCTTGACAGAAAAGATGACGGCACAGGCAAATTGGAACTGGAGAGATCATGCCACAAAACCAACAGCCATTGTTGAAAAGCCAAAATCCCTAAAACAACAGCGGCGGACTGGCCAAAAGGACAGTGGCCCATATAGCGTCAAGGATCGCGACCGCAACCTGTCAACGAGATGGTTTCAGAGAGCCTACACTAGAGCATGGCAACTTACACCAACAATGACACAGGATCCCAACACACTCAAATACTCATTTACGTGGGGAAGCATCCAGTCACGACTCCCCCCAGCGGCCAAGCATCAACTCGACATCTTCAAAGGCGTGGATGAGAACGGCCGTAAACAGCAAAAGACACCATCGCCATGAAGACATGAACTTTTTTTTATTTTCGGCTTTTCAATGGAGAATATATTATACGGTATTTAGTCGGTCAGGGTGGCAAGCTTGTTCAGCGTCGGTCCATCAACACGCATTCCCACCCAGTCGTTCATTGCGGTGGCTCCGATGAGCTCATAGAACTTGATGCTCGGCTCGTTCCACTTCAACACGGACCACTCCAGACGACCGCCGTCCATTGCGACAACCTCCTTGGCCAGCGCTGACAGCAGCTTCTTGCCGTATCCTTTGCCACGGTATGAGGGGTCGACGTAAAGGTCTTCCAGGTAGATGCCAGACTTGGACCGCCATGTACTATAGTTGTAGAAATAGAGCGCCATTCCCGCGGCTTTGCCTTGTTCGTCGAAGATGAGGAAACACCGCGAAGGACGAGTTGCTGAGATGTTCTCAGTCACGGGCAGGGAGTTTTGGGGGCTGACAACGCCTGATGGCGCAAAGGCAATTGTGTTCTCCAGAGTCTCGACAGTCGCCTTGACAGCATCGGATTCCTTTTCATAGTCGGCGAGATCCTGGATGAAGCCCAGGATTGTGGGCACATCTGCGAATGCGGCATTCTTGTTAGCGGATGATGATGCCTCTCACGTTGCCAATTGGACAAGAGGAAATGAGCCTACCCTCGCGGTATGCGTGTCGAACAGTCGCCATTTTGCTTGTGTTTATATATATTCTCGAAAGAACCAGATCAACTAAAGACACAGATGATTGCGGACTTGAGGAACTTCAAACTACATCTACAAAAGCGAACGGCGGCTCTTAAGTAAATTTGGAGAAAGGCAGTGGGGTCAAGACAAATGCAAAACAAAATGGAACCAAAATCGTTTTGCCCATCTCGGGATTCAAGGAGGGGCATGGCGGGGTCGCCGCAAAATAGCAGCGAGTCAGCGGCCGCCGATTCTTTTCACGGCCTCCATTCTGATGCGCCTTTGCAGTCGTCAAAATCGCCCTTCTGGTGGGCTTGCCAGATCCACCACCAAATCTGGGCGGCCTTTGGGCGGCATCGCTAAAGTCCATCTCCGATCCATCCAACAGTGGCTCGTCAAGGGGCATCGGCACTTGTACGATATATGAGTGCTGTTTGAGCCTTGAGTGGTGATGGTCCGATAGATCTTAGATGGCCATCTACACCTTGAGCTTCCCTCTCGAGATAAACAGCCATAGCACCAGCTGCAATCCAAACAACGCCAGGGCGACGGGTTGAAGAACCTCTACGCCATACGCCTCAGCAAGCGCACCGACTGCAAAGGGAAAGCTGTATGATCAGTGTGTTAGCCTCACGCCCAACGCCCGTGAAGATGTATGGAATAAGACGGGGAAAACGCACACGGCAGATCCAGACACGGCAAACGCTGTCGCAAAACCCACGGAGACAAGGTGCTTTTCAGGCGGCAATAGCTTGGTCATGACACGGATTCCCTGAATATGATGTTGTCAGCTCTCTTTCCTTGCGTCAAAACAATCCCAACGTGTCTGGGGCACGAGTCAGGCAACTCACTGAGGGCATAAGCATTCCGATTGATACGCCAACAAGCGCAGCCATGACAGCGCTGACTGCAAACTCCTTGCCGAACCAAACCCCAAGCTCCAGTCCGATTGCACTGAGCAGGTATATCGTCACCATGACCTTTTCTCCCACATATCCGGTGATCCAGCCCAGTCCGAAGCGGCCGGCTGTGAGGCCAATCCAGAAGCCCGAAGTAGCCAGAGAGGAGGCCGTGGGCGAGCCGTTGCGGACGTTCATCATAAAGGTCAGAAGCCAACCCCCAATGGTGACCTCAGATCCCACATAGAGAACCATGAAGACGGAGAACGTCAAAGTCACCTAGTCAGCGTCAGTTTTACATCAACCCAGTTCTACAACCAAAGCGGGACAATACCCGATTCTTCAAGATTTTGAGAGTCCCTGCTTGTGCATTGGGCAGCGCAGTCGCGTTCTGTCGACGAAATTCCGACCCAGTATCATCCCAAAATGAGCATGTTACGCCTATACAGGCAAGACAAGCCAAGCTCATCTAGAAAGATGAAAGTGTGTGAGCTGACAGTTCTTCTATACGGAACAGAGCGATTCAACTCACCATTAGACCTGGATTGTGTTAATTCGATGCAGCAACAAGGACAACGTTGACTTGGGACATCACTTACAGTAGAAGATCCACCAATTTTCCACTTTGGTCGCAACTCTGGATATCTGCAATAGCTCGCATGAATACAACAAGCTCACGCATTCGAGAAAGGTGTGTGCAACATACCACAATTGGAGACAGTGTCGCACCCGCGCCCCAAAATCCATGCAGGAATCCCAACAGCGTGCTTCCTTGAACCAGGCCTCCAAACCAACTATTCCAGCTGCCATTCATCAAGCCGCTCCCAAACCCCGTCAATACAAGGAGACAAACTACAACTGCAAAGGGGGGATGCTGCGAGAGGCCCAAATACGCCAGGACATATGCACCAGTTGCCGTCAGTGCAACACCACGTCTTCCAGCTTTGGCATGGAGACGGTTGGAGGTGAAGGAGGCAAGCACACAGCCTACCATGGGGCTGAGAAACATGAGTGAGACGGTTGAATGCGGCAGATGATAGTATTTTTCAAAGAGCGGCACCATGGCACCCGGCGCGCCGTCATTCATGCCATAGACGAGAAAGGCAAAGAAGCACGACAGCACACGGTATTTGTTCCGGGGTGGATCGTTCCATCTCTGGGCCGTGGAGACGGCAGTGTCCGGTGGTAAGGCTGATTCGGCATCATGAACCGAATGCTCGGGGAACGGAGCTGGGAGATCCGGGCCAGAAGATCGACGCGGGATGGAAGCTATGGGGGCCGGTGGGGAGACTGGCTGGAGGAGGATGGTCTCTGTTGTGACGACTTCCGTCTTGGACATGGCGTGTGTGTGCGTGGTAAGTCAGCACATGTATTCCCACAATCTGTATACTGATATTTTGGACCACACTCTCTTTCTTTTGACACAATTATCTACTATGATTGACAAAGTCCAAGTGAAGCTGATTTATATGAACCACGAGACACAGCAGCTTATTTTCAAGTCTAAGTCGGCTGACGTTCATTTTATCCGCCGTATTACCTACCCAACCCAGCACTAGATTCGGCAGCTCCCCGATTCTCCGGCATCGGTGAATAAGCCGGCCTGCGTGTGACCTGGATTGCCGACACTCCCCGACAGGATGTTGATGCTTTCTAACTTGCAGTAGTTTAGATTTTCGATATACTTGCCAGGCGTGCTCGGTGAATGATGGGCGTCGGGAAGACTATTACGAAAGTATCACGAAAAGCATGGCTGATCGTGTGATGAGGCGGAGAAATTGAATGTTGCCGGGGAATTACTGATTGGTTCTTTTTGTTTTTGGAGGAAATGAGATGATGGTGATGGTGATGGATGGTTTGTTGATGGAAGTATTTGTGACGGGGTAATGTCTGAGATGACGAAAACCCATCACGAGACGTTATGCGGATGAATTGATGGCTTCAAGCTAACAATTGGGAAGTTTGTGGATTCATTCAATGTGACCTAAGGATAAGCATTGATTTTGTATCCCTTGCTAGGAGTTGAACGATCGAGGCGAGAATGTAGTCCATGGATGCCTGCGTTGGGCACTTGGTTGTTTAGCAAACTGCCTCCTATCTTAGCAAAAAGCTTTCCTACTTACTACTAGTTAGTTAATGAAGGATGATTGTGAAAACAAACAGAAACACTGCAACGTACCCCTTCCCAAGATGCTGTTATACTTGATATACACTGCGTGGGTGCTTCCGACTATCAGTCCAGTCGATTCTGCCCGTAATGCCCCTTTTTTTGCTTTGTTTGCGGCTTTACTGTTTGTCCGTCTGTTTGCCCTAGCCGTGAATCATCGGATAAAAGCTGAGCTGCTTTTTGTTTCGACGCTGCACGATCAGTTTCGATTCACCTTCCACTGCTAGAAAAGACATCAGCAGGGTTTCAACAGCGTCTCTGATAGCCGGCTCACCGGTTCCGCCTCAAAGTCTACATGAAAACAATCTCGTCTTTTTCTTCGTCAAATCTCAACTCTTTTGTTCCAACCATCTCGTACCAGATAACGCAATAGACATCCAATCCAATTCAAACAGACAACCTCCAAACGATGCGCGCCATTCTCGGCCCCAAGCCTCAAGAAAGGCTATCGCTCGTCACGAGTATCCAATTCGTCGTCGAACTCGAGTTTCTCACTCCACCAATCTCTGGCGAGCAAATTGTGCCTGGCCGCGACCGCAGCTCCCACTACTTTGCCTCTGCGCTTCAAGATGCCGGACTCCAAGCTGCGTTTCTCCTAGAATATACGAAAAACGAGAAGTATTCCGAAACCAAAGATCAAGGCGATAACAATGATGATAGCCATGTCACAGACGGTCAAAATCAACTCCCGGCCCAGGCACACGGGGAGAATATCATCAAGACCAAGCACAACGGCGACATGTTCATCATGAGCCCCCAATCGTCCATCCCCTGGATCAAGGCCGGCGCCAAAGACAGCCCTCTCCTCAGATACTGGCTGATCAAGCCCGAGAGCGACATCAGTGGCCACGGCAAATACGAAGCCTGGCATCCAACTGCGCTCACCAGCCCGATCCTGCGAGAATCAGAGGCCAACAATCTGTTTCCGGGGCTCAACACGGCCATCTACACCATCTGGACAGCGCATGCAGCGAGGGTGCATGTCAACGATGGCTGCGGTTTGCACATCCACGTCAGCCCGGCTCTTGTCCCATCTCTCGCTCAGGGGCTACATCAGGGACAACATCACCACGGACAGAGACAGGATCTGACAGCTCTCCAGGTTCAACGCATCGCCACGCTCGTCGTCGTTCTCGAAAACAGTCTGCTCTTTCACCTGTGCTCGCCTCACCGCCGCCAAATCCATAACCAACTCATCGCTGCTTCAAGCCTTGCCTACGCGGCAAACTCTCCCGCTTGCCCCCTCGCAGAAGCCAATCTTCCCCCAAACATCCTCAAAGGCACAGGAGCCGTCGAAAAGGCCATCAAGTTTCTCTGGACAGCCTCCGGCCTCGACCAGGTGCGCCAGATGCTCTCACGTCATCCCAAGGCTCGGGACGCTCGCCCCACAGCCTTGACAATCAACACCCACAAGCACGAGGACGACGGTGTCTCGCACATGCTCGAATTCCGTCATGCGCAGGCTGCTTTCAACCAGGGCTTCGTGGACAACTGGGCACGCCTCGTGCTGACGGTATGCAAGGTGGCCTTTCTGCCGACCGAGAGGTTCAAGCTCGTCGTGGCCATGCTCTAGGAGACGGTGCGGACGACAGCTGGCCCTAGAGAGGCGTGGAAGACGCTGCTCAGAGTCCTCAACGACTTTGCGCCGGTCAACTGGCATGCGCGAAGCAGCGAGCAGTTCTGGGTGGGCCAACTTGCGGTGCAAGATAGGAAGTGAAGAGCCATTCCTGTCTTTCTCCAACGACGCCGGTTTCTTCTGTCTTTCAAACGGTATCAAATCCTCAACTCGGAAAGTTTCGCGCTGGCATGCGTGTAACCACCATTACACACCAAATCAGCAGCCCTTTGTCTTTCCCCAAGAGACTATTCGTCTCCTCATCATTCACCAATTTTTTTTCAGCTGGCTACTTGCATGCTGTTGCAGCAGCAGAAGTGGGCTACGTCAGCCCCAAGGAGTGGCCGCCAGGTACACCGATGTCACACAAAACGAATCTCGCCCGGGATGATAGTAACACTCGGGTCATTAGCATTACGACGATGCCATTTTTTCACATGGGACAGGGATTTTCCATTCCTTCTTATGGTCGTATCCAAATACGGAGGACGCATAGCTGATTCTTTCCTTTTCTCAAAATAGGGGTGCAGCTAGGAGGCCCATCCTTTCATGCACGTAAAAGCCAAGGTTTCCATCACGACTTACAAGTGACAGGGAGAGAAAAAACAAATTCCTATTTCTCCGGGTATCTTCTCTGCGAAGCCAAACTATATAGTCAAATATCAAACAATTCAAATAAAATAAAATAAAAATCGCCTACTCCCCATCAGGCATCATGATGCCTCATCCCCCCAAACAAACAACAGGAGAGTCATGTCCTCCCCCTCGGCCCAGTCTCCACCGAACGAACAAGAAGGGCAAAATCAGCGAACCTTCATAGTACCGTACATCCTGTAGTCCAGCCCCCCCCCCCAGAGAGGAAAAAGGTAAGCCATCAGCCACCCCATATTTTCTCCGCACAGCGGGAGACCTGACTCAAGCAAAAGAGAAGCTTCTTCCTTGGAGCGAAACCTTGGCCCTACTAGGTAGTTGTGGCGCAAAAAAAGAACGCCACGGTCCGGCAAGTTTCCCTTCTTTCTATTTCCAACCCTGGAAACTATTGATTTCTCTTGTTTTCGCAAAAACATGCCTCCAACACTCTTTGCGAAATGAAAGGAAACATTAACCCAAGATGCTCTGGGCTACTCGTTTGCCGGCATTTCAATCCCGACCTTGGCACGGGATGCCCTCAGCTCGTAACTAAGCTGTAGCCTATTCATTCTCTGGGCTTAGGCCTGGATCCGTCTTCGGAGGGCTCCGTAGCGGGGCAGGGATTTGCACAGGTCCGGCTCGGCGATCAGAGAATTCGTTGCTCCGTAATTGGAAATGCACGAGCAAAAGACATGGGAAGCCAAGAAATGAGAATCGGTGCTATTGTCCAATCCTGTTTGAATATTTCCAACTAGTCATTAAATTACAATCGTAAACTCTGGACGTGGTCCCCCTTCATGACTCATAAACAATCAAAGAAACAAGATTACAGCAGGTACCGATATTCGGGGGACAAGTCGCCCAGCTCCGTCCTCTCTTCCTCCGTCAGGTCGGGGACTTCAGTCATGCTGTCTCTCTGCTTATTGGCCATCAAGCAGCCAATTCCGTAAATGGTCGATGCAATCATGGAGATGACTGTAAAGGCAAGGCACACGCCGTAGCCCGTGGTGAACTTGGGCGCATCCTTGGTTAGGAAGATGAAGACGGCAATGATGCCGCCTAGGTTACCGTAGCCAACCTGCCACGCGCTGCCGACGGCACGGCGAGTGTGGCTTCCCAGATTCATGTTGAACCAACAAACGACGATGGGCATGGCAGTGTATGCGCCAGACGTGACGAGGAACAGCGCGCCATACTGCACATCCTTGTTGCTGTGCTCGGCGAGGAGAATGGCAAAGCCGGCAATGGCGATGAACATGCTGACAATGGCAAAAGCAAATCGGTGGCGCAATCTGTCAGACAGGGTAGCAATGAGAAGGGAGAAGCCGAAGGCGGCGGCCCACGGTGGGACGCTGCGCAGCTGAGTTTCCACGGGGCTGTAGTGGAAGGTCGAGATGATCGTGGGAGCAAAGTAGGCATAGCCGTAGGCGGGGACAATGAGGCCAAAGTACATGAAGCCACCGGCAATGACCTTCCAGTCCTTGAACACGTTCAGGATATCCTTGAGCGTCATCTTCTTCACGTGGCCAGAGCCGGTGCCCTGATCAGCGCGGAGGCGCGCTGCGACGTACACGCGCTCGTCCTCCGTGAGCCACTTGGCTTCCTCGGGGAAGTCGGGCAGCAGGAAGTAGAAGAAGAAGCTGACGAAGACGGTGAGACCACCCTCGATGAGGAAGATCCAGCGCCAGCCGTGGTAGCCGCGCAGGCCGTCCATCTTGCCGATGGCCGCGGCAAGGAGACCGCCAAAGGCACCGGCGAGAGTTGTGCTGTTGAAGAAGAAGGAGTAACGTCGCTGAGCCTCGGATCGCTTATACCACATGCCAATGAGGTAGAAGGCTAAGGTGAAAAAGTTACACTGGTTAGCTCGCGACCACACAAGGCGACACCAAAAAGCATGATTGGGAGAAACTTACCTCCCGGAAACATGCCGGTCTCGAAAACGCCGAGGAAGAAGCGCGTGGCGAGCAGGCCGCTGTAGTTCTTGACCAAGCCTTGCATCATGGTGGTAAAGCCAAAGAGGAACATGTTGATGGACAGCCAGACATGGGGCTTGAATTTCTTGAGCAGGATGTTGGAGGGCACCTCGAAGATGCAGTAGGGCACGAAGAAGATGACCAGAGCCGTGTTGTACTTGTCGCCGGTGCCGAGATCCAAATCACCGGCGAGGCCAAACAGCTTTGCGTTGGCAATGTTGACACGATCTAGAGAAATGGTGATGGGATGTTTAGTATGATGTGACATGACATACTATGAGTATGTTCGGTACAGTATGCACATGCAACTCACCCAAGAATGCAAGCAGGTACATGATGCAGAGAAACGGCACGACTCGCATGTCGATCTTCGTCATGAGGCGCCGCTCAGTTGTGTGCGGCGGGCAAACAACCTGGTCGGCAGCAAATGGAACTTCGGTGTGGTGGACATCGGTCGAGTTGCGACCCGAGCCGCTGTGCTTTTCGTCCATTGCTGCGGTCTTGTGTTTGGAAAGACGAATTGAACAATGAGCGTCTCCCTATTTCCAATTCCAAAACAAAACAAGACAAGTTCTTCTTCTTTTCCTCAGCTGCAACTCTGAGAATAAGGGCAAAAGGCCCACGTGAAACAGTGGAGGGAGAGAGAAGCACAGGCTTCGACGTTGGACGTTGGCTGGACGAGGGAACAGGCGAGTGGAACACCAGAGACAAGAGGGATCTGCCGGACCCTATTTGTACTCGGGCTCGGCAGCCGCGTGCTCGTGCTCGTGCTCTCCCAGGCCAGTTCCCCAGGACAGGACATTGGCGCATCGTCGTAAATCCAAGTCAACGGAACAGGGCTAGGTCTCTTAGTCGCAGCCACTTGGGATCGTCCAACAAGCGAGCGACGGGGTGGGCCACCGGGTTCCAGTCTCCAGTCTCCAGTCTCGTCTCGTCGTCCAGGAGGAGCAAGCCGACTAGTAGGTATTTCGGACCGCCCACGGCGTCCACGGACTGTGACTCTGACTGACTGGTACAAGTAAGACTCTGCCTGCCCCAGCTGGCTGCCGTCTTCGCCATCCGGGTCACATTAGTCAAGCTGCGTAAGGCATCCTGGCAGATCGTGGCGCCTGTGGAGCCGCTGCCCTCCGCATCCTGGTCTCTGGCCAGGGATCCCCACGCACAGCGTCGTTGCTGTCACGGTGCCCCAGATTCACCGACTGCCGACCGTCTTTGTTGTGTGGAGAAGCCGTGAGAAGGTCGGGATGCGTTGGGAGATGCTGATAGGGAGCTGATCCGAGCTGACGAGGTACTGTAATGCGCGTGCTCGTCGACGTTATTGGCGGGCATCGAGTACTATCCATGTCGACGACTTGCGTGCGCACAACACCAGGCCCAAACAAGTCGTGAGCGGCTTGTAAATTTCCCGAGGCATCTTCTGCCATTGGCTCTGCACGCCAAGGCCCCGACCCAAGCCATCCCCGCGCCAAAGGGAATCTCAGCCATGAGTCCATTGCCCTTCCACGCCCCATTTCCCCGGGTTTTGGCTCCCAGATTGGTCCTGATGGGCTTCAAACAGCGTGCTGACGGACGTTCTTTTAGCCCCCTTAGCTCTTGTTCTAGCATCCCCTCCTCCCCTATGCCCTATCCTATTTCCTATTTCCTACTCTTTCTCCGCAGCGTCTCGTGGTTGGAGAATTGGAGAATGCGTTCGAGCGGTCCGGACTTGCCCCCCCGTCTTATCCACAAGTCTGGAGTTAGCCAGGATGAGAAATCAATAAATCCGCCCACAGCTTGTCTGGAGTGCGTATTGGTGGGGCGTCTTCCTTGTTGTTGTGATGTGGAAATGTCGACTGGCGACTCATGCATTCTCGTAGTTCGCCTTGTGGGATCAGGATTGGCTCAAACTTAAACAACACAATACAAAGAGGGCGAGAGTCGTTAGTGGACGTTGCAACTTCGCTTCCCCAGAATCGTCTCCCCGCATCTCCACCACCCCGGACTGCCACGAGTCAAACAGCTTGTGAATACCACCATGCCTATTGCTCCCAGGATTGCCAGGGAACGCAGGTACAGCCTACTGTAGACAGAGACCGTCTCTCTGGTCCCAGGGTTGCAGCCGTGCTCTTTCGACACGTGGGAGTGGCGCTTGTTGGCAGCCAATCTGCAGAGTTTGAGCTGGATCATCACGACTCAATGACACCGTCAGCTGCTGTTTGCCGTGGGAAGCAAGCGGTGGGTCGATTCCTAGCCTCAGCTGCTTCTCCAATGACACACGCGGTAGACAAATAGTTCGATTGGGCAATCTATCAATGTCTCCGTTTTCCGTTGCCATGTTTAGATCCCGGCCGGTGCTAACGCTGGTCCATGAAACGCCAAAGATGACCGTCCAGGCCTTTGCAATCAGAGTCGGAGGGTAGCCGCGGCTTTCAGTTTGGAGTACCGACCCAAGCCGTGAGGGCGGAAGATAATGGTGAAATTCGATAGTCATACTTGATAGTCATATTCGCAATTGCCCAATTGCTGAGGGTTGATGCCATTGTCAAAGTCAAATGGTCGGTGGCATCGGCTTCATTGCCAAGCCGGTCGTGGGGGGAGACCATGGAAAGCTTCCGCTCATTCGAATTTCGCAAACGGACCGTCATATTGAATACGAGAGATTGCTCGGTGACTTCAGTGTAGCCGACTTTGTGGAAGAATTTGGAGGCAGAGAGAAGAAAAAAAGGAGGAGGGGAAAGGAGGAGGAGGGGAAAGGAGGAGGAGGCGAAGGGACAGAGAGAGAAAACGGAAGGAGAAGTAAAGGAGAGGGAAACTGGAAGAAAGTGCACAATGTAGAAACCATACAAGCAAAACGCTCTTCTCCTCTCCCCTTCAAACGGCTACGGGCTGATACCCTTCCATTCCGTGCAAGTCACAGCGTCCCAACGGCAGCATCCCATGGAAGCCCTACCATGCAGCCAGCCGCCTTCTTCTCCCATGGCGGGCTGCTGACAGCCGTCGCTCCCCAGTGACAGCTGCATCAGAGACGTGCAAAATGCACAGAGTGGGAGGTCCAGAAAGAAGAAGAAGCCATGGAGAGCGGATAGCAGAGCGGGCAGCTGTTGTCCGTGCTGGGACGGCTGGTCTTGATGATGCCTTCCTTGAGCACGGTTTGCGTTTGCGTCTTCAAAGTGAAGCCTCAACTGGCTATGCAGCTCAACGTCCCGCTGCTTATCAACCAGTTCATGAACAGTCTGCGGCGCCTTGATTCACCTGCCAGGACAAACGCAGACGCGGCATAGCAAGAGCCTCAGCTGACAGCTTAACCTCGCGTTTCTGCAGCCGCCGCTCCCGTCGCCCGTCGCCAGCTGCATCTCCGTCTTCCATCTCAGCTCTTCCTTTCCTCCTCCACTCTCAATTCAATCCAATATTTAGGGCACCTCTTCCCGTTTCTTAGACGTCTACTCTTCCCTTCTTCTCCTCTGATAGCTGCTGTGTCTGCTGAGTGTGCTGAGAAAGGGCTAACGACAACAACGACGACGACATCATTCTCCTAGAATTCCCCCCTGAGCCATGATGGAGACCCGAGAGGCCAGCTACCAACTGGCTTCCACTGATGGCGAAAGGGGACTCATGGAGGCATACAATGTCACGAGCGGGACCAGTGTCACTCCTCCCAGTCAACACGACTCCGGTGCATTTCCCGCCTCTTCGTATGAGCATCGCCCTGGACATTTCCACGACAGCGCATCCCTTGTCTATGCTCAGCGTTCTCCGCTCATCAAAGAGTGCTACGAAGATCAATTTCCTTTGTAGGTAGTCGAACCTGGGCAGCCTGAGAGGCTGAGTGCTGACTTCATACAGCGAGTTGGCCAGAGACGTCCACTACAATCCGTGGTCTCCCAATTCCACCTCGGCGCCTCCGTGGTGTGCTGCCTCACAATCGTCGCCTGGTCTGCTCCTCAACAGCGAATACGGAGGCGCGCCAGCCTTCATGATGGGATACGGCGCCGACAACATCAGCAGCGAATACGAAGCCCAGTTGCCCTGGCCAGAGTCGGGACCGTTTCCCCCTCGTGCAGACGTAGCCAACTACGATGACGACGGTGATCCGTTTGGAATCACCTATTATACTCCTCGGGGTGTAGACGGCGCTCCAGACTCCATCTGCGATCCGAACATGACTCTTCATCCTCTCGCAGCCGGAAACCAAGCGTCGAATCGTTCAACTCAGCAATCAGTGTCTGAAGTGTCGCCCGGCGGTGCCTATTTTCGAACGTTGGGCAGACTAGATTCAGAACAGGCAGCTCCGGTAACGATGCCAGCTCGTGGAGCGGGAGAGCCAATGCTGTCATCTATGATTCCGCAACCACTCGACCAGTCTTTAAACCCGCCGTCTCCTCTCTCCGTCATTTCGCCTCCATCCTCTCTTCCATCGTCGGCCCGCAAGCGCAACATCTCTGTAGCTGATTTCGAAAAGAGCCCCGTTGCCCCTAAGAAACGCGTCATCAAGCCCCAGCTGACAACAAAGGTCGACAACAGCGAAGATTTTGAGATTCAAAAGGACAGCGAATCGAAACCCACGGGCATCTACAAAGCCTATTTCCACAGCGTTGATGTGGCCAGGAGGAAACTGCAACGGCTTCTCGAGCTGTATCGGAAGCCCAAAGAGAGCTGTAGCTTTCCCTTTACTGACGATACGTTTCCTACCAGCGACGACGACAAGATAATCTACATTAGGAACCTGTTTGACGCCATCAACGACTGGTCGCATTTCAGAGAGTGGCCACAGGCTCTCAAGACGGAGGAACGCAACCGAATCATGGATAGCATGCGTCGTAAACAGGCTGGAAGTGGCGATGCAGGAGCAGACATTTCGCTCGACGACATGCGGCCCAGCCAGGAGGAGCTCGAATCCATCCTCCCGCCCCTCCCGGACCAGCAAAAGAAGATCCTGGGCCGCTTGCTTAGCGATCAGACAACCGAGTGGCTTTGTTGGGAGCTCATTGTAAGTAAATAACCTTTGGACCGATTTACAAACGTCCCAGTCCCGTGAGAAACGGGAAGCACGCTGACTCTTTGTTTGCAAATATCAGGAGGCTGCCGTCCAGTCCCAGCAGGGAATTACCCAGATACCGCACTGGTGCGGCGCCGACGGAGCTTAGGAGGCTTACGATTCGTTTGCGCAGCGCGTAGAGGCAATGTGTTATGCTCTGAGGGTGAGTCGTTTGCACCCGAGACCCCGTTTGCAAAAGCCCATCTAGAAAAAGGCGGCTGACAACTTTCTAAGAAATCAAAACAACTCGTCAAATCTCTCCTCTCCGCAGGCGACGGCTGGAAGCTCCGCATCGCCAACAACCCCCAGGGAGAGCTGGGCGTAAGTTTCTTGACTTGACCCCCCTGTATTCTTCTTTTGTTGTCTATGGCCAAGATGCTAATAGATTCGTGGGGAAATAGCACAAGGGCAATAACATGAAAGTAAATATGAACAAGAACCGCAAACTGCGCCAAATCACTCAGGGCACACGAAGTGCCCCCCGCCAGAAGCCCGCACCGAAGCAGTCACAGAAATAATCAGCCCCAAAACCTCGATGAAAGCAGGCTGGAAATGAACGTCATCGAGCTATTTGTTCCATTTCATTCTACTCAAGGAGCGGAAAGAGGAGGCTTATGGACATGGAACCTCCTTTTCACTTTCGCTTTCTCTCCCCTTTTCCCCTCTTCACTTTCACCTAATCACAACGGACATATAGACGAATACTACTGGATGGTATTGCTTTCATCCTATACATGCGGTCGGATTTTCTCCTTTTATTTACGTCATCATCTTTTTTTTCCTTTTGTTCTGGACTCTCGGAGGTATCCATTTATTTGTTTTTCAGGCTGCGATTCTCAGATTGGTTTTCAGGCTGCAATATTTCGGGGTTCTTTTCCGGATAGCCCCTCAGACTGTGTGTTTTCTGGGGTTGCAGAATGAGTTGGACCAGGAACACAAGACTTTGGATAGATCTTTACATTACACGTTGGGACATGGGGGCCACTTCACAGAGGCAGTACCCTTCTAGACCTTTAACATATGTATCAATGGCAACGCGATTTCTTTTTATTCAGAATACATAGTTTACTTACACACTTGACTTAGATTGACTCTGTTGTAGAAATTCGAGGACTGATAAAATTCATTAACATTATTTTAATCTATCGGGGTATCCAAACGCTTTCAACACAACCTCATTACCAAGACTGTCCTCCTTTTTACACACATGACCGTCTCCTTTACTTCTTTTTGGTAGTGAAGCTAGAACGTTCCCATCCGTCAATGGGATCCACGGTGACTTCTTCCACCAGTTCATAGTTGCCAATCCAAGGCATGATCTTGGTCCAGAGCAGCCAGTAGACGGCGCCGACGAAGAGGACACCAAAGCCGACGACACAGTGGATCCAGTAAGGGAGGTGTTCGTAAACACTCTGGCCGTCTTCGGGGGGCACAAACGGCGCAACGACGAGGTAAATGTTGCTGAGAAGGAAGAAGATGACGACTGGGTAGGTGGCCTTGATCGGGGGGTTCCAGTTCCAGCTGGCGCGGTTGCGGTAGAGGTGGATGAGGGCTCCGGCGACGAAGACGTTGATGATGGCGAGGGGGTATGAGATGAGGCTGTTGAAACACACGAGGTTAGCATACATTGTTTACTTACTTTTTCAACGCGGCTATGGCGTTGCAACTTACTTGAGAACAAAGTTGTAGGCATCACCTGCAGGGGGTGCGAGGATGGTGATCATGGTGATGAGCCAGTGCTCAAAGAGACCAGCCAAGGGGGCGTTGAATGGACGGTTGCTGGCCCACAGGCGGGAGAAGGGCAAGACACCCTCTCTGCCGAGCTCCTGAACAAGACGGCCCTGGGAGAAGATGACACTCAAGACGTTGCCAAAGGCAGACAAGGCCACAAAGACGGAGAGAGCCCTCTCGGCGCGCTCGCCAAACATGTTTCGGAAGAGCGAGGCAGCAACCAGTCTCTTGGCCTCGAGAATCTCGGTCTTGGACACGCCAGCAAAGTAGGAGACGTTGGCGAGCATGTACAGGATGGTGACGCTGCCGACGGCCAGGGGGGCGGCGACCTTGAGGGTGCGGGCCGGGTTCTTGGTCTCGCTGAGGGCGTAGTTTGCGTTGCTGTAGCCGATGAAGCTCCAGATGACGTTGTACAGAGAGGTGACGACGCCGTAGGCACTTCCGGTGGTGCCCTCGAAGGCGTTGTGCAGGCAGTTGATCTCCTTGACCTTTTTGATATTGGCCAGCGGCGCGACGATGACGATGATGACGATGCAGATCTTGATGACGCCGAGGACGTTTTGCAGACGGATGCCCCATTTCAGGGCCGTGCCGTGGATCAAGAAGGCCGTCGTGATGCAGGCCACGGCGATGCCTCGCTGGTTCCAGTCCGTGACCTCGGCCCTGGCGGCGTTGAGGATGTATTCCCCAAAGACGACCGAGTTGCCGGCCGCCCAGCCCAGGAGGATGACATAGGTGGTGTACATGCCCGTGACGAGGAAGCGCGGCTTGCGGTAGACGTACTCGAGGTAGTTCTTCTCGCCGCCGTTCTTGGGGAGGCCGGTGCCGAATTCCATGTAGACGGCGGTGCCGGCCCATGCGATGATGCTGCCGGCGACCCACAAGAACAGGGAGAGACCGGTGCTGCCGGAGAGGGCGAGGATGGAGCCGGGGGTTGCGAAGATGCCGGTGCCGATGATGCGGTTGAAGATGAGCATGGAGGCTGAGGGGATGCCGATTTGACGTTTGGCTTCACGAGCTTGTTCGAACTGAGCTGGAGAAGAAGTGTTAGTCCGTGTTATTGCTCAATTTGTACATGTATTTGACGAGGTTTGGACATACTCTCAGTTCCATCCTGTACTGAAGCAGCATCGCTGCCAGTTGGTTGAGCCAACTTGGTGACATCGTCGCTCTTGGGCGAGAAGAAGCCCTTAATTCCCGACATGATTCTTGCCGGTTCACACAACACAGCAAAATGCCGTCAGGGAAACAACAAAACAGACAAGCCCAGTCTCTCGAGTATACCCAAAGACCAAAAGCAAGTGTATAAAACAAGGCCTATATAACAAAAGGCCAAAAGCAGTGATGAATCATTAAATAAAAAGGGCAGGAGAAGGAAGACGAAGGGATCCGTTCTTATTATAGACTTATACGACGAGACAACCACACAATGGTGGATCGAGTCACACACAAGGCAAAAACTGGATCAACGGCTAGAAAGACACCAGAACGAAAAGCAACATGAAGGAAGAAAAGCTTGTTCTTGGGGCGGGGCAGGCCCGCATGGTGCCATCGGGTGCTAAACGTACGCAAAGGGAGCTCCAGGGTCCCCCTTTTTGGGTAGCATCGAGAGGTGTGTGATATTGGAGGCGGCGAATTGGGACTTGGGGACTTGGCGATGATTCTGCCTAGGCTTGGTAAAGGTAAAGAGGCGCAGGCCGTGTCACGCCAAGAGAGAGAGATTGAATTCGAGGCTTTTATGGGACAAGGATTTTCGGTGTTCTGTAGGGATTTCGTTTACAGGTATTTCTTGGAGTTTTTCTTTGTGTGCGAAGAAGCTGATGTTTCCAAGAGCGGGCCATGAGTCGTGAACCCAGAGTACTATGGAGCAAACCTAACTTACTCGTTGCTCCTCTATAGTACAATACAAGTACGTGTAGTCAGGTACAAATCAGTATGTAATAAGATATCTACTATATGCTGGCTAATATTCAAGACGGCATCATGTAAGTCGAAAGAAAGAAAACTACAACATGAGATCCAATGGTGCCATCCAACAACACATCACCTAACGAAACAACAAGCCGATGCTATCCATCTCACCCCTTCACATGCCAAACTAACTCCCAATCCAGGAAAACAACTAAAAGAAGCAACAAGCAACAAGCAAAAAAGCAAAAAAAAAAAAAAAAATAAGCCCTGGAATCCTTCTCGAAACCAAAAAAAAAAGGTGAAGAAAAAAAAGAAGAGACCCGCCACCGAGCACGACATCGGGGCCTTTCCCGATTCTGTCGCGCCCGGACCCGGCGTGGGCCGATGACGCGATCGGAGCTTCTTCCAATCACGTTCTGCCGGCGCTGCAAAATTTGGCCGCCTGATTCCCTTATTCCTTGGTAGCAGTGCCGAGCATGGGCTTTTTTTTTCTCAACAGGTTAGTATTTATCAGGCAATACTCGTAGTAGTAGTTTGCGCCCTTGTGAACGGACAAGGGGGACAAACCCGCCGCTACGGAGGAATAATGGTTGTGTGGCGCTGATGAAGAAGCTTAAGAGAAAATCATGGTGGAAAAGAAGCAAGCCGGAGAGGCTAGAAGCACAAGAGAAGCTCGCCCTCTTCCCGGTCCCCCCTCCCTGGCTCTCGCTCAGGAGGAAAAGAGACACGCTCCGGCAGAAGATGAGCTGTGCAGCTTTGCGGTAAAAGCACACGCCGCGCCAAGCTCAGCTCCTCATTGGCGAGACCGGTCTCTAATGGAAAGAGAAGGGCCGGAATATGGGTACTGAAAAGGTGGATGGGATGGTGTCCTAGTCTCTTGCTTAGGGCTTAGTTTGGCAGTCGGTGATGGGTTTTCCTTACGTGATGGATATCGCTGTCAATATAACAGGTACGAAAAGTGCTTAACGAACCACGGGGGTGGCCCATGGGGATCATGGGGATGGTTCAGTCACAAACGCCCTTTGCAAGCGAGGAGGATAATTGCCTCGTTTCCATCTACGGTGGCATGACTCGGGAGCGGGAAAGCTTGGCCGGCTAGCTGTTTGGGCTGGAGCTGAGTGATTCAACTTTGGAGAGGCTTGATGATATTGCCAAGCTCTAGACCAATTGCCTCATGGAGAGGCTTGCTTGCGTTTTGTTAGATCTAACGACGAGCTGAAAAAGAACTGAGCAGGTTAATCGAGAGATTGAGTCGAGACCATGTGGCATATGGATTGCGCCGCATTGTGTCAGGGTCATATCATCCTGGTCCATCACATGGATGCCTGCTTTCACCAGCAACAAGGTTTGAAGATACTCGGGGGGTGATTAACCAACGAGATGCAAAACATGTACCTGCATATCGTTTGCGACGGCGTTATGAGGCTCTGTGCATTCAGCCAGATGGCTAAACCGATCCATAGCCATGGATCACTACCCTCAGCGGTTTGGCGAGTTCAAACTCGATATGAGTTGGAAACTTTTGCATCTCCCAGCATGTACTTGTAGTGGCGAAATCCGGGCGTATTCGCCATTGTTCAGGTGCGTATGTGCCAGGGGTATACAGGATCCTGGACGGACATCAAGACGGCAAGATGATCACATTCCCAGCCCGTGGCTTGATCTTTGACGACGTCAGATGTTCCCACTGACTTCTGGCCGGCGGACGATGGACCCCAAGGACGCCATGATCGGTCCGCCACCGGAAGTTGAGCGTTATGGAATGGAGTTTTTTTTTTTTTTTTTTTGTTTTATCGCGACCCCAAGCCAGGCTGGCAAGCTTAGGCTCTGTTTGGCTTTTCTCGGCTGGATCGAAGGATTTGCTGCAGAAGTTTAACTTAAAACGTTATATACACGTAGATCTTCTCGAAACGTGGCATATTGCCGGGCAGTGCTACATGTGCATACGCCCAACACTTAATCTACCTACCCACTCACTTCTCCATATAGCAGGAACCTTGTCTGCTTCATTATGCTTATCGAGGGCTTCCCATGATGCAAGGGGGAACTGTTCAGGTTCACAATAACATGTGACGCCCTCCCTTCTCATTTTATTACCTTGAATATACAGTTCAGTGTGGCTCTAACTTTGTAAGTCCCTCCTGAGCTATATAATCCATTTTCCTTTCTTTAAGGTGTGTCCTCTCCTCCGCAGATGTTGGTTTTGTCCGACTTCTGCCAACATGCTTGTATCTCAAGGCCAGACGGGCATGGCACAGAATTACTTACACCTACCTACACAGTTATTACTCTACCATTCAGTCAAGGTGAGTGGCATCTACTATTCCCAGTCACGATTAAATCAGGAATTCTAAACTTGGGCAAATAATATTATATGTATGCTGTGTACTAAGGATTAATCATTACCAAGGTACCCAAGAGCCTTCTAATACCCATTTTCATCATCATAAAGAACGTCATTGATCATCAAAAAGACCGTCATAACTAACATAAAGAACAACACTCCTCGCAGCAAGTCGCACAGTCCAGTTTCCAGAGGTATTATTCGCGTTAATACGTCCCTCGTATTACACGTAACGACCAACGCGACGAACAGGCTTAAACTTCTTCTGCACAGGAAGGAATATGGTGCTGTTTCTGTACTACAGGACAGCACTCATCTCTTCGATAGGTGCAGGGACCGTCACCTTGCCACAGGTGACGGTGCGAGTGGAGTAAATCTGGCCGACTGTCCAGTTCGGGTTCTGCCATGTCGTGTCATCGCAGGTGAGGTTGAGGTTGACGCCTCCAATGGCCGTGAACCGGCTGCCTTCGTCGGCACAGCTCCATGTCTGGTTGATCTGCAGCTGGCCACTAGGACGTGAATAGGTAAAGGTTGCCTTGCCGGCTGTGGAGGGAACGGTGCACTCGTAGATGAAAGTGCCGTAGAAAAAGTCGGACAGCTGGTTGGATGCCGCACTGCAGACTGGCGTGTAGTCGACGGCCGGGTTGGTCAAGGTGAAGTTGACATAGCCCCAGGAGTTTTGGTGGGCAGGTGTTGTGAAGGTGTATGAGCTGTGGAAGTCAAAGTCGCCAACGGTCCATGCTGAGACGTTGGTCGACTTTTCCGTGCATCCTGATGCTGCGGGAGGCACTGGGTAAGGAGTGTTGGAGTTGGCTCGAGGGACGGCGGGCAGAGCCAGAGCTGAGCTGGAGAGGAGGAGAGCACATGTAGACAAGAGGCCCAGCATGGTGACGGCAGGGTTGTGTGATGGTGGTTGGCGGTGGTGTTGATGGAAGAAGTTGTGCTATCGAGGCAGCGCAATGACGACTGGAGTCTGCGTGATAGTTGTACGAGCTGCAAGATGGTCGGATGATGCTGATGCTCTTCTGATATCCTCCCTTCGCAACTTTGGGGATCATCGCTTCCTCTTATACAGCAGCAACGTCGTAGTCAGAGTAACGGCAAGCTCCGATCGCGTCCGGCAGGCTCAACGAGTGACGCACAAGAGGCTGGAGAGTGAACACGGGCCCAGCCATTCTTCATGACGTAGCACGAATCTCGTATCCCGTCGTTTGCGCGGAGAAAAAAAAAAGGAATCGGCGTGGCGGATCGAGACCTTTGTTAGAATGCCGTCGGCAAGTCGGTGTCAGGTCATGACGTCGGGTATCCTGTACGAGATGTAGAGTGTTGCTTTGGTCTACCAAGGAGGTACTCTGTACGTGACCTAGTGCAAAAACCAAGAACACCGGACCACAAGATCAATGTTTAGTGTGTCGCCGGCAGCTGCATCTGTAAGGGGGGCAGTGAAGGGTCGTCGACAGAAGGGCCCTTGGTGCTAATTGGGGGCTCTGCACTGTGCCTTAGCGGCCTGTAGCGGTAGCCGCATGGCCTATTAGCGGCTCGCGGACGCTAAAGAGCGAAGGTGGGCTCTCTTAGCTGCAGTGATCGACAGCCCACAACCTCGTATTTTGTGCTTGCATGAATGTAACTTGAACGGTATCAAGCAGGTGGCATCGCCCTTTTTTATGCTTCTTCTCCTCTTCTTTTTTTTTTTCTGACTGTATTATACTCCGTAGCTGAGAAGAAAACATCAGGCCCCGGTTGGCAGCTCTAAGCTAGTTAGTACTCATAGATGCGGTGAGCGGCCGAATTCTTCCGTCTCAAAAACTGTGTAGAAAAGAGTCCATGTACGAGTACAACAACATCAAGATCATGTGAAGCAACCTGGAATGTCTACAGTAGGTACCACATGTACTCATACCTTCCTCTGGGTAGATGCCTTTTTAGTTCCAATCAGGTGCTCTCTATAACAATAAAGGAAATTTTTGCTAGACAACTCAATTTACACTGACTCAGATCCTTCAACTTCTCTTCTTCCCTCCCCGTATCACAGCACCCTCGGGGCCTCGCAACCACCCACACGATGATTAAAAATAACTTCGATTCCCTTGCCAGCGTGGCAAGATATATGATTCAGAGTCACAAAGGTGTTGCTCAGCTATCCCTGCCAAGGACATATGCCACGTCGTGAAAAGAACGTTGTTGGGCTCCAGCAGCTGATCCTGGTCCGGATCCATCCAGCTCTCCCCGACTGCTGGCAGTAGTGGGCTATGCAAGTGTACCGGAGGCCGAGGCTCGAATCTTTACATGTATGCTTACTACCTTGGTAGTCGTGGTAGCATCACACAAAAGCTACAGGCATAGCTCTGGTTGGGCTTTGGAAGGGAGCAACGACGGATCCCGCTGTGCCCTTGCGTCGCCACGTTCAAGGGTGGAAACTCTGCAGAGTAACGAGCACAGAGTCCAATGGATGACTTTGTTCCGGCCGACGACAACCAGAAAACCACCGAGCATGCGAGCTCTCGTCTGGTAAAAAAAGAGTGGCGCGGGCCTCGTTCGACTCTGACCCAGCGTCGTACATCAGCTCACACAGAGTAACACTATCGTATCTCGCACCTCTCCAATTCTACAAACATCCAGCAGGCACTGCCTGAAAAGCGTCATCAATGCCGTCCAGTCTCCATCTCGCCGGCCTCTTCGGACCTCGGATACGTCATGCATCGGGACTAATAATGGCAAACGATCTTGACACGGCCAAGCCTTGTGATGACTATTGCAAACATGTGACAGTTAACGCGAGAGCCCTCTTCGATATTCACAGAACAACCCGAATTGAGGCAGCCTTGCACAACAATAGTATTCATCATAGCCCCCGCCGTCCATTGTAGCCATCTGGGTAGGACGTGCGGATCTTACTACGTCGTGCGATCTGCCGGCCAACTGTCTGTAGCTAGGATCCCGTCCCACGGCAACCTTGGACCACGACCGCAAATCTAGACCCTTGGGTTTTTTCCTGGGAGTCGGGCCCTTCTTTTTTCTATGCAGTGCTCCCCAAATAGGAGGTCGAACGTGGCTGGTGTTATACGACATCCAGACGGTCTACTGACCGCTCTTACTGTGCAATTCTCCAAAATAGATTCAACAGCGGCCAATTCTTGGGGCAATGAACACAGCCTCCAAGAGCTGTGTGATTGTGTATCGCGAGGTTTTGCCCCCAGCATTGAGCCTCGGAACCCCCCTTTGTTCGACCAACTCGATCCCCAGATGAAGCTGTCTGGACATGACTGATTCTACAATTGAGTATGTGTTTGAATGAGAAGATGGTCCAAATCTTGTCGAGAGAGATCAGGCAATGAAATTGCAAAAAGATCAATCAGCCAAGTAAATAGTCAGCCAGGAACCAGGAACCAATTGCCCTTCATGGAGAAATAGCAAAGACGCCATGTCGGTGTGTGGGCGTTTAGATTCGTTCTAATGTTCTATAGCCGCCAGCGACGTCATGATTGGCACGCATAACACGTAAATACTGGGTCTGGCAGCCATCGTTGAGGCAATGATGTGCCGTACAAAACGCAGTTTTGACGATCAAAATTGGGCGGAAATGCAAAATCCCCTTTTCACGACGCGCGGCGACCCGGAAAACTGGTGATAAACCCTCACTTACATGAACTGGCGGAGCTGAATTGGTAGGTGATGGCGGGGGTCCAGCTACGTTACTCATATATATCTATAACCTACTTTACACTCTGGATAGCGGCGCAGAGTTTGCAGTTGGCAACGACTTCATTGACGACAGATTATTGGATTAGCAGAAATGCAAGGCCAACCTCAGCATCACGACTCGTCAGAGTATCCTCGTCCGGATTTCCAGCGCACCGGCTCACGTTGGCTGTCACTCAACGGCCCCTGGGATTTTCTCTTTGACGATGACGACGTCGGCTTAAGCCTGCGATGGCAGCAGTCTGGTTTGCCTGCTCAAATATCTGTCAAGAAGACGTTGAAGAAGAGTGAGACAGGCAGTCAGTCTGAAAGCGACACCATCACTCAGCGCATTGCGGCCGGGACACAAAATCTCCTCAAAGACAACCTCTTTACACGGGACTCCTCTGGAAAGATCAATCACAAACGCCCAATCGCTGTCCCTTTCGTTTTCCAGTGTCCTGCGTCGGGCATTAATGAGCGAGGCATTCACGAAGTGCTCTGGTATGAGCGGACTATCTCAGACTTGCGGGACAAAACCGAACGGCAAGAGGGCCGCCGTCTTCTGCTTAGATTTGGCGCCGTGGACTATGAGGCCTCTGTTTGGGTCGACGGAAGTTTTGTCGGTAGCCACAGGGGAGGCCACGTCCCGTTTCAGCTTGACATCACGGATGCCTTTGATGCAAATACCGGCGGCGATCATCGACTGACAGTGCGTGTCTTTGATTCGGCTTATGATTTGACTCAGCCGCGAGGGAAGCAATATTGGGGTGCCCAGCCGGAGAGCATCTTTTATACTCCCTCTGGTGGAATTTGGCAATCCGTATGGCTAGAGGTTGTGCCTGCAGCGCGAATCGCGGATAGTAGCTACGGAACGGTAATCCGATCAAATGACATCCATTCTGGGGATATTCATTTCGAGATTGCAACACAGGGTTTACAGGCAAGCCGCGGATATGTCGTCGAAGCAGAGGTCAATTTTGGGGGCCAACCCGTCTCCAAATCCCCCAAAGTTGACGTTAAAGAAGGCTCGGGTAGGTTCAGCTTGAGCGCCCGTCTTTCAAAGGAGAGTGTTTCTGTTCTCCCCGAGTCAACACTGAAGGATGCCCCAGGGAACGACGCTTCTTGCTGGCGAGACGGCGTTGCACTCTGGTCGCCAGAGCATCCTCAGCTATATGATCTAACAGTTAGACTGTTTGATTCGTTTTCCGGCAGGGAGGTGGACGAAATCAAAACAACAACGGGCATGCGCTCGATACAATGGTCCAACGGCGACGGTCTGTGGAGACTGAATGATGCTCCTTACTTTCAGATGCTGAACTTGGATCAAGGCTACTGGCCACACTCGTTCCTAACTCCAGAGTCCACGTACAGCCTAGAGGTGGACATTGACTGTGCCAAGAAGATGGGCTTCAACGGCTGCCGGAAGCATCAAAAGGTTGAGGATCCCCGGTTCTACTATTGGGCAGATAAAAAGGGATACTTGGTCTGGGCCGAAATGGCCAACGCCTACCAGTTCAGCCGCGACTACGTCGACCGTTTCAATCAGGAGTGGACCGAATCGGTCAAACTGGCGATTAACCATCCCTCGGTGGTGACATGGACACCGGTTAACGAGAGCTGGGCTTATACATCGCTCAAGGATAACGCCGAGCAGCGCAACCACATACGCTCTCTCTATTACTTGACCAAGTTAGTGTCCTCGCCTTGTCCCCCTTTTAACTAGTAATATGTTGAGACTCATAAATGCTCACAACATTCCCAGGACACTGGATCCCACCCGGAGCATCAACGACAACTGCGGCTGGGAACACGTTTGTACCGACCTCTCCACCTTTCACGATTACAGCGACGGCCCAGAGCTGGAGAAGACGTGCGCGGATCTAGATGTCATTCTCGGTCCCAAAGCTGGACGAGACCTTTTCGTCGGCGAAATCCCCAACGTCGACAACGGCGCTCACCACAACCCAGGAGCTCCCATCATATGCTCAGAGTGCGGCGGCATCAACATTGCACTCGCCAAGAAGGACGATGGCGATGAACCGCGGGATTGGGGCTACACCACTGCGGCGGATCCCGAAGATCTCTTGAAGAGGGTCGAGAGGGTGGTCAAAGGTGTTGCGGGCGGAGGATATTGCTGCGGGTTTGTATACACACAGCTGTAAGTGGGCATCTGATGTCTAGCTGTTGAATTTTGGCTAATTGTTGGCAGGACGGACATTGAGCAAGAGACAAACGGGCTGTATACCTTTAGTCGACGGGAAAAGCTGGATCCGGCAAAGGTTAAGGCTGTTATGGAGGAGGCGGCGCAGATGTTTTATAAGAGGGTCAAGAGTGTTTGATTGAGCATTGTCAACAAGAAGTGTCATCATACTGTGAGAATAGCATGAAGAAATTTGATCTACTGAATCTTGTCTTTCGATGGAGATGAATGGTGGCTTCTTAATCTGGCATACATAAGCTAAGTAATACAAAAAGATTTTCTCATCGTCTATATTATAACTACCTTGCGGTGAAGTCTCAATTATTTCCACAATCTCATTCCTTTCCTGGTAGACCAATATCATTGCGAGACCCCAGCCCGGGCTAAAGTTAGGGCTAGCCTCCAGTCTACACACAGCCTTATAGTGACTAATGAAGACAACTAATTTTCAACAGGGGATATGGTGTAGGGGTATCACGTTTGCTTTGCATTGTTCATTCAATACAAGCCTGTAAAAGGTCGGGGGTTCAAATCCCTCTGTCTCCACGTGTTTCTTCTTTTTTTTTTTTTTGCGCTTTTTGACAGCGATGGCAATGATTGCTGTTGAGCATTTATTTTACTTTACTTTTTTCTTTTTTTTCTTTCTTTTCTTCTTCTTTCAATTTCTACTACCCGTATTCGCTGACGTTGTGCACTCGCCGTCTGAGGGGTAGCGGGCTTTCTTCTCTTATCCTCTTTTGTCCTCTCTGTCTGTTTATCTCTTCTACCTATTCAGCTACTATTTCTGCTTTTTGTACTATATCTACACCACTAATCTTATCGATATGGTCTGCTCTAGCTATAGCGTCTGCCATGTATTGGCTCTCTTGATGTCTGTATTCCATCTCCCTCTTCTTGTTTTGCTGATAAGAATCCGGCGCCGGTCGTTTATAAGTATACCCACTTTGCATGGTATCACCAGTCTCTGTTGTAGCTATTGTAGCCTCAGCGACCATCCTTGCCTCTCTGGCCAATCTTTCCTTTAATAATTCAGACTTTTCTACTATCATGTCAACGCACTCCGCACTCGTTGGCCGGCTTCTCCTCTGCGATTGCATCTCAGAGTTTGGAAACCGAAAGGCGGCAATCAAGAAATCGCAAAGTGGCTCTCATCAGGAATAAGTATGTAAATGTCAACATGGGCCTAGGTATACTCACCGCCTAGAAAGTGATGATGATCGGTAACCTTGCCAATTGCTTTCTCGTATCGTGCGTGGAACTTGTCTCGTGCTTCAACGTCTTCGCGATCTTTTCTCCATGGATTGCCTTCTGTGCCGTAAGACCATGGAAACGTGCTAAAGATTGCTCTAAAGAGGCTGACGCCCAAAGCCCAGACATCTGTTCTGCCGTCGTATTTTGACATTTCATGCTCTGGGGAATGAACCCCTACTGTGCCGTTTGATCCGGGTGCTGCTTGAATCGCAGTTTGGCCACTGGGAATCTGCTCCATGGAGTCAATATCAAGGATAACGGTGCGTGGAGGACGTGAATAAGATGCTAGGTGGGCCGGCTGATGCATTTCGTTTTTGTGAAAGTCCAAGAGTCCGATATTTTCCGGTTTAATGTCTGTATGTACTATGCGATGTGAATGTAAAAAGGCCAGACCTCGAAGACAGTCGTGTAAGATGAGCTCATGCTTTGTATAGCTACCGGAATCGAATGAGCACTGAAGCAACAAGAAAACAAACAGGCTTGCTACTTACTGTGTATCTCTGGGTATTTCAGATAATGTAAACCCGATGTAAGGCTCCAAAACAATATGGAACTCATCCACTTGCCGTCCTTGTATATGAATGCTCTCAATCATTGTCAAAACATTTTGTTGCTTTTCGGCTTGTGCTCGCTGTGCAATGAAATCCATCAATGCAATTTTTTCTCGAGTATGTTGTATTCTGCTGGGTCTTGCCTCCATCGTCTTGACGGCCACAATCTTTTGTCCATCGGAACCAACAGCTGGACGGACGCGGCCAAAGGTACCTCGACCTGTCAGGCCGCCTGTGATTGTATACTTTCCTATAGTTTGTACATTGGTTGTTTGAGGAGTTGGAGTAGCTTGTAAGACTTCTTTGGTTGGCTGGTCATCACCATGAATACCCGTAATGTGGCTACTGAGATCTGTTTGACCTTGGGGTCGGAGGCAATATGAAGTATACTCAAGCGAGTACATTAAATCACCAAAATGAATCCGATTTTGACCCAGGGCACAGCCTGCAACGCTGCCCTTGGAAGTCAAAGAAGTTGCATTAACAACAGCGGAGTTGCCGAACTCCAACGAAACAGTTGCTAGACGCGTTTCTGGAGAAAAGTTGATGACGGCATGTCTTCTAGCGACATTGCCAGCCCGACTATCCGTGAGTAATATGTCGACAGTAGGCTGAGCAAAGGAAACTCCCCTTTTGCTGAGACGGCCGACCAACCAGCCGCAGTCGGAATGAAGCGTTTTGACATTTGAGTCCAGAAAATAGAAGCCTGTCCAGATTATGGTGGGACATGGCTCTTCAAGACTACAAGTAGACGACGACAACGAAGACGGTGACGAGGGACTTTCAAGTATTGTGCTGTGATTGACAAACCGGGAGACGGCAGCATCATAGACTTGCTCATCAGAAAACCACATGAATTTAGCATAGTGGTTTCGGACGTCGGTCACGAGATCATCATCGTCGGATTGGGCATCTTGCTCTTTGATAAAGTCAACAACTTGTGAAAAGGCCCATTTGGCAGCCTCGTTTTCCGGACGAAGCACCATCAGCGCACGCCCGGCCGGACTGTTGAATCCCAACGGGTCCAATATGGTGGCTACGCTGCTGGGAGACGCCATACTGGGCTCAAGCAACTAAAGTAAATAAAGGCATGTAACAATCTAGACTCAAATATGCATCATATACCTGGTTTATAAATCCTTGGTTACCAGACCTGGCTGCCTGTGCTGGTTGTTGGGATGCAGCATCACGTGATCTCATCCAGTATGTGATGCTCAGGTTGGCTGCAATCAAACAATGTCATGCCTGGTGCAACTTGACACATCACCACGCCTGTAATGCGCCTCGATCGCCGTACTTTGCCGGTTTAATGGCCTCTTTCAGAGGGCATGATAGCTTTGACCATGATGAGACATTTCTGCCAAGCGCAAACGCATGCGCAACCGCGGCAGGGACAGTAGACCAGACGATGGACACTGAACTGGAGTTGACGGAACCCAAGCTCAGCTATTCCTGGACATACTGGTATGCCAAGTTCACGGAGCTCAACGAATATGTACAGCCTCCCGTCGTCTTCAACATTGTCGCCTCTTGATTAACAGACCCTGCAGGAATATCTGCCAGACCCAGTTGAAACGCAAGGCGCACATCTCATCTCAGCGCCATCGTCGCCGAATGTAGTAGAGTCTCGCCACGACCCTTCTTCGTTCTACGACCACTTGCTTGAGCGGCTGCGTGGGCTCGCTTTGCGACAGTCAATACGCGAGAATATCTACGGCGAAGAGTTTGCCAATGAGTGGCCCATCTCACGGACGCCGCGCGCCTTGGCCAAGGAGATTCGTATTGCTCGAAGAAAGGCCCGCGACGCACTGCTGCATTTGGATTCCCCGTCTACGTCGTCGGATTCTGAATACGAGCCGGCGTGGAGGAGAAGAATTCGTGAAGCGCGAGAAAAGAAGCGCCGGGCCAAGAAGCAAGCCAAGCTGCTGGCTCAGGCCCAGGCCCAAACCGAGGATCCGGCTCGGATTCAACTTCAGCCGCGAGTTCGGTCTCGATCGATGCAGGTCGAACCTCAACCTCAGTCCCGGTTCCTCCTGGAGCCTATCGTTGAGGATGAGGCAGAGCAATCGCCCATCCCCGCCACCATGGCTCTAACCGATGCCGTTCGCCAGATGACCATGCCACTGTCTCGCGAGCTGGGTGACGATGTCAGGAATTCCAACTAGCCCTTTTGCGTGTTTGTGAAAAATCTCAGCAATGTGTGTTACGGAGGAGGCGGTGGCGATGCTGTCACCTCGGTCGTCGATCTCAAGGATTGGCCATTCAAAAACGCAAGGTGCCAGCAACACCAGTCACTCTCTCTTCTAAGACAGCCAAAGTTTCATTGCTTGGTCTCTCCAAAAATCGGTCATATAAGCCATAAAGGCCGACAATTTCATTATTTACACAACTGGATCCGTTTGATATACCCAGGTCGTTAGCGACGGAGTTGATTTAGATATATGTAGTTTAAAAAGCAGGTACTTAGTAGATTTAGACATCAGGGGTCGGTAGAAGGCGCAAGCAGATACCCCGGAAACGGCGTTTGTTTGGTTTGGGATATTCATCGTTGGTTGATATTTGACATTCTAACCCTGTACCGCCTACATTACCGTATATACTTTAATCAGACACTAGAAAAGGCAGCGATAGTGTAGTACGGAAGATGATTGCTGTTGAAAGTGCCTAGCATATACCCTCTCGACTCCAGATCCGTCGGTGCCGTGTCTAGGTAGCATCAACACTCGCTCCAATGTCAACTCAACAAGGGACATAAATCGAATGAAACAGGGCCATAACCTCGGAATATCACGCCGTCCCACGAATACGAACGCCGGACACTGCAAAAACTCCGTCAGCCCAACAGATAATCCGCGGAGTCGCAAATGGAAGTGTCTGGAATTCCCACAACCCGAGGTATCTGAGCGGCCGAGCTTTTGCCGCCACCAGCAAATGCGACTTCAAGTTGCTTCGAATCGCCATCAACGGCGGGGCATCCGTTTGATTATCCACCTCCGACCGTTCCCGGGCTAACAGTAGAGCTACGGCCGTTGATGCTTTGGCTTCTCTTTGTATAAACTCGCATCTCCCCGAACTCGGACTTGCTCCATCGGCACTTCACCCAATCCTCTACATATACACTGAGCAATTACTGCAGTGGGTACTACACGATGGAGTACGTCGAGCATCGCATGAACGACGAGGCCGTCAAACAAGCCGCCAGGTATATCAAACAAAACACATTTTCCCTCCTCTACATTCCCCCCAAACTAACGCGTTCAAATCTTCCAACTCCAGCGCCAGCCTCGTCTCGCCCCTCAACATCGCCCTCCTCTCCATCATCCTCTACACAGCCTACTCCGCCTTCTTCGCCAAATCCTCCCACCCGCAACTCCCCAGGCCCCCGCCGCCCGTCGTCTTCAAGACCTACAACCCGCACACCCTCCTGCCCTTCAACGGCGAAAACGGCGCCCCCGTCTTCCTCGCCGTCCGCGGCGCCGTCTTCGACGTTTCGCGCGGCCGCAACTTCTACGGGCCGGGCGGGCCGTACGAGAACTTTGCGGGGAGAGATGCGAGTCGCGGGCTCGCGTGCGGGAGCTTCGATGAGGACATGCTGACCAAGGACTTGGACGGGCCCTTGGACACGCTGGCGGATTTGGGCGCCGAGGAGATGGATGCGCTGAGGGGCTGGGAGGAGAGGTTTACGGAGAAGTATGACATTATTGGAAAGTTTGTGTCGATGAAGGAGTTCGAGGAGCTTGAGAAGAAGGAGTGAGCCGGGATTTTACGGATTTTGGGTTCAACGGCATATGGATGAGCATTTGTAGGAATGAAGCAAGCAATGGGATTATTTCATTCAAAGATGGAATTTCTTTTTTTTGGGGGGGGGGGGGGGAGAATAACTAAGCTTTTTTTCGTCTTCAGTGCTTTGATTCAATATGGGTAAGATGACAAGATAAAACAGAAACGGCGACCTATAAAACGCCAATGCCATGCCGTTTCTCGGATTCGAGAAAGGATTTCCACACAATATAAAACAAAGACAAGACACTGGACCGGGAATCCAACCCCGTGATACCTCCCGGTCCCAAAATACCCATCATCCCTTTTTTGCAGCAGTAAAACACACTCCTTCCACGCAAAAGAAGGCGCACAGTAGATTGACAAAAGGAAAAAAATAAAAGGCTGGTGGAGTAGCCGCGGAGAAAGTGAGGCAAGTAGAAACCAAAGCAGCATATCCCCCAAAAACAAGAAGAGCCATCCATCATCTCCCAAAGCACATCTTAGCCCTTCCCCCGAATTGACTCCTCCTGGGTTCTGTCGTTCGTTATAAAGAAAAAAGTTTGATTATGTATGACGGGATATATCGGGATATATATATAATATAGAGAGGTGTGTCGACGTAAGAGTTTCGATGACAATGTCTGACACGGTGGCAGCACATTTCCCTTAGCGTCTAAAGAAATCAAGGTTTCGAAGAAAAGGAAAAAAAAAAAGAGGCGAAAGAAGAAAGGAGGGTTCGTTATAGCTCCAAAACTGCTGCCGCTTGCTTCATTAGAGCCGCCGTCTTTGCAATGTACTTGTTGGCATCATCCCAGGCCTCTGCGTCGACGAGGTCGCGGACCGCTGGGAAAAAGGCTTCGTCGTAGCCTGACCACAGTTGCGGGCCAAAGACGACGTGCTTGAACTGTGTGCGGTTGGGGATCTGGCAAGAAAAAGAATTAGCATCAGATGAAACAATCCCATCTCCTGAGTGAGGAAAGGGGGGATGTGAAAAAAAACAACTTACACCACCGCCAAGCTCCAAATCTAACAAAGACGTCTCGAACATGGCCATCTTGTTGTTATACGCAATTCGCGCCGCGCCCAACTCCTGCGTCTCCCAGCCGCCGCTTCGAATGACCAGTCGGTCCCATTCCATCTCCCACTTGGAAAACTGCTGTGCCTTGACCGAGACCGTCGCGGCCGCGTCCTTGAGGTCCTCGAATTTGAGAACGCCCTTGTGCTTCTTCTTCTCTGCCTCCTTGTTCGCCCACGACTCCAGATCGCCAACCCACGTCTCGAGGCTTCGTCCGTAGTTGACCATGTCAAAAGGCATGATGGGCCGGTCTGCCAGGTCGAGGAGGATGAGGCCGACGACTTGGGCAAGTATGCCGTGATACGTAAAGCCGGGGTCGAGAACCTGCTCCATCAGGTCAAAGTTGTCGTAGCTGGAGTGGTAAGGGAACGCTTCGCCGGCAAACTCGAGATCCAGCGAGCTTGTGCCGGCAATATCCTGGAAAGCGACGTAATCGCTGCCCGCGCCCAAGCCCTCGAGCTTACTGCCGCGGCGGTCCCAGAGGTCCTTGAGGGTGGTGTTGAAGTTTGGGTCGACGACTCGCTCCATGGCGTGGAACAGGCTCTTTCTGAGAGGCGGCGAACCGGCGGCGCGGAAGTCCTGCCCGGATACCACGGTGTCCAGGTTGATGTAGGCAAACGCATTCTCACGCAGGGCATCCACATTCTTCTCCACAAACTCGGTAGATCCAATGAGGTTGTACTCCTCGGCGTCCCACGACATAAACTCAATGGAACGGAGAGGCCTCCAGCCGCGATCGACCAAGTCTCCAAAGATGCGCGCCAACTCAATCATGATGGCCGTGCCTGTGTGCGGGTCGGTCGCGCCAAATGCCCATGCGTCCCGGTGATTGCCCAGGATGATTGACTTGGCCGACGTCTCCATGCCTATAATCTTGCCGTACACGTTCCAGATGGGCTGCTTCTCGTTCTCGTCCTGCTCGTTCTGCAGACGAACAACAGGCGACGATTCGTTTCCAGTCCACCACTGACCCACCTCGGGCACGCCTCCTCTCCAAGCAACCGGCACCAGTTGGCCAAAGCCCTTGAGATTCTGCAGCAAGACTTGCGCATCCCTCCAGGCAAGCGGGAGACTGGGAATCTTGACCAGCCCCTGGCTTTCCTCAACCTTCATGCGAGGCACTTCCTTCTTGCTCTCCCATCCTGGCGTCAGGACATCGCCGACAACCCAGCTCATGAGACTGACGGAGCCTCTCTGGACGCCATCTTCCGGCATATATCGCCCACCAGGGGCGACGTCGCCTTTGAGGAAGCCGTCATCGGCAGGATCGCTGTAAATGATGCATCCTGCAAAGCCTGCCAGCTCGGCTCCCTTGACTTTCAGAGCGCGGTCTGTCTGGGTGCCGTAGTATTTGACGAGGGCGATTGCCCCGGTAGTATTGATGCCCATTTCCTTGAGCTTCTGGTAGTCTTCCCTCGCTCCGTAGTTTGCGTAAATCAGGGGGCCCCGGACGTCGCCAGACTTGGAGTGTCCATGGAATGCCAAAGTCTGCTTTCCAGCCGACTCGCCTCCGCGCTCAACCTCCTCGAGCTCGGCGGTCCAGATGGCGTTGTCACCAGTTTCGTCCAGAATCTGCACGGCCCGGCCGTTTTCACGTGGGTAGTTGAGGTAGACGTAGTAGTCGTCCATCTCCACAACGTCCAGCCCTGCCTTGTTGAACATGGCCTCGACGTCCAGTGCCGTCGCATAGTCGCCCTCGGTACCAGCAATGTGTGCGTAGCTCGAAAAGATCTTGACCGCGGCGCGCATCCTCCTGGGATCGACAGTCTTCTGCAGGTGGACTCGAAGATCCTCCGGATCGAAGCGCATGCCTACATTGTTCATGCCGTTCGTTAGGCCGCTGAGCATGCCGCTCGCAAAGAGGAAGTACATGAAGCCAATGACAATGCCGAGCGCCAGCAGTCGCGCAACCGTGACAATAACCATCATGCTGTTGACCTTGGGGAAGGCAAAGTCTCGCAACCACGACCTCACGTTGTCGAGATCCTCCCGGTCAACCGCCTCCTCCGCGGCCGAATTGTCCGCCGGCGCTGCTGACGGCCGCGATGGCAGCCGGATGCGTATCCGCGGTAATCTTGGGCGCCACGAGAATCTCCACGCCGGCAGCGACAGGTTGAAGCCTATCCTCTTCCCCCATATTGACCCCCCTGTGCGGCCGGGCTCCTCAATCTCCAGCTCCTCCATCTCCCGGCGCACCTGGTTCGTCTCGTCGGCATCGCTGTCGCTATCCCACACGCTGTCCTCGTCGTCCGTTTCCACCGTGGGCGCTCGGTAGCCATCGGGCCGCCTGGAGCCCTGTGAGCTGTCGCCGGCCCGGGGCAGCAGTGA